TGTGAGGTGGGGCATTTGTTAAAGTCATCTTTGGAAAATCAAATCTGCCATGTGTGTCAAAAATGGTTGATTATTGGCAATTTCATACAGGTCAACCTAATACAGAAATTTATAAATATGGAAATAAGAAACTGGGTTCTGTTTCACTCAGAAAATTTTCATCTATTACTCTGACCTAAAATTATTTTTTCTACCATCTCCAGATTTGGTATGAAGGTTATAATGGGATTGAAAAATGAATTTGGGAGTAATCTATCCTTTAAATTTTTTTCTAAGATCTCCCCATTTTTACTTACACTCATTTGTATGTGTGTTGTTATGTGTATGTTGAGTTCTATTCAATTTATCACCTTGTAGGTTTCATGAATCAACAGTCAAGATACTGAATAGTTCTAACACCACAGGATATATATATTTTTATAAGTAGATATATTCTTTATATTTTTATACCTTTGAAAATAGATTCCATTTATTAAACACCACTTAATAAAGTTTTTGTGATGTGTAAAAACAGAATTGATTGGGATATACTGACATGACATCCTAAATTCATTTTTTTCTTTTAACTATTTAGAAATGATTTCATACTACTGAAAATAATAAAAAATAGTACAGAGTTACAGGAGTTACAAAATAGTAAAGAATGCATGTCTTTTACTTATATTCCCCAAATGAGAACATTTTACCACGTCTGCTCTCTTTATAAAAGTACGTATTTTTCTTGTATGATAGGAGCATAAGTTGCAGACATAATTCCTCTACACATTCCTAAACATTTCAGTGCATAGCTCCAACAAGGTCATTCTATAATTTAATCACATCACAGAAAGATAAACTGAGGAAATTAACCTAAATGCAGTGTTATTTATCTAGTACATAGAACTTACTCAAATTCCATCAATTATCCTGATGTTCCCCCAAAACATTGGGGGGTCAGTATCCAATGTCATGTATCTTTAGTTACCATTACACTGGAGAAGTCTTTCAGACTTTGTCTTGTGACCTCAACTTTTTTTTTTAAGTGCATGCCATTTTCATGCTGAATGGCCTCAATTTGGGTTTGTTAGATATTTCCCCATGATTTAAATTTAGGTTATGCATTTTTGGCAGGAATACTACAGAAGTGATGTGTTCTCAGAGAATATCAAATTTCATAATATTTGTACCAATAATGGCAATATTAATTGTGATACCTTTAGGTGGTAAATGCCAGGTTTCTCTTTTGTAAAGTTATTTTTCCAATTTTAGTAAGTATTCTGTGGGCAAATGTTTTGAGACTAATGAAATACTCTCTTATAAAACTTTCACCCACCTAGTTTTAGCATTCACTATTTTTGCTTTTCCTTTTTTATTTATTAAGTGATATTCCATTGTAAGGAATAATTTTCCTTTCTTCCTTACTTGTTTATACATTTATATCAAAAAATGGATGCATGGATTCTTACCTTATTGAGTTATACCTGTTAACATGATTTAGATGTTCAAACTATGTCAGATTTGGTTTGTTTTCAAGCTGGTTTCAGTTTTTTTGACAAGGCCCCAGTACTAAATTTTGAGGCTTTTTCTATGGCCTAGCCTTTGGTCTATACTATGTAACAGTCCATGTGTACTTGAGAATGTACATTCTGGGATAGTTGGATGGAGTACTCATACATATGTTAGGTCTAGTTGGTTCATAATGTTGTTCAAGTTGTCTGTTCCCTTTTATTGCTTATAGGTTGAATTGTATCCCCCAAAAGACATGTTAGAGTCCTGACCCCTACACCTCAGAATGTGACCCTATTTATGCATAGAGTCTTTACAGAGATTATCATGTTAAAATGAGGTCATTGGATGGACCCCAATATGGCTGATATCCTTATAAAAAGGAGAAATTTGGATGGAAAAATAGACACACACAGACGATTGATGTAAAGACACAAAGGGAGAAGATGGATATCTACAAGCCAAAGAGAGGCCTGGAACAGACTCTTCCCTCACAAGCCTCAGAAGAAAACCCTACTGGCACCTTGATTTCAGACCTCAGCCTCCAGAAATGAGACTTTGAGCAAACACTCATTTTGTGGTTCTTTGTACAGAAGCCCTAGCAAAGAGTTTGGTACTGGAAACGGTGCTGCTACAGCAAATGCCTCAAAGTATGGAAGTGGCTTGGAACTGGTAGTAGATGGCAGATTTCTGAGTTACTTGATAGTAAAAGCCTAGAATGCCTTGAGAAGAGTTGGCAGAAATACATGTTAAAGACACCTTTGGTAAGGTGTCAGATAAAAATGAATAATGTTGTCATTAGAAATTGGAGAAAAAGGAGATCTTTGTAATAAAGTGGGAGAGAACTGTGCTGAATTGTGTTGTTTTGCGGAAATTAGAACTTAAAATGAACTGGAATATTTAACTAAATGCTCTGTCCACTTAGCCCATTGGGGTGGTAGACCAGCTCTCTGGAATTGAAATAGCTTCACTTTCTGGAACCCTGGAACTGAGGTGGTCATGCCCTCAGGGTCATCCTCCCGTTTTTTAAAAGGTTAACCCATGTATATAGCTAGATAGCTCTATCAGCTTGTTTCCTGCCTGTAGAATCTCAGAAGTCCAACAACATTCCTTCACTTCAACCCTTCTGTCTCAAGTTGGTAGCATTCCTACTGAGATAACTGGATTCACAAGTCACACACTTAATATCTTTAACAAAGTTGTCCAGCCACATCCTGGGTGTTCTCTCCACAGAATGCTCTCTCATTTTTAGCAATATGAATAAACTGAGACTCTCCGAAATCTTTAAGATCTAATTCCTTTATGCTTACCAATTCATTCTTCAATTTATTTGTCCTCTTGCATCTTACTATTACCCGCAAGCTGCAGTTGGCCTGTGGGCTGTAGCTTGCCAACATGTAGTCGATGTCCCTGAGTGAAGAGCATACAGTGCAAAGTATCAGAGCTTGCTAAGCTGTTCTCAGATATCTCTACTTGAATTATCAGGAGACTTTTTCTAGACCAATGGATGCATGTTTACATAAAGGATTCGTGAACATTTGAGGTGGATGACTTTCTAAATTCAGCAAGCAACTAATGTATGACTTCTACCATCTCAACCCTACAGCTGTAAGTAAGCAATTATTTCAGCAATGTCACAGAGTTGCTGAGTTAATACTCTGCTTTGAGATATTTCAGGGCTTCACGTCTGTTGCAGTTGAATTTAAGAGCTGACATGACCAGAAGGCATTTCATCCCGTCCCAGATTTCCTCATAAATAGGAAATTCTTATACGACAATAGTTCCTCAGAGTTCTCAGAATCTTATCATGGGCCACAAGGTTTTTGGTGTACACAAACACCATTTCACACCAGGGCTAAAAGTTCCCATCTTGGAATATAAACAAGAATCTGAAAGATTATCTTAATTTTAGGAAAAAAATCTAAACCACACACCCCTTTTCTCTGCCCTGGACTAACAACTTAACAAAGCCTTGCAGTTATTGCCTGGATGGTGTGGCTCAGTGGATTGAGCATCATCCCATGGATCAAAAGGTACAAGTTTGATTTGCAGTCAGGATCCATGCCCCCCAAGTTGCAGGATCGATCCCTGGTGAGGGCTGTGCAGGAGGCAGGCGATCGATGTTTCTATCCTTTCTTCTCTAAAAAAATCAATAAAAACATATTTTATAAAGCCCTGCGGTTACAAAAACTCATTCTTCTTAACGTAAACAGAAAAAAAAAATACTTTTATTAAAAATATATGAGGAAGCACCCATAAAGCCAGAAAACCAGGTTAAAAATGGGACAGTATCCAGTTATTCTAGGAAATCAATAAAGCAGGAAGGAATTATCTCAATAGAATTCTGGGATGAGAACATACAAGTTTCCACATTTCCCTTCTGATTCATGTGAAAATGGATTAACTCAAAATCCTGGAAAAGAGGCTACCATTATCCAACTATGAGTATAATACTCACCTGTAGCTAGTGGAAAGGACACCCTGAAAAACACAACCACAAGGATTCCCACTACAGAGAGGGACTTCTCCAGAGAAAACTAGGGTGTACTTATCAGTCAATGGGAATGGACACTGAACTGCTAAAATATACTCACAGTTCATTACAAGTTCTCTTGAGTCACCCTGTAGTAACTGCCAGACCCACTTATGTAGGCTCCTGAATAAGTGAACTCATTTGGAGTGAGAACCATATCCTTTCATTTATTAAAAGCCACATTATATTAGTTATATTGCTAAGAAATAAAAAGACAATACTGATATTTAGCATTTAATGTGGATATATTAGGGGATGTTACTCCACAAACTATTAAATATTTGTGTAACAGGTTACATTAAAAAGTAAAATACCAAAATCTTAAAAAATGCTATTCAGGCCCGGCCAAGGTGGCTCAGTGGACTGAGCATCATCCCATGGACTGAGAGGTCCCGGTTCAATTCCTGGTCAGGGTGCATGCCCGGGGTTGCAGGCTCAATCCCCACTAGGGGGCGTGCGCAGGAGGCAGCTGATCAATGTCTCTCACATCAATGTTTCTATCTCTCTCTCCCTTCCTCTCTCTCTAAAAAAATAAATAAAAACATGTTTTTAAAAAATGCTATTCAGGCCCTGGCCAGTGTGGCTCAGATGGTTGGTCATCATCCCGTGCACTGAAAGGCTGCTGGTTCCATTCCCATTCAGGACACATGCCCAGGAGCACCAGTAGGGAGCCTGCAGGAGGCAGCTGATTGATGTTAAGCTCTCACATCTCTGTTTCTGTCTCTCTCCCTTCCTCTTTCTAAAAATTAATAAAAACAAGCTCTGGCCGGTTTGGCTCAGCGGTTGGAGCGTTGGCCTGCGGTACAGAGAGACCTGGGTTCGGTTCCCGCTAAGGGCACGTACCTTGGTTGCAGTTTGTCCCCGGCCCTGGTTGGTTGTGTGGGTGGCAGCCACTCGATGTGTCCCTTCCCATCAATGTTTCTCTCTCTCTTTCTCCCCCCTGCTCTATCTGAACAAAAAATGGAAAAATGTCCTCGGGTGAGGATAAAAAAAAAAATTAATAAAAACAAAATGCTATTCAGTGTTGTTCAGAAAAGTCACCCTAAATACCCCTTAACCTGCAGAATATGTCCCATTTTCCTGACATTTCATTTACATACTAAAATAAAAACCTTTATACTCCACCATGAAAAAGTCTACCATTTATAATTTTCTTCACTCTAAAACACAGGTTCAAATCTGGAATGTGACTCTTCATGTAACACATTTTCTATGGGAAAATGCTTTCCCAATTTATTAAATTTATAGTATTCTCAGTATGAATTCTCCAAATTAAATCTTCATAATGATGCCACCACATTTGATACAGTTACTGCTCAATTCCTTCAAGTATTCTCTTCTATAAAGTCTGTATACAACTGTTTTCTAAAAATTTTGCACATTCATCCAAAATGATTGGTTTTTCTCCTATATGACTTATTTGATGAGTATATTTTTAGAACTTCCTGCTTATATATCCTGTCTATATTATCACCTGAAGTGTCCTAAGGATCAAGTTTTATTTGAATGCTAACATCAAGAAATTACTTGATTCTAATTTCACTTGTGAGTTTTTCGATGGATACGGAGCCCTGAATTCCAACAGAAGGATTTCCCACATTCAGAACATTTCCATGGTTTCTCTCCTGTATGAACTCTTTGATGTTCACTGAGAGATGACTTCTGAGTGAAGGCTTTTCCACACTCACTGCATTTAAAAGGCTTCTCTCCTGAATGAGTTTTCTGGTGTATCTGGAGAGATGCCTTCCTAGGATAGGCTTTCTCACATTCACTGCACTCATAGGGCTTCTCTGATGAGTGAGTTCTCTGATGTATAATTAGCTGTGACTTCCCACAAAAGGCTCGCTCACAGAAACTGCATTCATAGGGCCTCTCTCCTGTGTGTGTTCTCCTGTGTATAACGAGGTATGATTTGCTGCTGAAAGCCTTCCCACAGTCACTGCATCCATAGGGTTTCTCTCCTGCGTGAGCTCTGAGATGTGCAGTGAGCTGCTCCTTCCTCCCGAAGGCCTTCCCACACTCACTGCATTGGTAAGGATTGTTTCCTGTGTGAATTCCCTGGTGTACAACAAGCTGTGTCTTCATATTGAAGGCTTTCCCACAATCACTGCATTGATAGGGTTTCTCTCCTGTATGCATTCTGATGTGAACAAGGAGGTATGACTTACTCCTAAAGGCTTTCCCACATTCGTTGCATTTATGGGGTTTCACTCCTGTGTGAGTTCTCTGGTGTACAACAAATGGTGACTTCAAACTAAAGGCTTTCCCACATTCACTGCATTCATAGGGTTTCACTCCTGTATGACTTCTCTGGTGTAAAATAAGCTGTGACTTCCAGCTGTAGGCTTTCCCACATTCACTGCAACCATAAGGTTTCCCTCCTGTGTGAATTTCCTGATGGACAATGAGCTGTGACCGGAAAGAGAAGACTTTCCCACATTCACTACATGAGTAGGGTTTTTCTCCTGTATGAACTCTCTGATGAGCATTAAGGTTTGACTTGGCACTGAAGGCTCTTTCACACTTAGTGCATTCATAAGGTCTCTCTCCTGTATGAATTCTGAGATGTACAATGAGCTGCGATTTGCAACGAAAAGCTTTCCCACATTCACCACATACACAATTCTTTTCTATACTGTGAGCTCTTTGATATTTAAGAAAATATGATTGTTCATATCCATGAAACTTATCAGGATTCTTTCTTAGATAGTTTCTGCTTAAACCTGAGTTTTGTGTCAAGCTTTTTCCAAGCGTATTATACTTATGGAGTCTTTGTCTTGAAGAAACATGGGTTTTGCTCAGATGAAGTTTTCCAAATACGTTACAAGCATAGTTTTTCTCAACACTTTCAAGCTCGTCTTGATTCTTCTGGTACCATTCTTTCCAACCTTCTAGAAAGGAAAATAATTTTAATCATAACATGAACCTCATGTGGAATGAAAGCTTTAGAACTGCCACGTAATGAGCCTTTTTCTCTTGATAACAGGACCCTGACAATGATTCAAAACAATACTGGCCAAGGGCACCTGCACCAGAGATCTAAGCACGGGCTTGAAGGGAACTGAATCAAACCAAGCCAAGTCCCATTATGGAAATGGGTAGCGAATTAACAGTGATCAAAAATGGCACTTAAAACTGATAGTAGTTTTGATAACTCCTAGATTTTAGACTTGAGAAACAGGTGGTCCTGCTCTTTGAGATGGAATACACTGAGAGAGAATCATGTTTGGAGGAAAATTAAAGGACTTTGTTTTGGATCTTATTACATTTGAGATCTCGGTTAAGTATCAAAGTGAAGACAGCAAATTGGCAATTAGACCTAAGTGCTCAGTAAAAAAACAGGAGTCAAGAGCATATAAAAGGTATTAAATGACATAAACGATGAGATCCCCTGGAGAATATGTGCAAATTGAGAGATGCCTGAACAGCCCTGGAGCAGACAACATTTAGGGTTGGACAGGAGACACACAGAGAATAGGAAAGCCCATCTGTGAGGCCCAAATAGTAACATGACAATGAGAGTGACTGATGAGTGGACAGAGGCTACAGGAAGTGGCAGCAGGTCTGGGTCTGGACATCTCTCTCACCACAGTATTACTGCAGCGGATCTTTAGCAGCCTCCTGCCCTCAGGACTTCTTGCTAAATACCTTCTTCCCAACAGTGATGGAACAACTGAGGTTACAGTTTGTGCCTGAAAGTGGGGCCACTAAACTCAAGGTTGAAGGGTGAGAACAGTGAGACCAATAGCTAGAAGAAAGGATTTCTCAGGCTAAAGGACTATGTCTAGACAACTTTGGGTTGCTGTTACTGGCTTAACAGAATTAGTCAGAAAAAAAGAAAACCAACTTGAAGCCTGTCAAGTTATGAAGGGAACCCTAAGTCTGGTTTGAAAACAGCCTATGGCCCTGGCCAGTTTGGCTCAGCGGTTAGAGCGTCGACCTGCGGTCCCCAGGGGCCCGGGTTCAGTTCCCACTAAGGATGCGTACCTCAGTTGCAGTTTGTCCCCGGCCCTGGTTGGTCGTGCGGGTGGCAGCCACTCGATGTGTCCCTTTCACATCGATGTTTCTCTCTCTCTTTCTCTTTCTCTCTCTCTGTTCCTGTCTCTCCCTCCCACTCTACCTGAACAAAAAAGGAAAAATATCCTCGGGTGAGGATAAAAAAAAAAAAAAAAAGAAAACAGCCTATGATTCTTTAACCCTATATGCCCCAAAACTTGCACCAATAGAAGTGGGCTATAAGTAACTATAAGTAACCCCCAGAAAGTACATTCTCCCCAAACCTCATCTCATCTGTGGCCTAGGAGGAGAGTAGGAAGACCCTCTCAGAGTGAAGTGCCAGGAGCTGTGAAACTGGTAACAAGGGAATCACACCCATCACACCGAATAGCCCGCCTTCATCTTTTTCTAAACGACAGAAAGTGAGCAGTGGATCAGTGGTGACTGTTTTCTCCTCGCCTCCCCTTCCAGAAGGAGGGGCTATTATTACAGTGCTCTGGTTCCCTCCCCACCTTGTGTTTACCTGCCTGGGACAGATGAACTGTCTACATGTACATGTCATTTTAGATCATGAGGCCAGTGTAACCTGCCTTGATGGTACTGCACACATCCCGAGAGAGCCTAGACTTGTAACTGGATTCGGGTCCAGAAAGAGAACACGTACAGGAAAGACGGATGACCTCTCATGTAAACATTAGCACTTCTGAAGACGTGCAGTGGAGGAGAAGTGTGCTGTGCTGAATGCCTGAAGGTGGAACTGACGCGCACCCTTCAGTGTGTGCCCAGGCACCTCCCTCCTTCTGAGCAGCAGCCCTGATTGGAGAGGGAGAGGTCCAGATGGTCTGGCTGGCGGAGGCAGGGCCCGTCCCCCACACCATGACTGGTTTAGGCTCTGGCATGTCAGTTGTGAGATGTTGTAAGTTGTTTAGACTTCTGGGAAAGATTCTGAGCACCAGTGAAAGGAACATTTTGGCAAAAAATAGTTCTTATTCAGTGGTTCCTGCTGTCTCTGCATGAGATGCCTGGCACCGAGACACCTACCTGACACGCTGGAGAGAAAAGCTAACGTTCAAGGATGAGAAAGGGGAGACAGCTGGAACCTTGGCCCCTATCATCATCAAGCTTCTGAATCAAGACACTGTGGAGCTGTTGCCTAGAGCAGACAACTTGTCAATTGAGACTAAATTCCTGATTGTTTACTTTGGTTGAACCAGGAGTTTAAGTTACTTGTTTATATTCTCAGATGACTGATAGGATGCTTACAAAAATAAATCCAGTAGGAATAGCTAAGGAGAAGATTCAAGTTCTCAAATACAGGTAAGAAGTTGAGTTATCCAAATATGAGAGAATACTGATCTAGTCTGGGTGATAATCAAGGAGACAGGAATTATAAAGCTATTTCAAAGGATTAAATACGAACAGAAACAAAAGCAGTACCAAGATTAGCAAAGGAGACAGGAGTACCTACCCAAGGTGTGCCCCAGAACCAGGACACAAAACTAGAAGTGCAATAACAGTAATCATAACAACAGGAAAACTGAAGGAGAAGAACAATTTGGAAGAAACTACTTCTCACTATGATACAGAGAATGAAGAGTAGAAAGCACAGGGCAGCAATCTTGCAAGCATATCAGACCTGTGACTAGACTGCAGAAGAAAAAGAGGATGAAAATGTGAATTCTGATGTTACAACGCTGAGGATAAAAAGCTTACATTTTCAGAAGAGAAGAGCAGTTTGGGAAATAAAACTCCTCTGGACAACTCAAAAGGGAAAAGGAACCAGACATGTAAGGTGATAAAATCACTTAATAACACAGAGGAGACCAGGATAGGTTACAGAATTCTTTTAAGAAAAGTACCTGCTGGGTCAGTGTGGCTCAGTTGGTTGAGCATCATCCTGTACACTGAAAGGTTGCTGGTTCAATTCCCGGTCAGGGCACGTATGGAAGGCAAATGACCAATGTTTTTCCCTCTCTTTCTCCCCTTCCTTTCTCTACACATTTCCTTGGGTGAGGATTTAAAAAAAAAGTGACCAAGAAAGGAACAGTTATAATTTCAAAGTGATCAGTGTGAAGAAAAGAGACAATAAAATCTCCAAAGACAGTCAAGGTGAGAGAAGGAAGAAAAAGACAGAGGGTAACGTCTGATGTAGTCAACTGTGACAGCAAAGGAGAAGAGATGTCAGGGCAGTGCAGGCATGAGTGACACCAAGTGAGAGGCCTGCAAGCCTGATGTGGTCCATGACCATGGGAAGAAAGGCAGAGAAAGAAGGTGCCAGAAGGAAGGAAACTACCCCAGAAAACAACATTTGAGCAGAGTGCACAGGAAAAGGCCATGCCTACCTCTCAGAGCCAGGGAGGAAAGCCCAAACATGAGCAGAACACAGCCATTTCCTTATCTAAGGAGCTCGAGGGCTCTCCGACCCTCCAAAAAGACCCGGGGACTTCATACAAGTTTCTACACACAATGCTGCCTGAGTGCCACCCCATATACTCCCACGCCTCCTGGCATCCTGGTTCCAAGTCACCCACCTGGACAGCTCTTACGAGAAATTTTGGCATTTATTATCCATGGCTCTTCTCCTTGCTCCAACTTGAAGATTAAATCAGGTTTAGTACCTCGATACCCTGTTAATGGAAAATCACAAAGGATGTGGGCCAAACTGCTAGGGACTGAGGGATCAAGAGCTACAACACAAAACTACTCATTTACACTTGGGGAGAGATTACAACTGGGAGGTGATGGCAAAACAAGAATGAAGAACACTTGGGCTCTAATATTCGAGCCCATGATCATTAACAACTTCAGAGGCCCGAGAGTAGAGCAGGAAAACAACAGGGATGGCAACTAGGACTCACAGTCCGAGTTAACAGAGAAGCTGTACTTACCCACAGACACCAGGTTGTGGTAGTTTTCCAGTATCACGTCCCTGTACAGGTACTTCTGCGCAGAATCCAGTAACTGCCATTCTTCCAAGGTGAAGTCCATAGATATATCCTTGAATGACAATAATCCCTGTAATAATACACACCCTGTTCAATTGAACACAGTTACACGAGGTGATCTGGGAAAGATGCAGAGGAACTGGGGCAGAAGGCATGTTCCTTCACAGACTGCCTCTTCCATGCCAGCATTCATTTTGTGAGAGAATTGTAAAAAAAAAATCATTTCCTTGTACCAGATGATGTTGGGGTCCTGAAGATTTCAGGATGAATAAAACCCACTGCTGCCCTCGAGAGGCTTTCAGTCTTATAAACAGAAACAAACATCTACACATACAAATGAAAGAAGGTGTTTCAAGTCTTTGATAAAAACAAATCCAGTGTATATTTTGCTTGATATAAACAAAAACAAAATACAGCCCTGGCTGGTTTGGCTCAGCAGTTAGAGCGTCGGCCTGCGGTCCGGAGAGACCCGGGTTCGGTTCCCGCTAAGGGCACCTTGGTTGCAGTTTGTCCCCGGCCCTGGTTGGGTCGTGCGGGTGGCAGCCACTTGATGTGTCCCTTCACGTCGATGTTTCTCTCTCTCTCTCTCCCTCTCACTCTATCTGAACAAAATATCGAAAAATGTCCTTGGGTGAGGGAAAACAAAAAACAAAAAACAAAATACAAAGTAACTATTTAAAATTTAATTGGCCAAGCATTATTTGGCTGTCACTATTATGATCAAGATAGGGTCCATAATAAAAATGTATAGAACATTTTGACACACTGGCAGTGCTGCTGTAATGTAACATATGCACCAAAAAATCAGTACCATGCATTCTCTCACAGTGAAAACCACAGGGCTCATGGGAAGAAACCTTTGCAACAACACATAAAAATAAATAAAAGCAGGACCCTAATAAAAATAGTAGCAGTTTTTACACACATTTTATGGTTAAAAAATATATAAATTATACAATAAATATGGCACTTTTCCTTGAAAAAGACCTAATGATCGAGTGTCAGAGGGGCTGAACCTTATTATAGAGTAGTAGAAAGAAGATTGTTTGAAATCAGTTCCCATTGTTCCCTAAGACACCAATTACGTTTAAACAATTCACTTTTAAAAAAATTTGTTTTTCTTTATTGATTTTTAGAGAGAGAGGAAGGAAGAGGTAGAGAGAGATAGAAACATCGATGATAGAGAACATCGACTGGCCGCCTCCTGCATGCCCCCCACTGGAGATTGGGCCCACAACCCAGGCATGAGCCATGACGGGGTATCGAACTGGCGACCTCTTGGTGCATGAGTCGATGCTCAATCTCTGAGCCACACCAGCCAGGCCAAATTCACATTTTTAAAGCAAACATGAGCCCTGGCTGGTGTGGCTCGATTGAGTGTTGACCTGTACACCGAAAGGTCCAGTTTAATTCCTGGTCAGGGCACATTCCTGGGTTGTGGCTTTGTTGCCAAGTGGAGTTGCATACAAGAGGCAACCAACAGAAGTTCCCCGCTCTCTCTCTCTTTCTCATATCAATTTTAATATTTTTTTAAATAAAGCAAACATGGTAGCAGAACTGACCGTATTTATAAATTTATTCCAATGAATTTGAAAACTTAGAAGAAATGGAAAATTTTCTAGTAAAATAAAACTAACCAAAATTGGCCCAGAAAGAATTTAGAAAGGCCAGACTGACTAGTCAATGATCATAAAACAAACTGAAATAGTAATCAAAGGCACTGCAACTCCAGAAAGGTAATGGTCTCACATTATATTTATTTATTTATTTTTATTTAATTTATTTATTTTTGTTATGGATGTTTCTCCTTTTTCCCCCAGATTCCCCTTGTCCCCAGCTTTGTTGTCCACGTACGTTGTTCATGTATACATGCATATAAATTCTGTGGTTTATCTCTCCCCATCACCCCCTCTTCTGGGGATAGTCAGTCTGTACCCCATTTCCACATCTCTGGGCCTACCCCAATTCCTCAGACTGTTATGTTCATTATATTCCACAAATAAGTAAGATCATATGATACTTGTCTTCCTCTGTTTGGCTTGTTTCGCTTAGGATGACACTTTCCAGGTCCCTCCATGTCGTCTCAAAGGGTAAGAGAGCTTTCTTTCTTACAGCTGCTACTCCATTGTGTATATGTACCACAGTTTTTTTATCCATTCGTCTACTGATAGACATTTTGGCTGTTTCCAGATCTTAGCTATTGTAAATAGTGCTGCTACAAACATGGGAGTACATATGTTCTTTCTGATTGGTGTTTCAGGCTTCTTAGGGTATATTCCTAGAAGTGGGATCACTGGGTCAAATGGAAGTTCAATTTTTAATTTTTTGAGGTAACACCATATTGTTTTCCATAGTAGCTGCACCAGTCTGCATTCCCACCAGCAGTGTATTAGAGTCCCCTTTTCTCCACACCCTCGCCAACACTCGTTTGACTCACATTATATTTAAAAGTAAGTTCTATCAATATCCAAGGGACAGAAAGTTCCCATATCTAATCTAATGTAGAGCCAAGAAATGATGTCTATAGCACATCATACAGACTTGCATAACCCCACAGACAATACCAGGCAAGTACAGCACAAACTGTAGTCTAATCTCACTTATTATTAACTCTGATCAATATTCCTAGAGAAAAATACTAGAAAGTAAAATAAATCCTTTGATTCATAGTAAACTGAGACAAGAAAAGTTTTTTTTAATTAGTTTTCTTTGTATTTTTTTAATTTCTTTTTTCCTTTATTGATTTTTAGAGAGAGGAAGAGAGAGAGAGAGAGAGAGAGAGAGAGAGAGAAACAGTGATAAGAGAGAACATCAATTGGCTGCCTCCTGCATGCCCCCAACTGGGGATTTGGTCCACAACCTGGGCATGTGTCCTGACCAGGAATTGAACCGGTAACCTCTTGGTGCATAGGTCGATGCTCAACCACTGAGCCACAACAGCAGGACTGAGACATGGAAAGTTTATCCATAAAATTAAAGGACAGTCCATTATATTAAGTACTCTTTTCTCAAATTTGCAGGGGGAAAAAACACACATTCTCCAAACTTCCACATCTTTTGCCCTCACTCCAGTCCTCCTTCACAGCAACCCTTTCCTTGTCACTGCCCTGAGTTCTCCACTTGGTCCTTTTCAGCACTCTGTTCGGTAATACCCTGAGCTAACACTATCACAGACGACTTCATCGGTTTATTTCCAGTTGAGAATTCCCACTGAACTACAGACTCTACGACAGGCAGTGCCTATTAAACACCTACACCAGTGCCTGGATATTCTTCTAATAATGCTCCCAAGGCTGGAACACACCATGGTGCTGTCCTTGTTTGGTACTGTCTGTGGGGTTATGCAAGCTTGTTTGATGCGCTGTCCCCATCATTCCTGCTCTACATCAGCTCAGCAGTCGCTCTGAGGTCGCCACTCGTGCTCACGTCGTCAGTCCAGGTGGTCCACTGGTCCTTCCCTCCTCCAAAACTGTTCCTTTCTGCTTTATACCCCAACTCCTCTCCCTACCCATTAGCCGCCCACTGTGCCCAACGTTCACTTGATTACCCTCCCTGCTAGACCACAGCTCCTCTAAAACAAGAACCGTACATAATTTCTCTTTGCCAGCATCAACCCCAGGGTCCAGCACACAAAAAAGCAGTAAATAAACATTTGAACAAACAATGAACAAAGAGAAGGTAACTTCCTCGAGGCCCTAAAGGTCTGGATATGAAAACAAGTCAGTACTTGTGAGTGAATAACTTGAAACGACAGAGGGTCCTTATAGAAAGGACCCTCATTTCCCTCGGAGTTCAGGGTCCGCAGCTGGCAAGAAAGTTAACTGATGACGGAGAGGGCCCGGGCACGAAATGCTGGACGACCACGTTTCCGGAGAGCCAGAGCCAGGACCGGGTGGGGTGGGGAGCAGCCCTCGGGTTCGGGCCCTGGATGTGACCGCGCAGGGGCGGATGTGTCCACGCCTGGCGCCGTCAGCTTCAGAAAGTGAGAAAGTCCCTACTTACCCAACACGAAGCTGTCCGGATCCTGGTGGCCATCCCGCGCTGTTCCGTGCAGGCTGCAGGGGAGAGAACCGAGCTGTCAGGGTCTCTCTGCTGCTTCAACTTGCGCCCACCCAGGAGAAGCCCCGCGCCCCACAGAAGGAGGGTCCGGGGCTTGGTCCCTCGCAGGGAGCGGCCTCCGAGCCTGGGCAGAGGGACCCGGGGAGAGGGTTCCTATCGTTCCGCAGCTCTGACGCGGGAGGACCGAGGCCGGGCAGGTTCCGTCCACGCCCCGGACCGACCGCTGAGGGCTCGGATGAACAAGCTTATGGTCTGCAACGGACGCTCCGAGCCGCTCACCTCCGCGCCTCCGCCGGGTCCACGGCCACATAAAACTCAGTACTACCCCCGCCCCCTCGCGTCCACTGACAACAAGCCCGAAACAGCTCCGCCGGCGCGTACCGACAACGGCCTCGGTGCGGCGCACGCGGAAGTACGTCATATGTCCAAGAGCCGGACGGGACGACCCGAGAAAACTACAACTCCCAGAAACCTCTGCGAAGGGCACGCATACCGGCCGGCTTCCAGAGGAGGCGGGAATGGAGAGGGGGCGGGGCCAGGCGGAAAGGCAAGCAGGCGGGGCCAGCGGTCCAGGGCACCTCCACGCACGCCCAGCCGCCGCGCAACCCACGCGGCCCCGGGACTGCTCTGGCCCCAGGCGTGCTCAGGTGTTGATGTCAAACAAGGTCGAGTTCAGACCACGAGGCATAGCGGAGAGGGACACTTGATGAGTCTACAAGCTGCAGCTCAGGGTTGTAAAACAGTTTGATTATCAGTGCGCCAAAGAATACGGTCACCAACTTCATAAAGGAGAACACGAGGAGACGAACAAATAGAAGGACAGTGCCAGGAGACATTAACAAACTTCTCGGTCCCACACAGATCAAGAGACCCACTCTCATAACAATGCTATAAAACTATATATTAGTAGCATAGTTTTAACGGGACTCTCCGAAAACCTTTTTAAAAAGATTTCTATTCAACAAATAGTGGATGAAACGGGAAAATACAAACACAACTGTAAACAACACTATAAAGAATTTATGGGAGAAACTTAAAGCAGTGGTGACAGGAAATTTTATAATCTTGAGTAATTATATCAGTAAAAACAAAGGAAGTGTAGCATGGCTGATGTGGCTCCGTGGTTAAGGGTTGACCCATTCAACACCAACAGGTGGTAGGTTTGATTCCGGTCAGGGCACATGCCCAGGTTTCAGGCCTGGTCCCCAGTAAGGGGCTTGCAGGAGGCGCCCAATCCATTTTTCTCTCTCACATGGATGTTTCTCTCTGTCTAAATATCAATAAAAACATATTTTTTAAAAGTGTATTTAATTATCAAAAAGTTATTAAAGGCCCTAGCCGGTTTGGCTCATCCATAAAGCATCGGCTGCGAACCAATGAGTCGCGGGTTCGAGTTCACGAAGGGCACGAACTTCGATTGCTGTTGGTCCCCGCCCTGGTCAGGGGAGGCAACTAGTCCATGTGTCCCTCTCAGTTCAATGTTTTTCTCTCTCTCCCTTTCTCTCCCCCTCTCTCCCTCTCTATCTAAAGATAAATAGAAAAAATATCCTCAGGTGAGGATTTAAAAAAAAAGTTATTAAAGAACAACAAAGTAAGCCAAAGGAAAGGAATTTTTGTTGCTAATTCTCATCCGAGGATCCTTTTCCACTGAATTTTAGACATAGTGGAAGGGAGGGAGGAGCAAGAAACATCCATGTGCCATCCACTGGTTGCCTACCACATGACCTTGACCAAGTGGGGATCAAACCTACAACCCAGGTTCCTTCCCTTGACCCAAAATCGAACCCGTGACTCTTTGGTCCTCAGGCTGACGCTCTAACCACTGAGCAAAAGTGGCCAGGGCAAGAAAGGCAATTTAAGGATAAAAGCAAACAACTAGACAAAATTAGCAAGAACAGAAAAGACTCAAATAATACTATGAATCCACTCAAAGCAACTGAGAGAGAACATTCTACTAAGAGGCTGTTGAATACGCATAATTTTCATGTGCGCATGGAACATTCTCCAGGATAGGTTCTATAGTGGACCACAATAAATTTAAAAGGATTGAAATCATGTTTTCTGACTACAGTGGGATTAAAATAGAAATAAACCCCAGGAATAAATGTGAATCTCCAGATTTTTGGAAAATAAAAAACACACGTTTAAGTAAGCCCTGACTCTAAGAAAAAAAATCACAAGTAAAATTAGAAAATACTTTTTTTGTTGTTGATATTTTGTTCAGATAGAGTGGGAGGGAGAGAGAGAGAAACATCAATGTGAAAGGAACACATCGAGTGGCTGCCACCCGCACGACCAACCAGGGCCGGGGACAAACTGCAACCGAAGTACTTGCCCTTAGCGGGAACCGAACCCAGGTCTCTCCGGACCGCAGGCCAACGCTCTAACCGCTGAGCCAAACCGTCTAGGGCAGTGTGTGAACTGAATTAAAATGAAAATGTATATATGAGGTCGTACACTATTTGTCTTTCTCTGCCTGACTCATTTCACATAGCATGTCGTGTTCCCATGTTTTGATAAAAATTTAGTTATTTAATATTTTATTTTTAAAAACTGGATTTACCAAGGTTAGTTTTTCCTACTTCAATTCCTTAATATCTGCTTTTATATTGTTTTCTCTTCCCATAATTGCATTTAATTTCTCCCTAAATTGCTCATTTTAGTTATTTTTATTCCATTTGTTAGTACTGTTGGATTGGATATATTGAAACTTAATTACACTACTTTCACTTTGTAAATTAATCTAAGATGAACAAAACGTAAAGGATAGGGGAGTTCCCTTCTGGGGACACATCTATTTGGCTCATACTTTTTTTTAAATGTTTTATTTATTATTATTTTAATTTATTTTTTAGAGAGAGGAAGGGAGAGAGGGAGAGAGCAACACTGACGTGACGGAGAAACATCAATCAGTCGCAGCCCCACCGGGACGGAACCAGAAACCTGGGAATGCGCAGCCACCGAACCGAGTTGACTATCCTTCTTCCACCGCCCGGTACCGCGCAGTCGCGGCAGACAAGCGCTGAGGCGCTTCAAACCTCCAACCCGCAACCCCGCGAGGCACGGCGGAGTGCCCTCTGGGAAGTGTAGTTTTGAAGCGAGCGGAACTCCGGGAAATGTAGTTCTGCGCAGACACTTCCGCCCTCGGGTGGTGTCAGCGCCGTGCTGCGGCCCCAGGGGTAAGGCTCTGTGGGGCGGCGGCGGGACCGTGAGGTTGCGGCGTGGGGCGGCCCCGGTGACCGCCCAGTCCCACGGCGACCCTGGCGCGCACACGAACCAGCCGCAGAGCGGGTGCCAAGCAGGCCCCGAGGACCGCCCCGCAGCTCGGCGGTTCCGGCCCAGGTCGGTGGGGGCCGCGGGGAGGGAGGGAGCAGGGTGCGGCCGCGCTGGGGACCGGCGTCTGTGGGAGTGGGTGCGGTACGGCAGGATCGAGACCTGGGGGTCAGTGACGGTCCATGAGGGACTGAGAGGAGACCGGGAGCTGATTAATCTGGGGACACTTGAGGGTGTAATCTGTGAGCATCAGTAACTTGGGGCTTGGCAGAGATGCATGGTTGTGAAGCCACTGCAGGGAATTCATTGGGTGATGGGGCCCTCGGGATGAATTTCTGGGAGGGGCCGTAAGGGGTCCGTGGACGGAGAGGCAGTTGTGAGGGCGCCGAGGCAGCGGGGTTGGCGGTGCAGTGAGGGGACACCGCGGTGTGTTTGCAGGAGCCGCAGGACCTCATCAATGACTGGGCTGCCTCTAGGGAAGAACGACAAGGCGTTGCGGGGCATTTAGAGGGCTCAGAGTGGTTGGAGGGAGGTTTTCATGGACTGGACGGCCTATTGGTTGTGCAGCTTGGATTTTACTCGAGCCCTGTGCTCCTGGCAAACAGGAAGGTTTAGAAATAAGACCCCCCTTCCCCATGTGGCTGGATAACACTCACACATGCCCCTTTGACCTGTGACAAGGCCAGACACCGAGCCTCCAAATGCTCATTTTTTGCCGACTTATCAGTGATTAGCTGAGCGGTTCATCCCCACTGATCAATGGCAACAAAACGCTTGTTAACCCAACTTTAGTAAAGCTTCTCTCCTTCCCCCAGTTCCCTGAACTTTCGTCCACGCTCAGGGAACATGTCCTGATCACCTGCCCTCCCATCTCCTTTCCCCACATCTGGTTCCTCTAATCTATTTACCCCTTTCTATTAAAAAAAAACAAAAAACTCTCCTTGCTTCCCAAAGATGCTTGCACCTCTAAGGGCCAGCGTGTTCTCTCTATTGCAGTAGGCCTCACCCCAGTAGTTCTTTGGAATAAAGTATCTCTTTACCAAGTTTGCATTTGTTTTTATTTGACCGTTCAATGTTTGTTTTCTGGGTGTAGAGGAATGTCAGGTGGCCTATGTGGTGAATGATCAAGGCCTATATTTGGTGTCTTGTCATTGAGGCATCAGAGATTGGGGCACTGTGTCACTACGAATTGTGTCACTACGAATAGATGGCTGGCCTGGCCGGGGTTGTGAGTGAGCTGACCATGGGGCTAGTGATTAGAGTCCTTGGAATTGGGACTTGTGCAGAGCTGGAGGCCCTTTCAGGGTGGTGATTAGGAGTACCTGTGGGGGTGTCACTGAATGGTGGGTGAGTGTGGGGTGGATTAGAGAATTGTGGATATGATAAGGGATTGGGGACCCTGTGGGGTTTAGTGATGGGAGATAGCAAATTCTGTGAGAGCAATGATTGGGGCACCTGTCAAGGTGAGTGAATATGTACCTGTAACAGGAAATGACTGGAATTCCGAGGGTTTCTCTGGGGCCCAGTGTTTGGGATTTCACTAACTCACTTTCTAGCTAATGAATAGACTCTGTGGAGATTATTGAACTGGGTTAGGGGAGCCTGTGGTAATCAGTGATTAGGGGTTGTGGGGTCATAATCAAACAACGGGCCTGACTGGTAAGACTGGGAATCAAAGGTCCTGTGAGTATCTGATTTGGGGCGGGGCTGTGGAGAGATTTTGATTTCATTGATCCATACACTGTGGATTGGTTTTGTCACTTGGGGTTTGCAGTTGAGGGCTTTTCTAGAGGAGTCATTGGGAACCCACAGTGTGTGTAATTGAAGGTCTTGGAGGGGAGGCCTGTGAAATCAATAGTCAGAGTCCAAGGGGTGGGTGATGGGCTTGTAGGGTAAGTGACAGTGGATATAAGTGGGTATATTATGATTTCCAATATATATTTGGTCATTCAGATGACCAAAATGTATTTCTTTTTTTTTTTCCTCACCCGAGGACTTTTCCATTTTTTATTCAGATAGAGTGGGAGGGAGAGAGAGGAAGAGACAGAGAGAGAGACAGAAACATCGACGTGAAAGGGACACATCGAGGGGTTGCCACCGGCACGACCAACCAGGGCCGGGGATAAACCGCAACCAAGGCACATGCCCTTAGCGGGAACCGAACCTGGGTCTCTCTGTACCGCAGGCCGACGCTCCAACCGCTGAGCCAAACCTGCCAGGACCAAAATGTATTTCTTAGATATATTTGGTCTTCATCCACAGTTTCTGGTTCACAGCTCCCGAAACCCTTGGAATTTCAGGAGCAATAAGAGCATCGGGGGCATCTTTTGTTATAATATTTGGTCTCTCGTTATCAGTTATTGAAAGCATTTTAGAGCCATAAAGATGAAATGGGTGTCTAGCACAGGAATTGAACCCAAGGAGAGGGTCATGGGAATCCCTGATTTATAGCCAGTTGATCAGAAGCCCCAATAACAACCTGGGCTTGAGACTGGTGTCTAAGTAGAAGGCAGTCTTGTGGGGCTGAGCTCTTTACTGGTGGAATCTGATTCTGTCTCGGAGTAGATAGTGCCAGAATTGAGTTGAGTTCTGGAAGAGACTTTGAAGCCAAAAGATAACAAACCTTTATTCACATGCAAATGAAGCACCCAATACATTTGGGTGGGCCAGCCCCCTCCCCCCCCCTATTCCGAGAATGCATGAACACAAGGTTGAGAGTGCTTAACACAAGGTTAAAAAACATCCATCTTCCAACCCCCCAACCCCACAATGGACTGGGTAGCAGTGGGATACATCATGGTCTGTAGGGGTTGGTGTATGATTGAAGCTGTCTTCAGTACCAGTGTTTGAGGGGCCTTTTGGGTGTTGGTGATTGTGGGGCCTCTGAGGGTGAATATTTTGGGCTTTAGTACAATCAGACATTACCTTTTCCCGAGGAGACAGCTGAAGATCTCCTGGAGCTCCAAACTAAATAAAAGTTTCTGGGGCAGGTGGCCCTTGGTCTCAGGGACCCCAGGTTTGGATAGCAGTAAGTCTGGTCTCTTTTTTCACTCAAGGCTCCTCTCGGGGCCTCAAAGACTGTTGAGATCCCCTACCTGGACCCAGGAGCTTCAAGGAGCTCCCTGGGCATTTTGGGAAGAGGGACTTTTCTTTTGCATATTGCTCTCAGCTCTCCCAGGACATTTTTCCTGGAGAGATCCGCCTTCAAGCCCCATACCCTTCACACTGGACTAAAAAGAGCCCAGCCTCACTCAAGGAATCTGCCTTTTTTTTTGTGTGTGGTACGTGTCCCTAGCGGGAACCAAACCCAGGACTCTCTGGTCCGCAGGCTGAGGAATCTGCCTTTTATGTCTACAACCCATAAGTGGGCAAAAACCTGTCAATCTTTCCTTTTCCTGCCTCTGGGAACTCTGCCCTGGATGTCTTTGCTGTCCCCTCTGCCACTATTTCAGGTCAAAGTTCAACATGCAGTCTGTCTTTCTAGACTGACTGTGGTTCTCACCTGCCCCACAAGATCCTCGTTACCTTGTTGACATTGGTACTTGTCCCCCTCTCTGACCTCAATTCTCTTACAGCCCTCAGGAAACGGACCAAGAGTTGGTCCCGTGGTCGGGTGTTTCCTTTCCATTTCTTGCTGTCTGCATGAGTATAGGGTTCCTGAGTGTGTGGTGATGAAGCAGGCCTGTCTAGTCCATATCCAGCCCTTGCCCAACTTCAGGATGGATGGTAACTGCCTCGAAGGAACAGTGTTCTGACTCCACTCTTGGTAGCTGCCCTGGGGCAAAACCTAAAAGTTTGCTAACACCCAGGTGTAACTTTCTCCCCTCATTTACAGCAAATGAGTGGACACTGCCATCTACCTGTCTCTGTACCCACTTATATCTACAGAACATTGAAGACACCTTCCCCATTCTTTAGTAAAACAGTGCCTCAGACAAAGCTCTTGCTGTAAGTCTTCTGCAGGTATAACAGTCTCTCCTTGCTCTGTTTATTTTCTGGAAAGATGCTCACTGACCTGTCCATCATGTTCAGTCTGCCTGGTGAGCTGTCAGGCTGTGGCAAGATACGAAGAATTTGTCTTGTCTGTCCCCAAATTTACCGGGTACTGAGTTTATTGGACATTTCCTTTCAGGTGTATTCTTATGAAGGAAATATCCCTCTGCTACCCATGCCCATGAAGTCCTTCTCTGATCCCAGATCTGGCTGAGTGTAAGTGACTTGGTCCATGAGCAGTGAAGAAAGTTAAAGTGTAAGTATTTTTATGCATCAAATTGTAGTAGCTTTTGTTTATTATGCTTATCTTAAATATTGATTTATCTGCCCCAATATTTCTGCCTAAAGTGATATCTGTTATGTAGTTTGTGATCTTTCAAAAGTGTTAAAAATAGTTATTGTATTCAGTTATGTGGTTATTTGGCTTTTTAGGGAAATAACTAAAACCGTAATCTGGAAACCCAGAAGACTTCTCCACAAAAGAAGAGAAAGAAAAACAGTTTCATTATTGACTAACAATGAAACCAGAATGTGATGAGCACTGCAAGCAGGTCTGCTAAAGATATTGCAGAGATGGGGAGAAAGCTCACCCTTTTCTATAGCCAGGTAGCTACAACCCATCACACACATGGTCTCAGATAAATGATCATTTGTCACACGAAGTCCATCCTAAATTTACCTGGTGAGTGGGGTGGCCATCTGTGTTAGCTAATTGCCTTTATCCAAAGAAAAAAAATCAACCTTTCATATCTTCATGACTGGAGGTAGTTTTACCGCTTGGAGCCTGGTGCCAAAGTCAGGCTGATTAGGCTCCTGTCCTCCCGGAGACTGGGAGATGGCGGAGCCTCCTGGAGGATTTCAAGGAGATGGCTTCCAGGTCTTTAAGAAAGATGTTCTTGTGTTGTTGAACTGGACAAGGCTTATTTCACTTTAGAAAAGATTAACATACATCTCCAAGTGCCAGAGAAAGAATTTACAATTACAGGTTTTCTAAAGTAAATGCTCTTTGTTTTTTATCCTCACCCGAGGACATTTTTCCATTTTTTGTTCAGATAGAGCGGGAGGGAGAGAGAGGAAGAGAGAGAGAGAGAAACATCGATGTGAAGGGACACATCGAGTGGCTGCCACCCGCACGACCAACCAGGGCCGGGGACAAACTGCAACCGAGATACGCGCCCTTAGCGGGAACCGAACCCGGGTCTCTCTGTACCGCAGGCCGACGCTCCAACCGCTGAGCCAAACCGGCCAGGGCAGTAAATGCTCTTTGAATAGGGCTCCAGAAGTCTCTTTCCCTTTTTTTGCATGAGGGAAGATTAGTTTTTCTTGTTTTGTTTTATCCTCACCCAAGGACATTTTTTGCATTTATCTTCAGATATAGCAGGAGGGAGAGAGGGAGGAATAGAGAGAGAGAGAGAGAGAGACATCGAGTGGTTGCCACCCATATGACTCCAACCGGGCCCGGAGACAAACTGCCACTGAGGTATGTGCCCTTAGTGGGAACCCAACCCAGGACTCTCCCGTGGCCAACACTCCAAACTGGCCAGGGCTTGTTTTGTTTTGTTTTTAATTTACATCTGCTCTTACAGGCCTCTGAACTCATGTTACCCTAGAGGTATTAGCTGCTCTCAGTACGAGGTCTGGTAATTTGGCAGCAGGGAAGGGCTGAGGCCAGGCCGTTGAAGGGAGGGGTAGGACCTGTAGAACCACTGGACAGCCTAGTCCCCCACCTCTTCAAGCAGCTCCTCGGGTCAGCAGTCAGGTGCCCTTAGAACGAAGCCCTGGTGGAACATTTTCCCTGGGGAATGGAGGGGAGGTAAGAGATGAGTAAATGCCCAAAGGCAGCTGAGCAGCTCTTGCCATTTCCATGGCTCCTTAATTCAGCAGGGGTTTGATCGGCCTCGATTATCCCTTGAAACCTTTGTCGGGGCTTTTCCTGCTGGTTCCTGAGGGAACAGGCAGGATCTGCCCCAGGATGAGCCCAGAAAGAAGCACCATTACATGTTTCCTTTGGCCCCTGCTGCCTTCTGCTCTAGCTGTCACACATGCAGTGTGCAGTCAACTTCACCACAGTCTGTCTCCCCCTTGGTCTCTCTTCTTGTTGCTATTTCTGTTGGTTCCTCTGATCTATGCTTTCCTTTGGCTCCAGGGCTGAATTTGGAGTAGAGAGCCAGCACCCCAGGCTTCATCACTATCTTTTTTTAAAGCATTAAAAAAATTTTTGTTTCTTTATTGATGTTAGAAAGAGAGGAAGGGAGAGGGAGATAGAAACACCAGTGAGAGAGAACATTGATTGGCCACCTCCTGCATGCCCCCCAGTAGGGATCGGGCCCACAACCTGGGCATGTGCCCTGACCAGGACTCGAACCGGCGGTCATGCTTAACCACTGAGCCACACTGGCTGGGCTTGCCATCTTGATCTAAAAGCCAGTTCTGTTGACCATCCTGCCCAGAAATGAATTGTATTTTACACTGTTGCACCTATGCAAGTAGTTTGATTTAAGTGCCCCCAGGAAATGTTGCTGCAGAATGAGTGAGCCAAGATTGTATGTTCAGACTTTGCTGAGGTCTCTGGAGAGTATTCTGATGTGCTTGGTTGAACCAGGCGAGTGGCTTCAATCTGGCATTTCCAGGTGGGAGTCAGCGCTGCCAAGGGCAGTGTCAGGCTCGGCTGAGACTTGCCGGTGGCTTACATTCCATCCTGTTTCTGATTGGAGTGCAGCAAACAGCTCGTCTGAGTTCCCAGTAAGAGAGAACTGAGATTCAGGTTCCCAGATTAACCGCACCATCTAAACTAAAATTCCCACTGCATCTCTAGGCCATGACTTTCAGAAACAAAGTGACCCAGGTGAGGCAAGGAAGGAGAGGCCTCGGGACTGGAGGTGCAGTTTACAGCTCTTGACCAGAAGCTGTTCCTAGAGCGTCAGGACAGAGAAGGCCCAGAACAGCACAGTCCCCCAAAGCAGCAGAAAATGATCATGTCACAGGTGAGTTATCTGTTTTTTCTCTAGAAGTTTTTTGTGTGGATGTGATGAGGCTTACAGGAGTCTCTACAAGCAGTAGGAGAGGTATGTATACGTTTAGACTATAACCACAGAAAACAGTGTAAACTCGGGAAGGATGTAGTTATGCAAAGAGCTGAAGTTTGAGACGGCCTCCACATATTGCTTACCAGTTTCAAAGAAGTAACCTGGAGGACTGGCTGCGAAAGACCTGAGTTTATTGGAGCTTAAGTGTGCACTGGGGGCAGCCTGCAGGTGAAGTGTCTGCAACACAGGCTTTCAGGGTACGGGGTTATGTAAGGCACAGGAGGCAAGGAAACAGGGCAGCAAATCCCACGTGCAGGCTGGGTGTGCTCACAGGCACAGGACGGCGCCCGGCCCAGTGCCAGGTGTGCCGCCTGCCAGGGTGTTTTCCCAGTTTTTAATGATGGTGTTTTTTAATTTTTGAGTTTTGTGTTCTTTATAGATTCTGAATAGAGATGCTTTCTCATATAAGTGACTTGCAGATGTTTTCTCCTAGTTTGTGCCATGATTTTTGTTTTAAAAAGTCTTTCACAGAGAAAATAATTTTTTAATTTGAAAAAATCCAACTTAGTAATTTTTTTCCTAAATTCACCATGTGTTCAGTGTTGTGCATAGAAACTCATTGCCAAACCCAAGCAGGTTTTCTCCTGCTTTTTCCTAGAAGCTTTATAGTTTTAGGTTTCACCTTTAGGTCTGCGATCCATTTTGAGTTAATCTCTACATAAGGCATGAGGTATGTGTTGAGGTTTATTCTTGTGCTTATGGGTACACAGTTGTTCTAACATTGTTGAAAAGACACCTTTCTCTGTGGAATTGCTTTTGTACCTTTGTCAAAAATTGACTGAAAACAATTAGGTACAAACTCCACAATTTAATTAAAAGGATGATCGTCCCAGCATTATTAATAACAGCAAAAAAATACCACAGAAATAAACTAAATATCCAACAGAAAAAGTCAATTGAGCATATTTGTGGGTATCTATTTCTAGTCTTTCTATTCTGTTCCATTCATCTATGTATTTACTCCTTCAGCAATACCACCTTGTTTGAAGTACTGTGGCTTTATAGGAAGTCTTGAAATCAGGTTTATGTGAATCCTCAACATTTTCTTTTTCCAAATCATTTTTGCTGCTCTAGTTCCTTTGCCTTTTGTCCCCATGCCCTGTACGTCCTTTTTTCATGGCCTCTGTAACATTTTATTGTCTGTGGCCCAAAAAGACGGAAGTATTTGAAAATATGATTTTTTTTTTTTACTCTTTATATTTCTGGCACCTGTTACAGTTTCAGGAACCTTAAGAGTTCAACATCTGTGTTCTGGGAGACATCTAAAGGAGCTAGCAAGTTCCTGCTTGGGAGCAAGACCACCCGTGGGGAGGAGAGTGCTTTAGAAATGCAGATAGGATTTGGGCTTGAAGGTGACTGAGAAATGGTACCAAATGCTACCGTCATTTAGCAGGTAGAGAGGCCAGGCTTGCTGACTGTCTCCCACTACGTGGGGCAGTTGCACTCAGCTAAATTGTTCCCAAATACCCAGTAGCACCTTCCTTGAGTACCACTGCACTTATTTAAAGACAACCTATTTCAGTTTCTTATTCAGTTGATAGATGGGTGGATAGGTGAATTCATGATGATAAATATTTTAATAACATTTTTAAAAATCTCTCTCAAGGTATAATGCAAGATTAGGATGTCATATAAGTTAACCAACCACTGCTGTATAACAAGTTACCCAAAAACTTCGTGGCTGAAACCACAAAACATTTATCTCACACTAGCTGTGGGTTAGGGATCTGCCAGCAGTTTACCCACTTGGTTCTGCATTTGAGCTGTTGAGAAGGTCTGCAGTCATCTCAAGGCATAAGAGGAGCATGATCCCCTTCCAAGCTCACCCGTAGGGGTGTGGTCAGGCCTCAGCCCCTTGCCTCATGGGCTTCTGCATGGGGCTGCCTCTCAGCATGGCAGCTGGATTCCCCAGAGAGAGCAAGAGAGGGTCCCCAGGATGGAAGTGCATTCTTCCATAAGCCAATCTTGGAGGTGACATCCCATCGCTTCTGCCCTATTCTTTTCATTGGCAGTGAGTCAGTAAGTCCAGCCCGTAAGGGTTACACAAAACATGAATACCAGGAGTTAGAGGGCACTGGGGCCAACCTAGAGGCTGCTTACCTCTATAGAGAAGAAAGCCAGTGTTCTACATGAGAATCACTTCAGATTTAACAGGGATTATGCTTTTCTAGATATCATTTGAGGATGTGGCTGTGGATTTCACATTGGAGGAGTGGCGGTTACTAAACCCTACCCAAAAGAACTTGTACAGAGACGTGATGTTGGAGAACTATAGCAATCTAGTGTTTTTGGGTAAGAACATTCTTATGTAAAACTGTGGGGCTGCTAAGATTTTACTGATTTTGTTTTTTTCTTTTTCTTTATTGATTTTTAGAGAGAGGAAGGGAGAGAGAGATAAAAACATCTATGAGAGAGAACACCGATGGGCACCTCCTGCGTACCCCCCACTGGGGATCAGGCCCAAAACTTGTGTATGTGTCCTGACTGGGAATCAAACTGGTGACCTCTTGGTGCATGGGTCGACGCTCAACCACTGAGCCACACCGGCCATACCTGATTTTGGATTTAAGTTTCAGACGTCAACAATTCTTTGATTTATATACCCAATTGAAAGATTTTTATTCACTTTATTTTGTAGCCTTTGTAGTAAAATAGTCTTCACATTTAAGAGTCCCTCAGCCCAAGCAACTGTGTCCAAGTCCTCTGTGTTTCCAACTAACAGGTTATCAAATTATCAAACCTGATGCAGTTTTCAAGCTGGAGCAAGAAGAGCCCTGGAAAATAAAGAAAGAAATGCTAAGTCACAGCTTCTCAGGTGAGAGATGATCCAGTGTATGGTGTACAGTTAAGGTTAAATCTCAGGGTTTTTTTTCTTTATTGATTTTTAGAGAGAGTGGGAGAGGGAGAGCGAGATAGAAACACTAATGAGAGAGAACATCAGTTGGTCACCTCCTGCATGCCCCCCACTGGGGATCAGGCCCACAGCCTGGGCATGTGCCCTGATCGGGAATCAAACCGGCGACCTCTTGGTGCATGGGTCGACGTTCAACCACTGATCCACACCGCCAGGCAAATCTCAGGTTTTTGATGATATGTTGGCACTCTTGAAATGTTATGTACAAAACTGTTTGGAGTCTCTAATTCTTTATTTAGAGTTGACTCGGGACTGGTGACATAGTTCTGCATGACTTTTAAAGTGCTCTAGATCCTGGTCTCCACATCAAGATGTCTTCTTTTCGTGGAGTTGATGAATGCACTCCCACCTCACCCACATCGGTGGCCAGTCAGCTAGGCCCTGGCTCCCTGGATAAGGCTCTTCTTCCAGCTTCCTCCGTCTCCGTTTTCTTCTCTCCTGCCCCAGAGGCAGCTTCTCTCCTCCCCTTTAAGAATTCATAGGTTTTCCTCATTTTATTTATTTATTGTTGCTACTCCTCACCCGAGGATCTTTATTCCATTGATGTTTTAGAGAGTGGTAGGGAGGAAGGGAGGGGGGGATAGAGAAACCTCAATGTGAGAGAGATATATCTGTTGGTTGCCTCCCACATATGCCCTGACGGACTGGGCATCACACCTGCAACCCAGGTCATGTACTAGCCCTTGCCTAGGAATCGAACCTGTGACCCTTCGATGCTCTGACCACTGAGCCACAACGGCCAGGGTGGTTTTCCTCATTTTAGGTGAGACTGATTACCTTTGAGTTTCCTTTAGTATTTCTCTTTTCTCCATCTAGTTTGTCAGATTTCCTTTTATTTACTATTTTTTATCCTCACCCGAGGACATTTTTCCATTTTTTTGGTCAGATAGAGTGGGAGGGAGAGAGAGGAAGAGAAAGACAGAGAAACATTGACGTGAAAGGGACACATCTAGTGGCTGCCTCCCGCACGAACCAACCAGGGCTGGGGACAAACTGCAACCGAGGTACGTGCCCTTAGTGGGAACTGAACCCAGGTTGCTCTGGACCTTAGGCCGACGCTCTAACCGCTGAGCCAAACTAGCCAGGGCTGTCAGATTTCCTTTTAAAAAATGTTTACTTGATTTTTTTGGGGGGAAAGAGAGAGAGAAATAGAAACATCGATGTGAGAAACATCCATTGGCTGCCTCCTGCATGCCCCCTACTGGGAATGGAGCCCACAACTCGGGCATGTGCCCTGACTAGGAATCAAACTGCCGGGACCTCTCAGTCTATGGGACAGTGCTCAATCCACTGAGCCACACCAACTGGACTCAGATTTCCTTTTAAATCCACAGAGGGTAGGTGAATCCTGACTATAGGACAAAATCTGAATACCTAAAACAGTGAGGTTTGACCTTCCTGGCCTCCATGCAGACTCGGACGTGACAGTCAGCTTCTAGGGCATCTGTTTGGTGTATTTGATGTTTATCTTCCCTAAAGCTTCTCATTCATCCTATCAAATAGTCTGCTGGGTGTAAGAACCCATTACCTGTTGTGATATTGTTTTTTTTTATTGATTTTTAGAGAGAGATGAAGGGATGGGGAGAGAAAAACATTGCCTACTGGGGATTGAGCCCACAACCCTGGCATATGCCCTGCCTGGTAATTGAACTGGCAGCCAACTGAGCCACACTGGCCTGGGCTACACACTGTGATATTTTAATTTCATTTATGTTGAAGAACCTCATGATATGGCAACATCTTATCTATCCAGTGTATTTTCTGTGCCCAGAAGTCATGGTTTCCCTCAGTGCCTTTCATACATTTATTCTGCATATGGGCCTTTGATTATAGTGTGTTTTCCCCACTCAGCACCTTTCTCTTCAGTTTGAGCTATTTTTCACCTCCAGTGAATGTTCCTTGTCTCCCAGCCTTTCTGAAATCTCTGCCCATTTAGCATTGTTTTATAGGAACCCAGGCCCGATCACACGTTACTGGGAATTCCTTAACCAATTAGGCCTTACTATGTTTTCCCAAATAGAAAGATGGCAAGTAACGTCTCTGTTCTCTGTGGAATTTATGGAATGTAATTACTCTGTATTTCATTACTTGGGGGTTGTGGGACCAGATAAGGCAGCACATTTTTTATTCATTGAATATTTCTTTAGTACAAAGGTTTTCATCTAAGCAAGTGTTTATCAATACAGAAATGAATGCTTTAGAAGTTCAGTGTTCAGTGCACTGTATTATCCTGCAAGTATTGAGGGTTGTTATGTGACATGTGATGGGGGTACATCAGTGAAAAATACAAACCTGTCCCTTCCCTTAGGGTTTACATTCTAGCAGGAGATACATAAATAAGTAAAGCGATTACCTGTTTGTTAAGTACTATGGAGAAAATAAACAGGATATTTGTTAGTGTACCCTTAAATGATGTTAAGACTTAAATGAGTCAGGCATGTTGGAAGCTGGGAAGACCATGTCAAATAGAAGGAACAGCAAATGCAAAGGTCTTGAGGCAGAAAAGGGATCAAAGGAAAGGGAAGGGATTCAGAATGGCCCAAAAATAGGGAGGCAAATGTGAGGGGAAGTCCGAGAGGTTGGAAGAAGCCAGGTCATGCAAAGGGCGAGGAAGTGATAACATAAAGGTTTGAATTTATCAAAGGTTTTTTGTTTTGTTTTTAACCGAGAGGGTAAAAGACCTGATTACATTTTCTGAAGATCACCGGCTGCTATGTGGAGACTATCATGGGAAGGAGTAAGATTGGAAGTAGGAAAATCAATGTGAAAAATAGGATGAGCCTTGACCATATTTGGTTAGCACGTGTCCCAGTACATCAAGGTTGTGGGTTTGGTCCCTGGTCAGGGCACATAATGAATGAATGCATAAATAAGCAGAACGACAAATCAATGTTTCTCTCTGTCTCTCAAATCAATCAATAAAATTTTTTTAAAAAAGGAAAAATAGGCCCAGCTGGTGTGGCTCAGTGGTTGAGCGTTGACCCATGCACCAAGAGGTTGCTGGTTCGATTCCCGGTCAGGGCACATGCCCAGGTTGTGGGACCGATTCCCAGTGGGGGGCATGCAGGAGGCGGCCAATTGATGTTTCAATCTCTCTCTCTAAAGTCAATAAAGAAAAAATAGGATGGCCTTGGCAGGTTTTCTCAGCAGTTAGAGCATTGGCCCATGGACTGAAGGGTTGTGGGTTTGATTCCAGTCAAGGGCATGAGGCCTGGGTTACAGGTTTCCCCAGCTCGACCGGGGCGATGCAGGAGGGAACCAATCAATGTGTCTCTCTCACATTGATGTTTTTTTCTCTCTCCCTCCCTTCCTTTCACTGTCTCTAAAACATCAATGGGAAAGTATCCTTGGGTGAGGCTTAACACAAAAAGAAGAAAATTAGGATGAAATAAGGACAGTATGTACTACAGGTTGACAGACAGAGAGCACTGGGAAACTACAGCTGTGCCCGCACCTGAGATAACACAGAAAGATAGTCCACGTGTTTCCCAAAATGATAATATTTTATTTTTTAAAGATCTTTTGATACAGTTGAACTACTTCAATATTGTCTGTATCATTTACTTTATCAATTTGGATATACATCTTAATCTTATTTCTTGATTTGATTTTAATTTAAAATTTCTATTTTTCTTTACTCACATTTGATGAAGCAATTTTGTGTAAACTATTCTAGGGGATCTCACACTCAAATATCTACATATGACTCTTTCTTTTAATCTTCATACATTTTTCCACAATCTTTTTCATCTCAGTAAATAGTATTATCATCTCCACTTACTTAAGCTCAAAACATTGAATCCTTTTAGTCTCTTCCATATTAGCAGCTCTGGTTAGTTCTTCCTCTGAAATTCTGATGTCTGAGAAATAGATGAGGCTCCCTCACCCCCCAAAACTCCTCCATAAAAGGGTTAGTTGCCTTTGAGATCTGTTTTTTTCCCAAGCAGCTTTTTAGAAATTATAATTATGAAGACTGATATAGTATAGGAAATTTTTATAATATGAAGTAAAACAATACAAAGTTATACTACAATCAGAACTATGCAAAATTACATGTATACAGTACAGTGAAAATATAGGAAGGTGACAGAAAGACATGATTTGAATGGGGTAGCTGGACCATGATTAAATTTTGTATCTGGTTTTTGTTACAATGTCTGTTCAGTAATATTATTAATATTTTTGAAAAGAAAAATTTAGCACCTCCCTATTCAAAAACCACTCACAGTCAACACCTTATTCATGTAGCAGTTTGCATGTTGAATGTTGACTTTCTTATTCCTTTTTCTCTGCCTACATGTCCGTCCAAGTTTCTTTGCCCAAGTAACTTAAAACTCCCAGAGCCTGAATGTTCTTATCTTTAAATGGGGTATTAACACCTACTCAGAAACCCCTTGGGATCTCAAAGCATAATGATCTTTGCAAACTGAAAGTGAAGGTCCAGTCAACCTCTCCTCAGTGCTGCCTTCCTTCCAACCTGACCCGTGTTCCCCTTCTTTGCATCTTTGTTCTTTACTTTTCTATGTTCAACTCAGTTCCTTTGCCTTCTCTTCCACCTCCTTGTTTTTCCCTTCCTTTCTGGAGGTTGGAATGGGTTTCCTAGGCTTCACACCAAGGTGTGGGTAGGCTGCAGTCCTTTCCAGAGGCTTCAGGGGAAAAATCGTTTTCTTGTCTTTTCCAGATCCAGAGGCGCACTTTTGAGATCTAACCAAATCTTCCATCTTACAGAGTGCTTCCTGGGCATGTGACCTCAACTGCTAATGATGAATGTTACCCTAAAGTAAACACATCTTTAAAAGATCACTTCAGACCTCTCCCTCTGGTCGAGACCACACCTTCTCCCCAGGCACGTTACCTTGCCTTTCCCTTTCTGTCTCCCAAGCTCCAAGGGCCCTTCTTTTGCCTCTGTAACTTGTTTCCTTAGTCTGTTTCCTCTACAGCTTACTTTTACTACCTCTGTAACTTTCTATATAAACCTTCTCTTTGAACTTTGATGTCTAATTAACTTTGATTTCTTAAAGAAGGTTTCTTCACAATCACTGCACTGATAGTTCTTTTAAATCACTTAAAATTATTCAGTACACAGTCTTATTGTGGAAATTACAAACAATGGTACTTATTCTGTTTTAAAGTTATGCAAAGAATTATTGTACTTTGGAATAATTTCCATTGATAGCATTATATAGATTCAATATATAGGTTATAGAGTCAGTTAAAATGTCAAAAAAATCCAAAAAAATGTTGATGCTGAGCTCTGGAGAACTCTTGGATAATTCCATGAAGTAGCTCCAAGGGTGGTGCAGTTAATGAAGTCAGTGATTCAGGTGATGATCTTTAATTAGAATTTTTTTTAAAGGTAACAATAGCCATGGTCAGTTTGGCTCAGCAGTTAGAGTGTTGGCCTGAGGACTAAAGAGTCGTGGGTTCAATTCCGATCAAGGTCACCTAGGTTGCAGTTGGTCCCTGGCCCTGGTATGGGTCCTGAGGGAGGCAACCAATCGATGTTTCTGTCTCACATTGATGTCTCTCTCTCTATCCCCACCCTCCCACCCCCCACTCTCTCTGAAGGTAAATGGAAAAATAACCTCGGGTGAAGATTTTTTTTTAAAAAAAGTAACAGTAATACATATATAATCTTGCTCTTTTGTGGACTTGTCATTCTCAGTCTTCCTGTATGTTGTAAGCCCTCTGATGGTGGAGAGCTTAGCTGTCTTCTTCCTGGATCTTCTGCTACTAACAAGTTTAAGTAGTTAACCACTCTCGTATTTGGTTAGAAATTGCTCCAGTCTTTATCTTATGATCACTATTCCTTGAGTATATTTCTTCTTTGCTTATTTAAAAGTTTGTTTGGTATAAACATTTGTAATTTTTAAAATCTGTTTTCATTTTTGCTAAAAATGTTAATGCCTAGTAAGTAGACATTGTATTTGGAAGAAAGTTTATTTTTGGACTGGGATCCTAGGCTCCATTTCAGAAATTGTATTTAATAAGTATAATCATTGGGGGATTTACACAGTGTGGTTCATTTTTTTCTTTTTAGAAGAACTCTGGCTAGATAATAATCTCAAAATGTGGCACCATGATAATCAAGACAAGCTTAAAAGTATGGAGAGAGGCCATCAATATGTTTTTGGGAAAATATTTCATTCAAGCATTAACTTTGTTCATTTAGGAATGAGACTCCATAAATATGGCACAAGGGGAAAAAATCTGAATCATCCTTTTGATTTTCTTATTCCAAAAAATAACTGTGGAAGAAAGAAACTTGAACTCAGTAAGAAATTGTTGTTCTGTATCAGAACTGACAGAACCTGTGATGGAATAAAATACTGTGATTGTAATAAATGTAGAAAGGCCAGCAGTAAAGAGTCATGGTTCATTACAAACCATATAACACACAGAGGAGTGTATTTATGCATGGAATGTGGCAAAGTTTTTAACAAAAAGTCCCAGCTTGTTATTCACCAGAGGACTCATACAGGAGAGAAGCCCTATGGATGCAGCGAATGTGGGAAAGCCTTCTCCCAGAAGTCACTGCTCACTATTCACCAACGGACTCACTCAGGAGAAAAACCGTATGGATGTTGTGAATGTCCTAAAGCTTTCAGTAGGAAGTCACTGCTCATTTTACATCAGAGAACCCATACAGGAGAGAAGCCTTATGGTTGCAGTGAATGTGGAAAAGCCTTTAGCAGGAAGTCACAGCTTAAAAGACATCAGATAACCCATACAGTAGAGAAACCCTATGGTTGCAGTGACTGTGGGAAATCTTTCTCCCAGAAAGTAAAGCTCATTACACATCAGAGAACACATACAGGAGAGAAACCCTATAAATGCAGTGACTGTGGAAAAGCTTTCTTTTGGAAGTCACAGCTCGTTACTCATCAGAGGACTCATACAGGGAAGAAACCTTATGCATGTAGCGAGTGTAAGAAAGCCTTCAGCAGGAACTCACTTCTCATTAGGCATCAAAGGATTCACACCGGAGAGAAGCCCTATGGGTGCAGCGAATGTGGTGAAGCCTTCATCAGAAAACCACAACTTATTAGACATCAAGTAACTCATACAGGAGAAAAGAACTATCAGTGCAGTGATTGTGAAGAAGCCTTCTTTAAGAAGTCAGAGTTAATTAGACATCAAAAACTTCATTTAGGAGAAAAACCCTATGGATGTATTGAATGTGGAAAAACCTTCTTTGGGAAGTCACAGCTCCTTACACATCAGCGAACTCACACTGGCGAGAAACCTTTTGAATGCAGTGAATGTGGGAAAGCCTTCACCCAGAAGTCAAGCCTAATATCCCATCAGAGAACTCATACAGGTGAGAAACCCTATGAATGCAGTGAATGTGGGAAAACCTTCAGTGAGAAATCAAGTCTCATTCATCATCAGAGAACCCATACTGGAGAAAAACCATTTGAATGTACTGAATGCAATAAAGCTTTTGCCTGGAAGCCACAGCTTCTTAGGCATCAGAGAATTCATACAGGGGAGAAACCCTATGCATGCAATGAATGTGGGAAAGCCTTTGTTCAGAAAGTGCAGCTCATTAAACATCAGAGAAATCATACAGGAGAGAAAACCTATGGATGCAATGATTGTGCAAAAGCTTTTTTTGAGAAGGCACAGCTGATTATACACCAGAGAATTCATACAGGAGAGAGGCCTTACAAATGTGGTGACTGTGGGAAGTCTTTCACTAGGAAGTCACACCTTATGAGGCATCAGAGAATTCACACAGGAGATAAATACTATGGGTGCAACAAATGCGGGACTACCTTCAACAGGAAGTCACAGCTTGTGATCCATCAGAGAAATCATGTAACACAGAAACCACATGAGAGCGGTGAGTATGGAAAGCCTGCTAACAGATGTCATACCTCTTGATACTTCTGAGGACACATACAGGAGAGAAACCCTATCATTGCACTGACTGTTGGAAAAATTTTATTGGAAAGGCAAGTGTCACTAAACAGAATTCAGAAAATTTTTTTCAGTAGACAATATAAGAAAGCCTTCTTCCACAACACACAACTTATTACACACTGATAACTCATCTATCAGTACTGTGACAATATAGAACCTTTTAAAAGTGAAAGCTTGTTAAATATTTGAAAGACCTAAATGGGTCATAGCAAGTAAAAGAGTTAATTAAGTAAGGGTAATATACAGTACACTAAAGAGTGTATACATAAGGGAGATACTGAATATTAGAAATTTCACATGGGATTGTCCTAATAATTCAAAAAAATTGATAAGCATGATCCTATTTAAAGAATTCTATAATAAAGTTATGTTTGTTGTATATAAATTATAAAGGATGGTCATTTTAAAATGGTAGATGTGTTTTAATTGTGAAGACTTCTGTTTTCTGCCCTAGTGGCAGAACAAGGACCAGATTGACTCTCCTGCTTTGAACAGCTAAAAACTGCAATACATATGAAGTAATGGTTGTTAGACACATGACCAGCACAGGTTTGTCATCCCTGCCCAAAGGTGGACAAAATGGTGGCAGCTTCCATTGAGTTCCCTTCCAGGTTTAGGGAAGGGAACACACGTAATCTTGCTGAATTGAACAGAATTGCTGAATTGGCATTTGTGGAGGCCACAGCAGCTAGAACTTGCTAGGAAAAGTACTGGAGAGGAGGAAGCTTCTCAAAGAGCAGACTGCAGAAATCTACAAGTTGCCCCCTGGTGTCTTTTGGCCTAGTACAAATTTGCATACCTGTGAAGAGAAACTGTCTGCCTGAACAATCCTTGGAACTCAGTGCAGGATTAAGAACAGTTCCCACCAGCAACAGTGGAAACTTTTTTCTCTTTTAATCCTCACGGGAGGGAGAGAGGAAGAAACATCTATGTGAAAGAGACACATCAACTGCTTACCTCCCACATGACACCCCCCCCCCCCAGGGCCAGGGACCCACCTGCAGCTGAGGTACATGCCCTTGACCGGAATCAACCCACAAATCTATGGTCGGTGGGCCAACACTCTAACTGCTGAACCAAACCAGCCAGGGCTGTAGTGGAAACAACTTTTTTTAAAAATGTTTCATTGATTTTTTTTTTTTTTTTGAGAGAGACATGGAGAGAAAGAGAGAAATATCTATGGAGAGAGAAACATCGATGGGCTGCCTCTACACCCCCCCTCCCCACTGGGGATTAAGCCCTCAATCTGGGCATGTGCCCTGACCAGGAATCAAACTGGGGCCTCTCCGCCCATGGGATGATGCTCAGTCCACTGAGCCACACCGGCCAGGCAACAGTGGAAACAACTTTTAACACCTGGGGCATCAGGTAGAAGTCCCAGAAGACTTGCCTTAGTAGTGATGGTAATTAACCCTAGATTAAACGTAGTCTGGACCCACAGTGTCTGGCATCCAAAACCTTACAGGCATGCATAAAGCAGGAAAATGTGACTTGTAGCCAGTAGGTAGATAATTAGTGGACAGAGACCTTGAAAAGACTGAAGTGTGGTTAGAACTAGTAGACAAGGATGTTCATATAGCTATTATAAAGTAGAGGAGAACATGAATTGCATTAAATTTAAAGTGGAAGATATATTTTTTAAAGCCCAAATAAACCTTTCAGGATGAGAACATCTTAAAATTGAAACATATGTGAATGGAATGAAGAACAGAGTAGACAGAAGGAAAAATGATGAACCTGAGTAAGAATAGAAACTATCCAAATGATGTACACAGAAAAAAGATGGAGGGAAGAGAATGGGGTACATTACAGGGGTGCAATACACACATGACTGGATTCTAGAAGAGAAGAGGAAAAAGAAAGTATCTGAATAAGTAATGGCTGAAAATTTCCACAAATGCTGAGAAAGTATAACTCCACATATTCAAGAAGTTAAAAGAACCCCAAACAGAAGAAACAAAAACCAATCATGCCAATGGACATCATGTCAAATTGAGGGAAACCAATGAGAGCAACAGTAAAATAACTGAAGAAAAAAAGACACAAAGGAGACAGCAAACTTCTGGTCAGAAACTGTGCAAGCTAGAGACAATGGATACCACCTGTAAGTTCCTGAAAGGGGGCAAAAACCCTGTAACCTAGAGTGTACCCATCAAAACCATCTTTCAAAAATGAAAGCAAAACACAGTTTTTTTCAGAAACAATCAGAATTTATCACCTATCGATCTGCCTTCAAGAAAAAGAAGTTTTTCGGCAGCAGGAAAATAACAGTAGAAATTTGGATCTGCAGGAGGAAAGGAAGAGTACTAGAAATACTGAACATGTGGGTAAATATAAAAGGTATTTTCCTCGTTTTAAAATCTTTTTATAGGTAACAGTCCTGCTCACAGCCAAAGCAATGACAATGTATTTTGGATTATGAGTTAATTAGAAGTAAAGCATATGACAATAGTAGTACGTAAGCATTTAAAGATAGTTCAGTAGACTGCATTCTCTGAGACAGAAACCTGTTTCCCTGGGGCTCAGAATGACTTGTGTTTCTTGCAGCTGCACAGGAGGAGCTGTATGTGTTATGGATCTGTTCATGTGCTGGCTGTTCTGTACGCCTCCACGTCCATTTTCCTTTCTCTGCTCTGTGTCCCCGGGGCTGTCCTCTGTGGACTGCTTGGCTAGGGTTTCTGCTTAGCATGAGCGTGGGAGGTACTTGTGAGAGATGAGCTGGTGGGAGGAGAGGTGGAGTACTCACTTGTTCCTCCTGCAGGACTGAGGTGTGGCAGCGTCTGCCGTGTCACTGCAGCTCCCAGTGGGCAGCCCCAGCTTTAGGTTGACATCCTTCTCTATGCTCTTCATAGTTAAGTGTGATCGCTGCTTCACCTGGTTAGTTTCCTTAATTCTGACCACACATTTGCAAATAGTCCCTTTATGAAATGTTCTTGAGCTAGTATTTTGAGTGGGCCATGTGCTAAATGATGACCATAGTTACTGGGCCTCTGTCACGATTTCACACATTAAACATCAATATCTCTTTTCTGTGTTTTAACAGTGCAGTAGAAATTACAACAGATATAAAGTGTTTTTTGTTTTGTTTTACTGCAAATGTAAATGCCCTGAAGGTTGTTGCCATCTGCTACACATGCCAGTGGTCTTGCAGCTATTACTCACCCTCCTTCAGTAGTGACACCAAAACATTTAGGAAGTCTCATGCTACCTCTGGGCTGGCCAAACAACTTACAAGAAAGCAGTGTCACTATGTTAATTAAGTGGAGGAGAAAAAAAGTGGTAACTCAGTACTAAGTGAAGACAGAAAGGAGTGATGGACCATACATCCCAGTACTCTCATTTTAAAAAATACTGCTGTGCAGTTAAAACGTTCTCATTCCATGTTCTGTTTTTTTAATTATGTATAATTCATGTAATCTGTAACCACAGACAAGAGTTTTCATTTCTGTAATCAGTTACTAGAGAGAACTCTCCAAAGGCTCCACACCAGTTCCCACCACAAACTAAGCCAAAAGATAATCAGCTTTTCTAAGGCCAAACCAGAGATGCTCCACTCACAATCCCACGAAGCAGTGAGTCAGGTTGAAACAGGCCAGATGCAGACAGCACCGTCTCCCCCTTCATAAAAGACCTCGGCAATCTCACCTTCCAGTGCCCTCTCTCACGGGCATGTGGGCCTCACTTGAAGGGAGATTTGCCATCCGGCTCCATCGGTTGCAGTATCTCCTCTTCCACTTGGTTCTGCACGTTGAAGGAGCTGTTCATGCAGGTTTCCCACTCTGTGTAACTCCAAGAGGCACCACTCACAATGTAGTCTGTGCTAATACACTTGTGTATCACTCTGTCTTGACCTGAGGGAATTAGCAAGTGAATGAAATAAGTATTTTGAGACTTTGGCATACTGGAATACGCATGGTGACAGTTCTCTGTAATGGTTTCTCTGTAGCAGTACTGTGTGACCTGAATAATATAATAAAGTGGTTTCTACCATCAGGATTCTCCCTTTACTTGCCACATGGTGAAGAGAAAGGCCATTCTTGGGCGTAAGCGAGTTCTACACATTTATCCTATTGTGTATAATGTTTGTATGAAGCAGAGTGTGTCAAGTGATGATGCCTGAGATCTGGGACCAGCCGTGTTTCCCATATGAGAACGTGGTAAACAGCTAAAAACAAAGGTCAGGCTGCTGCTCTTTGGTGAGACACAATCTCTGTCAGCTGCTGACCTTTGCTCCCACTGCCAGTGCCTTTAGGGGTCCCAGGGCTGTGCCAGCTCAGACCTGTGGCTGACACTTGCCTCTGTGCTGTTTGAAAAGAAAACTTCTGTGCCCATGTTTACTGCGTAAACTTTGATGAGTGGATACGTGTGTGTGAGAGATCATTAGGAACAATAAACTCTGGCTTCCATTCCAGCTTGCTTTCCCAAACCTAATCTGAACTCCCACCAGTTCCCAGAATGTTATGATCAGCTACACCTAAAACAAGTGAAGAGCACCCTACAATGCAGTTGGTGGTGTTGAGGTAATTCACCACCAAGCCTTTCACTCCCCTGGCCGGGGTCTGGTGTCTGCGCAGAGGGAAAACAACTGCTTTTTTGCAAACCAAACTTGGGGACTCACCTAATCCTTTGAGGCTTAACAGAGTAGAATACTGGTAGCTTAGCCATACCAAGAACATAATTTCCAAGAAAAGTACAGATGAGGCATGTTGTGTGAGGGTTGCCCACATCTGCTCTGTGCCTCCTGAAGACAGTCTGGGTAGGGCTGTAGACAGTTGAAAGCTGGATATGCCACTGATGTCACCAAACCAAATCCCGGTTAAACAGGGGCAGTGTCTTGCCAAAGGTCATGTGGTGGCAGTGCCAGGCCTGATTACACAACCCCTTGACCAGTGCTCTGTCTGGGGGGGAACACAGTCGCCCTTGGTTCCTTTCTTGTCTTGCTGTCTTCCACCCCACTATCGTAAGTACAGCCAGGTCCCTGCTTTGATTGGTGCCTGAGTGTGGGTGTTAAACTGCACACTTTTTTTTTTTTTTAATGAGTGAACCATAGGGGTTTCTCTTTTTTTATTTTTTCTTCATTGATTTTAGGAAGGGAGAAGGAGAGAGTAGACAGTACATAGCTATTACTCACAGTAATGGGGTGGAAATGTATCTCAAGTTCTAACACGACTCCTCTTGGGAATCAGGCCCGACCACTGAACCTCTCTGCACTCCCAGCACGGCTTTGGGAAAGTGAGTCGGCCCAGTCCCCAAGGTACCGCGTTCCTTTGCCCGGACTTAGAATGCCGCAGGCGGCAGCGCCTTCCCACCTCTGCGCAGACGCAGTCCTCCGGGCCAGCATCAAAGATGGTGTCCAGGCCCTCAGTCTCCCGTCTGCGCACGCTCCGCTAGCCCTTCACGCCCACTCTCGGTGGCCGCTCCGGGGTCCACTCTAGCCGGGCGCTTGGTGGGCGCCACGGCCAGCCAATCGCAGGGCGCGGGCGTCGCGGACCCCGCCTAGCTGATCAGCTGAGGGATCCGCGATGTCTGTTGACAGCGGCGGCGGCGCGGCCGGTTCCGGGTTCGGCACGGGGCGGGGGCTAAGCCGGGCGGGCGGCACGCGGGAGGCGGTGCGGCGCGGGGCGCTGAGGCCCGGAGGCCGCGGGGAGGAGCCGCGGGCCGCATCCTGTCCCGACGTTTCCGGGTCTCGGCAGATGTGAGTCCGATGGAGCCGTCAGGGGAAGGCGAGCAGCCGCCTCAGCAGCAGCCGTGGGGGAGGCTCCTCCGCCTGGGTGCCGAGGAGGGCGAGCCGCACGTCCTCCTGAGGAAACGCGAGTGGACCATCGGGCGGAGGAGAGGTGCTGGCCGGGGTGGGGACGGAGGGCGGGGACCGGGTGGGGATGGGAGCCGGGGCCGGGGTGAGGGCCCGAGGGCGGGGGCTGGGGTGGGGACGGAGAACGGGGACCCGGGTGGGGACGGGAGCCGAGGACGGGGTGAGGGACCGAGGGCGGGGGCCGGGGTGGAGACGGAGAACGGGAACCCGGGTCCGGGGTGGGGACGGAGGGCGGGGGCCGGAGCCGGGAGGCCCTGGGCGGGGCGCCCTGCGGACCAGTTTTTCCCGTCAGAGCGGCCATTTACTCCCTGGGGTGCGCCCCGCCACTTCCAGTGCCTCCTGCAGATTGTTTAATCCTCGGGACAACTTCCTGCAGGAGGTGCAGGACTTTGTCTCCGGTGCGCAGTCTCCTCAGCTTCATTACTGCACAAAGCATCTCCTCTGACCTCAGTGGAAAGAAATTAGGAGTCAGAAGAGTATAGCCGGGAAATTCAGCCACGTGGACATTTAAAAAACGCGCTCTTAGCCAGTGAGTGGGTCAGAGAAGTCAAAAGGAAATTAGAAAATTAACCCAAGAGGCATAAAATGAAAATATACTAAAATGTATGGGTCGCAGCTAAAGCAGTGCTTACAGGGAAAGTTATAGCTGCAGGCTGTTTATTTGAAAAGATCTCGAGTCCCAGCTCCTACAACCACGAAATATTTGTTAGTCTGGTGAACTGGGAAGCCAAAGTCGGGCAGCTGCTGAGAAGGTCCCCCCTCCCTCCACCTTCTGCCTTCTAGGCCTTAGCCACCATCTGGTAATGGACCTCCCCTGCAGCCTTCCTACAGGGAGAGAAATGCACTGGTCAGGCCAAAAAATACTTGGTTTGTCTGAAAAGAAATGGTCACTCTGTGTATTTTAGAAAATAGAATGAGAAAGATTACTATTTAAAAGCATATGTTTTTGGTTTTATTTTACCCCTTGTGATAGACCTAAAGCTGTTTTTGTTTTGTTTTGTTTTGTTTATTTTTTGATCATCTTAAATCCCAATATCGAGTTAATTTTTTTTTTTACAACTTTGGAAGTGCTTCCATATCATTAGAAAGTTTTGAAAAACTAATTGTAAGTGATGTCATTTGGAAGTTTGGTGAAGAGAGTAGCCCTGGAGACAATCTGCTGGGTTTCCACCTGGCATCACCAAATTATTTGCTTTTTGCTAACAACTTACTGTTTTGTGCTCTGTACTTATTTCATAGTTGCTGGAAAGGTTAAATGAGATCACCCGTGTGAAGTGCTTAGTGGAGGCCTGACTTAGAGTTACCACTTAACATTACCCATTCTTATTATATCACAATATTACAATAATGTCATTTTACATGTCAATACAAGGAGCAAAAACATGTCATTCAGTTAATTTACTTCTTAATAGAAGTCCTTCCCGTGAATACATTAACCTTTCCAGTAAAACCTAAACTTGCCTTATTAGTAATTCTGCCCAGGCTGCTGTAACAAAGCTCCACAGACTAGGAAGCTTAAACAGAAACTTCTCACAGTCAAGTCTGGGAAGTCCAAGGTTAAGTGGCCTGTAGGTTTGTTTCTGGTGAGAGGCTTGTGAGGGGGCACCCTCACCTCCTCACAGGCCCTGTCTCCAATATGAGCACATTGGGATTAGGGCTTCAACACATGAATATTAGGGTTATACAAATATTCCATAAGGGTTGTAGAACTTATTGTATTTTCTGTAAAGCAATGACACACCTGCTATATACAAGGCATTATTTGGGGGAAAAGGGAGACCCAAGTTGATGTGTTGGAAGGGAGATGAAGACTTCGCCCTCCCAAAGAGATCCCCATTCTTGGGGAGTGGTAGAAATGTGCACCAACCATGTGAGACATTTAACCAGCTGAATGACCAGCAGGGGCACATACCAAGAATAGAACTTTAGCACAAGCATTGCAGTTCCAAATTAGAAGGCTGATGTCACTTCTGGTGTGCAGAAGCCTGTTCGAAATCCATTCCAGTGACAGTGTGACCAGTGCTGGGTCTGGGGCTTGAGGAGGTGGTCCTTGAGGCTGTAATACAGTGGGAAGGCCCGGAGCACAGGTGAAATTCACCTGGATAAATGTAATAGCACTTTCCATACTATAGATTATTGCTGCAAATAACATTTCTAATACCTGACATTTATAGAGGCCTAGTCCACATATTGGTAAAATTCACCCTTTTGGTGTTCAGTCAGTTTTGAGAAATGGAACCACTCCTGCAGTCGCGCCAAAAAGTTCCTCGTGTGCTTTGGAGTCACTTCCCTCTCCTCAACCCCAGCTACTGGCAACCACTGATCTGATTTCTGTCCCCACAGTGCTGCTTTTCAGAACGTCATCTACACGAAATCGCACAGTGTTCCACCAGTCTTTTGTGTCTGGCTTCTTTCTCACATAATGCTTTTGAGATTTATCCTTTGCTGTTGTGTGTATCCATTGTTTAGATGTACGGCCATTTGTCTATTAATTCATCACCAGTTGATGGACACTGTATTGCTCCTCACTTTAAATTACTAAAAATAAAGCTTAGTAGCTTAATAGCCATAATATGTACACCTATTACAAGTAGGTTAGTGATTATATATTAAAAACCTCCTGAAAGCGTTTATTCTTTAGATTTAAGGACAGAACAAAATATTTGCAGATTTTCTCCTTGCAATTAATGATAGAAGGATTGTATTTAGCTCTAGTTACATCTCCCTTCTGTTTTAAATTTTCTTAAACATGTATATATGCCTGTGATAATTTTCTAAGTCATATTCTGTGACTCTTTGTCATCACTTCACTTTTGTATGTTTTATGAAATTTAGGTTACACAACAAAGAAATTAAAGACTAAGTTAAGCTCAGACTTTGTGGCTCAGTGGATTGAGCGTTGTCCCGTGGACTGAGAGGTCCTGGTTCGATTCCTGGTCAGGGCACATGCCTGGGTTTTGGGCTCTATCCCCAGGAGGCAGCTAACCAATGTTTCTCTCTCACATCAATGTTTCTCTCTCTCTCTCTCTCCCTAGAAAATCAATAAAAATGTATAAATTTTTAAAAAAACAAACAAAAAACTAAGTTAAGGTAGTGAAGAATTATATAGCTAAACCCCTTAGTATTTTCTTAAGTTTTATAATGTTTATCAGGCTAGCTGAATATGTGTGCATATTGTAAAATTGTCACCCAGGAGCTGTTGCTATTTAGCTGGAGGTGTTGATGAGGTATCCTATACTCTAATGGACAGTCAGGAAGGTTCAAGACATAGTCGTGTCCCTTTACATTGGATTAACACTTAAATCCTTTAAAGATTTTTCTTTGTACTTTCTTGGTTAGGTGTTGGCTCCTTAAGTGTGTACAGCATGGGCCCTGATTTCTAGTCACGTGCAAACATGGTTTCTCTGGTTCAGCAAAGGGCAATATTGTGCAAGGTACCCACAGTCATATTCAGGTGTCCCTCTCTGTGTTTTAGGTTGTGACCTTTCATTTCCTGGCAATAAATTGGTCTCTGGAGATCACTGTAAAATTATAGTGGATGAAAAATCTGGTCAGGTATTGCTGGAAGATACCAGGTAAGCTCTTTCTGAACTTCTTTTCCATTTCCTTTTACAGCTTCAGGAACCTGACTTGAAGCCAGTAACTGTAGAGAAGAAATGAGGGTTGGTTTTCTGTAATGTGGTAGTTAGCCAGGCCCTCTAGGTATCAGGAGGTATAATTCCTGCTCTCCAGGATGGGATGTGCAGAGACCCAGGGTGTCTATGACCCTTCTTGAATGTAGTCAGATTAAAGCAAAAATATCTCAGAAATAAGACTTAAAAGACAGTGATAAGTTTTTGGTTCTTGCAAAAACCTACTTAAGTTAGACTTCTTTTCCCCAAATTAAAAAAATAAAACCTTTCTTTTTTTTTTGTTCTTATACAACATAAATATATGTAAAAGAGGAAAGCTTTTCAGAATTCCACTCACCCATGAAAAATACATATATATTTTTCATTAATGACATTTCACCATGTGTACCGATGTGTCTGCTTTTCTCACTTGTGACGTCTGAGTGCTTGACATGTCTAAGTCCATCTCCTCTTTCTCATTATTAGTATATGACAACTGATGGACATTATGGCAATGATTCTTCAAGACACTTTGCATCCCTCCCGATTATTTTCTTGAGATAAATTTTAGGACGGAATACTGTGTCAGAATGCGCCTGTTTTAACTGGTGCCAGTGGCAGATGGCCTTCAGCAATAATCAGAGAGTATCTTTCCCCCAGATGAGTTTTTTATTTATGCAAAGGTCGGGCACTGTAAGATTCCTTTCTAAGTAACAGATCTATACACAGAAGAGTAGGAATTGGTTTTCATTTGGAAGCACTGGCACTCTTGTCCCTCTTGTCACAGGTGGCAGGTGAGGCTCTGCATCTTGTCACAGGAACCATGCTGCTTCCGTAGCCACTCTCCTATGTCAGGCCCTGGCTCTCCTGCACGGGCTGTGTGATGGCATTAGCCTCCTGTGGCGGCTCTAACAAATGACTAAAGCTCAGTGGCTTAGAGCAACACAAAGTTGTGATCTTATCGTTCTGGAGATTCAAGTCCAACTCAGGTCTCATTGAACTAAAGTCAAGATGTAGGAAGGGCTGGCTCCTGCAGTCTTGACTTTTCCTGTCTTTTCCAGCTCGTAGGGGTCACTGCCATCCTTGGTGAGGTGCTGGTGGGGAAGGAAGGGGGTTTCCAGGCAAATGGAACCACAGTGCTCTGCACGGTCCGAGTGAGTGTCCAGTAGACCAGAGCAGGAAGACCTGATGGCCATGGTCAAGCCTGAGCGATGTGATGCCATCAGAGGGTTAAGCATTAGAGTGAAATCAGATGGTTACCTTGGGAAGAGCATGAGAATGGGTCATGAGGGGAAGCCCAGCAGCTGAAGCCTTGGCAGTATTGTGGCTGTGCCGCCAGCTTTTGTCAGCGAAACTCCTGCAACGCAGCCACGCCCTTCGATGACGTGCTGTTAGTGGTGGTTTTCACTGGACAGTGGCAGAGCTGAGTGGTTGGAATGGAGACTGTGACCACATAGCCTGCACTGTCTGCTGTCTGGCCTGTCAGATCTGCATTCAAGAGCCCTCCTCAAGGAAGCACTTGCTATCAAGTCTGACTCATGTCCCTGTCTGTCCCTGCCATCCTGGCACCCCCCCTCCCCACCCAGCAGTGTGTCCCTGATTGAATGGAGTGACCTAGCTGCCGCTGTCTCTAGTAGATAGCCTGATTTTAGGAGGGATCAGGACTCATATGAGGAATGAACTGACCTGGATCGTGGCTGCTGGAGGGAGGGACAGATCTGTGGACTAAGTGCAGAGGCAGGAAAGAAGCTGGAAATCAAAGCCCAGAGGTGCTGACGCAAGTCCAGGGGTCCACCAGGAGGCAAGTGGAGGAAAACATGGCCCTAGAATATCAGAGATGTTAAAACACTTGACCAGACTGGCTGGTTGCTGGTTTGGCTGCCAGTAGGGACCACACTTTTCCTCAAGAGAATTCTAAGGTGGCACTTATATCTCTGCCTCATTAAATGTTTACATCATTTCTCTGAGTATTTTATCATTTTCAAGGTGCTAATTTTTATTGACATGCAATTGATGTACACTATTTTATTAGTTTCAGGTGTATGTCATAGTGATTCAGTATTTATGTACATTATGAAATGATCTCCGTGATGAGTCTGGTTTGCCATCTGTCACCATACAAAGCTATTAAAATATTATTGACTATATGCCCTATGCTGTACATTATATCACATGACTCATTTATTTTATAACTGGAAGTTTATACTTCTTAATCCCCCTTCACCTATTTCAACCAGCCCCTCAGCCCCTCCCCACACTAGTAACTGTTCTGTTTGTTTTGTTTCTTATTTTTATCTTTATTGATTTTTACAGAGAGAAGTAGAAGGGAGAGAGAGAGATAGAAACATCGATGAGAGAGAACATCGATTGTCCACCACCTGGGCATGTACCCTGACCAGGATTTGAACCAGTGACCTCTTAGTGTATTGGTCAATGCTCAACCACTGAGCCACACCAGCTGGGCTGTTTTATTTTTTTAGATTCTACATATAAGTTAAATTTGGTAGTATTCCAATTTGGTAGAAATGTGGTATTTGTCTTTCTGTCTGACTTGTTTCGCACAGCGCAATACCATGTAGGTCCATCCACATTGTCGCAAATGGCAATATTTTGTTCATTTTTATGGCCAAGTCACATTCCATTATGTATATACACCACTTTTCCTTTATCCAATCATCTATCGATGGGTACTTAGGTTGCTTCCACATATTGGCTATTGTGAATGATGCTGCAATGAACATAGGGTGCATATATCAAAGTGGTGGTATTGAACTGCTTTCCTGGTTGTGGTAGAAAAAAATTTTTAACAAGTGATCTTAAGTAGGATAAATTGCATTTTTGTTGTCTCTGCAGCACCAATGGAACAGTAATTAACAAGCTGAAGGTTGTTAAGAAGCAGACTTGTCCTTTGCAGACAGGGGATGTCATCTACTTGGTGTACAGGAAGAATGAGCCAGAGCACAGTAAGAGGGAGACCCACTGGGTGGACACATGCATACTGTAAGGTGGGAACGTCCTATTGTAACTGGGATGCTTTGTGGAAAGAACGTGTTGAGCCCTGGCTGGTTTGGCTCAGTGGTTGGAGCATCGGCCTGTGGACCAGAGAGTCCTGGGTTCGGTTCCCGCTAGGGGCACGTACCAAAAAAAAAAAAAAAAAACGTGTTGAAGCAGTTTTTTCCTGTAGGAACATCTGTGTTAGCGACATTCTCTTTACTGTTTATGTAGATGCACGGTGTGAGTAGTGTCTAAGAATGGGAGAGTTGTCCTGGCTGTTTTGGCTCAGCAATTAGAGCATTGGCCTGTGGACTAAAGGGTTGCACGTTTGATCCCTGGCCCCTGGTCAGGGTTGTGCAAGAGGCAACCCATTGATGTGTCACTCTCACATCAATGTTTCTTTCTCTCTCATCCTCCCTTCCTCCCATTCTATCTAAAAATCAAGGGGAAAAATACCCTTGGGTGAGGATTAACAAAAAAAAGAATGGGAGAGTTAACCTTACAGTCTGAGCCCCAGCCCTTCTTCAAAATTACCACCGTGGTCATGAGCCGTGAACCTCAAAACAGCAGCTACGAAAAAGTGAATAGGGATGGGTTAGGTATACAGAAGAAATCTGTGTTGTGATGAATAAGACCTAGAATAAAGGACTGGAGGTCACAGATGGTCCTGCCTTAGAGACTTTACAAGAGACAGCAAAGCTTAGACTGGGCTCCATTAGGGCCCTTCCAGCTCCAAATGTCTGCATCCGTGGAAGAAGAATGGTATTGGGCAAGGAGAGTCAGGACAAAACAGGAGAAGGTGCGGTATTTCTTACATTGTCTGCAGCATAATTGCAGCTCCTGGCCACACAGAAGGGGCTTGTGTCCGCACCTTCCGTGAAATGACAGGAAGGCGCAGATTCTTCACCTCGTTGGTGCCTTGCCTCCCCTTCATGTGCCTCCTGATCCCAGACATGTTTTCCTGATGCTTATTTTAAAGTTGATTAAGAGGTTTTGGATCATTTGTTTTAAAATCCTTGAAACTGGTGAATGTTGGTAGTGGCTGATAAGTCAAAATAGTCAACAAAGACACAGGGACTAGAGGTAAGAGAAGAGAAAAATGAGTACTGGCTTGGTGCATAGGCCAGGACTGCTCTGACTGGGTTAATTCCTTCTAGATGTGGCATACCTCTACGAATCGTTAAACAGAAAGCACGGCGTGGCACAGGATCCCTTTGGTAAGTGAGATCACAGCAGAGGACTGTCGATTGTCACAGGCAGCCTCTCCGTCTGCTGGTATGGAGAGCAGTGGTGCTGTGAGCCCTGACTGCTGCTGCTGCTGCTGCTTTTGTGCCTACAGAAGCCAATAAAGAAAACGTGTTCCACGTGACCAAAGATACCTCAGGTGCAGGGCAAGGTGATGAGCCCCAGGTCCTGCCGTCATTGCCCGCCACTCAGGTGTGCTTTGAGGAACCACAGCCATCCACATCGACGTCAGACCTCTTTCCCTCAGCCTCTACCTCTTCTATGGAGTCCCCTGCAGGGCGAGTGCCACCCTTCAGCTCTGGTGAGATGGGGTCTTGGGTGGTAGCTCCATTACTTTCTGTTCACTAATTGTGACCTATGTTGTTCTGAGACAAATAAGCCACTAAGGAATTCAGAGGAGACATCAGGCATCAGGCTCACAGTAGTAAGAGTTCTGTGTAGTTAATATTCTTGTTCCAGCCCCAGGAGAAATGCTGAAGGTCAAAGACTATGGTGCCATAGACTTTTTATAGTTTTATTGGGATATAATTCACATACTATAAAATCACCTGGCAACTACTAGTCTGCTTTCTATCTCTGGATTTGCCTCTTTGGACATGTCATATAAAAGGAATCCTACATTATGTGGCCTTTTGTGTCTGGCTTCTTTCACTGAGCATCATGTTTCGAAGACTTAAGTAGCATATTATTTCAAAACAGCTAATTTTAGTCTTTATAGCATGAATTCTTTGCCTTCCTCCCTGGTTTCTAGAAAAAATTCAGACTATCTCGGTTCAGTATGATGTGAATGTTCCCTGTACTGTTTTTATAACATAGAATATATATGTACACTTATTTCCTAAGTTGGATCACACTATACATATTAATATTTTTAGCTATTCTTTTTCTACATTACCTTTAGAATTACCTTTTCAAGTTTACAAAAAAGTCTTTTTGAGATTTTGATTTGGGGAGAATTGATATTTGTACTATACCCAAGAGAAGTAGTATTTTTCCCTGTTTATTAAGCTCTCTGATATTCTTCAGAAAAGTTTTATATCCTTCTTCATCTAGTTTTGAGATAATTATCCCTGGAATACTTGTTCTCTCATTCTTACATTATAGACCATTTTGCAGATTTTTTATGGATAAAGACTCTCTTAATCTCAATGAGGGTGGTGGGTGTGAGAAACACAAAACCTGGCTTCCAGAACAAAGTCCAGGGATACACAGCCCACCACAGGCTCATCAGCTCAAGATGTCACCACACATTTTCTGTCTGCCACATGTTGCCTTATTGTTCTCTTGCTTTTCATCTTGTGGTTGCAGAGGTGGTTGCAAGATGGCTGCCAGAGCTCCAGTCATTACAACCATATTCCAAGACAGAAACCAGCAGAGCCTCCACATCACTAATAGAGAAATACAAACCAAAACCACAGTGAGATATCACCTCACACTTGTTAGGATGGCCATCATCAAAAAGATGAGATAACAAATGCTGGTGAGGATTTGGAAAAAGAGAACCCTTGTGGGATTGTAAACCGGGACAGCCACTATGGAAAATAGTATGAGGTTCCTCAAAATATTTAAAAATAGATCTACCACATGCCCCAGCAATCCTACTTAATATATGTCTGAAGGAAATGAAATCATATCTTGAAAGATATCTGCACTCCCATGTTCTTTGCAGCATTATTTTCAATAGCCAAGGTATGGAAACAGCCTAAATGTCCATTGATGGATGATTGGATAAAGAAAATGTGGCATTTGTACATATAGACACACACACATACACATGTGGTATATGTATACATGCACACAATAGAATATTATTCTTCAGTAAAAGGGCAATGTATTCATATATCACTTGTGTCATTTTAAAAAATATGTGGGCCCGGCCAGTGTGGCTCAGTGTTTGATTCCTAGTCAGGGCACATGCTCAGGTGGTGGGCCCGATCCCCAGTGAGGGGGATGCAGGAGTTGGCCAGTCTATGTTCTCTATCATTGATGTTTCTCTCTCTCTCTCCCTCTCCCTTCTTCTCTCTCTAAAATCAATAAAGAAAAATGATTTAAATATATATACACATATATATATGCACACACAGATATATACACACACACATAGATAGATACATAGATAGATAGATAGCCAGCCAGCCAGCCCTGGCTGGTTTGGGTCAACGGTTAGCACATCGGCCCGCAGACCAAATTGTCCCAGGTTGGATTCCTGGTCAAGGGCACGTACCTCGGTTGCAGGTTCAATCTCTAGCCATGGTAGGGGTCATGCGGGAGGCAACCATTTGATGTGTCTCTCTCCCCCTCTGCCCAGCTCACCCTATCCCTTTCCTTCCCTCCCTCCCACTGTATCTGAACATCAATGGAAAAATATCCTCAGGTGAAGATTAATAGCAACTATATGTATTGTTATATATTATATTATATTATTATTTTTTTTAATCCTCACCCGAGAACATTTTTTGATATTTTGTTCAGATAGAGTGGGAGGGAGGGAGAGAGAGAGAAACATTGACGTGAAAGGGACACATCAAGTGGTTGCCACCCACACGACCCAACCAGGGCCGGGGACAAACTGCAACCGAGGTACGTGCCCTTAGCGGGAACCAAACCCGGGTCTCTCCAGACCGCAGGCCAACGCTCTACTGCTGAGCCAAACCGGCCAGGGCTATATTATATTATTATTATATATTATTGTAAGATATTATTGTAAGCAGATTGTTCAGATGGAAACTTAGCTCCGTGAGCATCATTGTAATCTTTATTCTGGAGGGAGAAGCCTGACTGAGCATAGAAGGCCCTTGAGACCATAGCGGGACTGAGAATCACAGCCAGAACCCAGCCAGGAAGCTGCCTCTTTTTTTCCCCTTAATATGCAAGATAATTTGTTTCCAAAACAATTCCAACTTTTTTCTTTCGGCTGCAGTAGGCCAATTTTTTTTCAAAATAGCAACATTTAACCATTTGAATATTACATACTAGATATGTATTATAGAATAAACAAGGTCTTTATTAAATAAAGGTTATTGGGAAGTTTTTTTTTAACCTTCCTGTCAAATTCATTTCAATCTATGACTCTGCTTCTTGCTTATGAGGACCAGTACTTTCCCCAGGAGTTACTCTTTCTCCTGCTTCACTTTCTCACCCTTGGAAAACAGTTCACACTTTCAATCCCCACCTGTCTGGTTTTCCTCTTGCAATGAGGCCTTCTACAGCCTCTTCCAAAAGGTCTCTACATAAACTTCTGTGTCAGCAGTGTGTGTTATGTGGTAAATAGCATGTGGATTGGTTAGACTCTGGTTAGACTAAACATTCAAGACTGATCCCCATCACAGATGTCCGTGCATTTCTCCCTGTGCATGTGCTACATGCCCGCAGCTCCTCCGAGCACAGCGATGGGCACAACACATGCAACATATCTCAGAAATGAATGGAGTAGATGAGTGTCTCTAGGAAGCATATGTTCTTCGACATGGCATCTTGGACTACCTGCATCCTGTCTGAATGAGTGGTGCTTCACTCCCACACTCTCTCCTGAGGGGATGGATCAGAACTTCTCTTATATGTCTCTCTCACAGCTGCCAGAGGTGCCGGCATATCCCCGAAAGGGTGTGGTCCACCCGTGACAAACGATGAAACCTCCAGCATCCCTTTAGCTGTCCCCAACAGAGAGGGAGCATCCCTTCCTCCATCGGAACCACAGGATCGAGAGGGTCTGGAGCCTGTTAAGAAGAGAATGAGAGAAGGTCAGAGTCTCACAGTTCCCTGTGCCCTGGACCCCTGTGGTACCTCAGCATTTTCTGAATGGAATTTGAGGCCTTTTCTTTCCTGTTTACGATCAAGAGATGCTCTTGGTCTGGAAACAGTGCATCCAGATTTGTATCTCTGTCCTGATACAGCCAGTTCTTAAGAGTATGTTATCTCTAAGGTAGTCTGAACCTTCACGTCAAAGATGATTTAGAGCTTTTGGAGCGGTTAGAGCATTGGCCTGTGAACCAGAGAGTCCGGGTTCGGTTCCCGCTAAAGACACGTACCTTGGTTGCGGTTTGTCCCGGCCCGTGTAGGTGTCAATGTGTCTCTCACATCTATGTTTCTCTTTCTTCCTCCTCTCTCTCCCTCCCTCTCTATCTGAAGATAAAAATGCAAAAATGTCCTTGGGTGAGGATTTACAAAAAAAGATGATTTAGAGAAAAATCTGTACTTTAAAATACAAAGTTAAGAGTGTAGCCCTGGCCGGTTTGGCTCAGTTGTAGAGCATTAGCCCACAGATCAGTGAGTCTTGGATTGGATTCCGGCCTAGGGCACCAACCTAGGTTGCAGTTTGTCCCCAGCCCTGGTCGAGGTTGTGCAGGAGGCAACCAGTCAATGTGTCCCTCTCACTTTGATGTTTTTCTCTCTCTCCCTCCCACTCTATCTGAAGATAAATAGAAAAACATCCTTGGACGAGGATTCGAAAAATAAAGTGTAGAAAATATCTGGGCACTTGTAGGACAGCTGTGCCTCAGGCCTGGGAGCAGCCCTGGGATTAGAGGGCAGGGCAGGAAGGTTTTGGGTGGGATTAGTTGATATAGATAATCAGTTTAAGGAAGAGATTAACTGATCGGCTTGAGGAGGAATCAGCAACAGGTACATAAAAAAATAAGTAATTGTGAAAATGAAGCCCTTTTTAACCCCAGCAAAGATGAAAAGTTATAGAACGAAGAAAACTGAACGGTAGTTTACTGTTTAGCTCAGCAGTAAATACTTAGGCAAATAACCTGCATACAATATACCAAGCCAACAGCTCTGTTAAAGGAAATTGGGAAAGGTGCCCAGGGGACAGACTCCTTCGATACATTAGTAGGTGCTGAGGTGACGTCTAAATTGACCTCAAGCCCTGGCCAGTTTGGTTCAGCGGTTAGAGCATGGGCCTGTAGACCGGAGAGTCCCAGGTTTGGTTCCCACTAAGGACACGTACCTTGGTTGCAGTTTTTCCCCGGCCCTGGTTGGGTCCTGTGGGTGGTAACCACTCGATGGGTCTCTCTCACATCGATGTCTTTCTCTCTCTCTCCCTCATGCTCTATCTGAAGATAAATGCAAAAATGCCTTGGGTGAGGATTTAAAAAATTATTTTTTTAATTAATAAAAAAATCAAATCAACTTCAACATGGCACCACATTTCAGAAACACAGGGTTCATACCAGGAGAAACAGCTAAACACACGGAAGCAGTTTCTGTGGAGAAGAGAGGCTAAAGGTGAGGAGAGGCTGGGTGGAGGTTGCTGCTTTGTTTTCTTTTAAATGCTTGTAGACTTTTTAACAGCGTGCAAGTATTTATCTAATTAAAAATAAAAATCTATTGGCAACATCCGAGTGTTAGAGGAAAAAACCAGTAGAAGAAAAGAAAAAACTTTAATTTTTATTATTATTATTCTTTTTATCCTCACCCGAGGGCACTTTTTATATTCATCTTCAGATAGAGCAAGAGGGAGAGAGGGAGGAAGAGAGAGAGAGAAACATCAGTGTGAGAGAGACATGTCGACTTGCTGCCACCCACACAACCCCAACCAGGACTGGAGGACAAACTGCAACTGAGATATGTGCCCTTATCAGGAACCGAACCTGGGTCTCTCTGGACTGTAGCCCGACGCTCTTAACTGCTGAGCCAAACCTGCCAGGGCAAAGAAAAAACTTTTAAAGCTCCTGGAAATGTGTGAGGGTCTGTACTTTCTAGCAGTCTTCTGTGTTTATAAGTCAGGTTTTTGTTTGTTTAAAGAAAAACAATAGTAGATACAGTGTCTGTTTTGACAGCCGAACCTTATCTCATAACCATGTCTCCTGAACGTCTTTTTTGTATCATGAACTAATCTTCTGAAACCAAACTTGATGCCCAGCTGGTGTGGCCGAGTGGCTGATCCTCGATTCATACACCAAGAGGTCACTGATTCGATTCCTGGTCAGGGCACATGCCCAGGTTGTGGGCCAAATCCCCAGTGGGGGGCATGCAGGAGGCAGCCAGTCGGTGTTCTCTCTCATCAGTGTTTCTGTCTCTCTCTACCTCTCTCTTCCTCTCTCTCTAAAATCAGTAAAGGAAAAAAATAAAAACACTGGCGAGGACTGTGTTCTATCTGCAGGTTCAAGGTTCAAAAGAGTAAGTGTCTGTTTCCTTCTTGGTTGTGATGGTCACAACATGTCCCTTTCTTTTACAGATGGGGAGCCCAACCTGAATATGCATTTGTTGGTCACAGACCAGTGTAGGGACACCCACAGCACCCTTGAGGAAGTCAGAGCTGTGGCCGAGAAGCCTGACAAGATGGAGGAGACACTGACGTGCATCATTTGCCAGGACCTGCTGCACGACTGTGTGAGGTGTGTGCTCATGGAGGCTGAGGGGCCAGGGATGAAGCAACCCTATGGGTCACATCTGGGGTTGAGTCCACTGATGTTACTACCATTGTCATTTTACTTGAATGGCCAACAAGCCGAAAACCTGGCCTCAGTAATCGAGGCTATGGAAGACCCATGAGACTAATGTGGTGTTGGCTTTGGTTGACTCAGCCACGTGTAACCTAAGTGCTTGGTCCACCTAAGATGTCGACCAAATGAACTGTACCTAGTTAAGGAAATATAATAGTTAACACAGAATGAATGTCTCAGAACCCTCTGTCCTTGCCTTTCTATGGGAAGAGTCAGAGCCTGTTTGAGTTTCAGCTTAAAGGCAGACCTTTTGTGCTTAGTGTGTCCATTCCTCATATTCCTGAAGTCACTGTGCCAGCTTACCGTCCTGGAACACATGGCCTCGGTAATTAACAAGAACTGAGTTAAAGTAGCTTAGGTTGAACGCTGTGTTTTCACATGGGGACATTTCTCAGGTGGGATGTGGGAGTCTGGCAACATTCCCCGTCATTAGCTGAGGATCCAGTTGCTGACAGCTGTGAGCAGCACACAAAAGTACAGGCTCCAGGCCCTGCTTAGGCGAGAGCTTGGGGGCTGGTGGTTTGCTCGCTTTTCTGTTTTGTTACCAACCCTCAGCCTGGGCAAGGCCATGTCCTCCTCTGGGGAAAGAGGCAGCGTGACCCGGAATCCCGGCTTCTAACGCTCCAGGCAGGCCGTGTCCTAGGGACTGGGGGCTGCTGTGGCTTGGTGGGCAGACGCTCCACCTGCAAGTGCTCTGCGGGGGTGTCTGAAGACCAGTCCTCGTGCCTCAGCCTGCAGCCCTGCATGCATACCTTCTGCGCGGCCTGCTACTCGGGCTGGATGGAACGCTCCACGCTGTGCCCCACGTGCCGCTGCCCGGTCGAGCGGATCTGTAAAAACCACATCCTCAACAACCTGGTGGAGGCCTACCTTCTCCAGCACCCAGGCAAGTGGGTGGCTGCCCAGCTCCCGGAGACCACAGTGTGTCCCCAGGGGCCTCCCCACCAGCAGAACTGTGTCCTTTGAATTCCAGACAAGAGTCGCAGTGAGGAAGATGTGCGGAGCATGGCCGCCAGGAACAAGATCACTCAGGACATGCTGCAGCCCAAAGTCAGGAGGTCTTTCTCAGACGAGGAGGGCAGTTCGGAGGACCTGCTGGACCTGTCTGATGTGGACAGCGAATCCTCGGATATTAGGTGAGCCTGCACCTGGCAGGAAATGGGGCTATTCTGCACTGAGCAGTCATCTCCCTGGTGTTCTGGGCTCTCTTCTGATGTGTGACTTTGGATAGTGATGTCCCCTGTGTTGAGTGTTGCAAGGAAGTGTGGGCACCAGCTCCCGTGACTGTGAGGGGTATTGGCTGCCCTGCCTCCTTCAGTATCTTTTTTTTCCCCAAGTATACATGGAGCATTCTATTTTTTGTTGCTCATCTGTATTTGTTTTCAGTCTATTGAAAAGTAATTAACATGCAGCAAGCACTGTGTGAGTCGAAGGTATACAGCATGATGTGACATGTTGTGAGATGGTTGCCACAGTAACTGGTGCCCTTTCACTTGCTGATTTCTCATCACACACCTTGCTTGACTCACTGGTTGTGACAACTGATTTAACATGTTCCTTATCCCACATAAACCCACGTATTCTGTAGGTTATCTAGTGACCATGAAATGCTGAAGCGTAAGTTCCAATATCTATCATTTGTCAGTATGTTAATGCAGGAAAACCATGGTCCCTTGTTGAGAGGATGCAATTCTTTTGTTTTAAAAAAAGTTTATTGATTTTTACAGAGAGAAGAGGGGAGAGGGGGAAAGAAACATCAGTGCCACACCAGCCAGGGCCAGAGGATGCAGTTTTGGAAGACTGTGTTTTTTTTGTTGTTGTTTTTTATCCTCACCCGAGGACATTTTTCCTTTTTTTGTTCAGGTAGAGTGGGAGGGAGAGAGAGGAACAGAGAGAGAGAGAGAAACATCGACGTGAAAGGAACACATCGAGTGGTTGCCACCCGCACGACCGACCAGGGCCGGGGACAAACTGCAAACGAGGCATGCGCCCTTAGCGGGAACCGAACCCGGGTCTCTCAGGACCGCAGGCCGACGCTCTAACCGCTGAGCCAAACCGGCCAGGGCATGGAAGACTGTGTTTTAATGCTGAGGCTCCTGACTCAGAAGTCCAGGGTCTGAATTTTGATTCCATGCCATGATATTATTTATTTATTTTTGTCCTCACTAGAGGACATTTTTACACTTATCCTCAGATAGAGCGGAAGGGGGAGAGGGAGGGAAAGAGAGAGAGAAACGTCGATGTGAGAGACACATCAACTGGCTGCCACCCACACGACCCCAACTGGGGCTGGGGACAAACTGCAACCAGGGTATGTGTCCTTAGCGGGAACCGAGCCTGGGTCTGTCTGGTCCACGGGCCGACACTCTAACCGCTGAGCCAAACCGACCAGGGCCACGATATATTTTTTTTTTTTCCTATTTATCTTCAGACAGAGTGGGAGGGAGAGAGAGAGAAACATGAACGGAAAGGGACACATCAACTGGCTGCCTCCTGCATGGCCCCGCCCAGGGCCGGGGACAAACCGCAACTGAGGTATGTGCCCTTGGTCTGAATCGAACCCGCGATTCATTGGTCTGCTCTACCACTGAGCCAAACCAGCCAGGGCATGCCATGATATTTCAAAACACAACAAAACCCCTAAATTCACCTTTATTTCTTTCATAAAACTTTTTTTTTTCCTTTATTGGTTTTAGAGAGAGAGGAAGGGAGAGGGAGAGAGATAGAAATATCGATGAGAGAGAACATCAATTGGCTGCCTCCTGCATGCCTCCCACTGGGGCTTGGGCCCACAACCTGGGCACGTGCCCTGACCGGGAATTGGACTGGTGACCTCTTGGTGCATGAGTCAACGCTCCACCACTCAGCCACACCAGCCGGGCTCTTTCACAAAACTTTACTGATAACGGTCAAGCAAAACAAAAAATAAAAGTGGCTTCCATGCGAATATCTTGCTGATCCATCCATCATGCACACTTCTTTTTTAACTAAGTAGGATGGACCATACTTGGAAATTATTACAAGCACGTGATTTTGCAGTTTTCTGATGTTTTGGACTCAGAAGCAGTTACAGTGGTTCCTGCATTAGTACTTTCATGCACGTGTCTAGTCATTTCCCATCCAGGAGCAGGAGGAAGGGTCCAGTTAGGTTAGAGAGTCTGAGTGGGAGGAGGTCTCACCAGGCTCTGTGTCCTCAAATGCCCGGCACAAAGGTCCTGGTGATGGCGCTCCCTGTGAATGAGGTTGAGACTCTTCTCACGATTTTTGTTTTTTGCAGTCAGGTCTTATCTGTTGTTCCCTCACTGGTTCTCACCGCTGGTGCAGGCTCAGAAAGGTGTTCTCTGACTGAGATGAGTGGAATCCCTGTACATCTTTCTGTGGGGTTGTTTTCACTGCCTACAGTGTGGGAAAGCTTAGCTGTACTGCAGGAAGCTGGGTGGTACAGGCCTCCTGCTGGGCCCTCGGATAGCTCCTGAGGACAGCAGTGTTCAACCATGGTGCATGTTGCTCTGATTTTAACGACATGCAGACACTTCCTGTGTGGCCAGGGTGATGGTCCTGAGTACTCTGGGTGGCCCGAGTGCACCTTTGGATATAGTACACAGCTTGCCCAGCATCGAACCTTTGATAACGTGTTCTGTTCTGCATGGGAACTGAGTAGCCGTGCCCCAGGGGATATCATGCAAAGTGAGGGGTGAGCAAAAGACACCTCAGGACCCCAGGAGTAGCTGAGCGGCAAGGGCTCTGGAAACTGTACAGGAAAGGGGAGCCTTCTGACTGTTACTGTTCTGGCGTGAGCAAGGATGGATGGAGTGCTCACCCCAGAACACTCACTGGGTGACAGCAGGTGCAGGGCTGAGGCCTGATGTGGAGACGAGGTCCACGAGTAGAGAAGGCATTGCCAGGCTTGGGGATCTGGCCCTTGTCTTGTCACCACCCACATCCCTGAGAGCAGCTGTCACCCACCCCTCTGAATTCAGGTCTGTGTGCTTCCCTTGCAGCCAGCCATACATCGTGTGCAGACAGTGCCCCGAGTACCGGAGGCAGGTGGGGCAGCCCCTTCCCTGCTCAGGGCTTGGCAGCGAGCAGGGGACACCACAGGCTTCAGGGGACACACCATCCACGTCCTCCAGTGTCACAACAGGTGAGACAGCTGTGCCTCTGCTGTGACCACTAGGGATGTGGCTAGCGTTTCTGCTGGCTCCTCTCTGCACTCCTGTCCCCTGCCTCTAGGTCCCACCAGCTTTCATACCGTGTTCCTTCTCATATCTGTTTTGGGATAAGAAACCAGATAATTATGTTCACGGTGGGCCTCTGCTCCTGTACACTCCTGGGGATTCAGTCTTAATTCTTACATTTGGCCCCCATAGCCCAGTACTTCGGGGCAGCTGGTGTTCCCAGCAATGCTTGCCAAAGCCAAAATGACCTTTGCACATAGGCCACTCCAGTGAGAGAGTGGCCTCTTTCCAGCAATGGGCATGGTACTCCCAGAGCCACCCTGAATTCTCTGCCCACTGCCTGCTTCCAGTGGCCAGGTCCTCAGGTGCCATCAAGAAAAGGCGAGTAGACACATGGAATCTGATTTGTGGCCTCACAAGGACTCAGCCTCTTAGCCACAGCCTAAAGCCATCATGAGGTCACTGACCCAGGGTTGCCACCCAGAATCACATTCTTAACCATCTGCCACAACACTGTGCCATGGCTCTGTTGGTGACTTTCTGTAGGTCACGTGGACAGAGATAGGCAGTATAGTGCTTGGTCACCTGCTGACTGCCCCTCACCAGGTGGGCTCTGTCATTTGCAAAGTGTAGACGAATATCCCTGTTGGGATGGGGCCTGAAACAAGTGTGCGTGCTCAGAGCCCTGTGTGGATGGTGAGTGTCCGGGACATGTGTACACAGCACCTGGTTTGGGTCAGCCAGTCTTGCCTGAACTTCATTTATAGTTTCATGGTGTATGCTTTGTAGCCATCCTTTCTTTATAGAAATGGCAGAAAACCTTCATGATTTTTGAAATGGTGGTACAACCACTGAACCAAAAGATAACTTTGGTTGTTTTCAATCTACTTAAACGCCTTCATTTCAATGGTAGATTGTCAGGTGGCTATGGAGGAGAACAGGTCTGAATTCTCCCTAGGTGTTCGTGTAGGTCTGTCTCTCCTCGTGTACTTTGTAGCCATCCCTCCACACGTTTTCTAAGGTTCTGCTTCTGCCAGTGTCTCAACACACACTGGCCTAAACACCCTGTCTGTTCTGCAGCCCAGGATTACGTGTGCACCCTGCAAGGCAGCCATGCCATATGTACCTGCTGCTTCCAGCCCATGCCCGACCGGAGAGCAGAACGTGAGCAGGACCCCCGCATCGCACCCCAGCAGTGTGAGTGAGGGTGTGTGTGCTGTTTGCCTGAGGGACTTCCTGCCACAGAGCTCGCCTGTGTGTCCTTCAGGCTCAGGATTGAAAGTGCGGTCCACACTTGTATGTGGTGGGAAGCAGAGATGCAGTTCTGTCTCCATCGCATGGTCTTTGGTCTCACGTGGCCATGTTAGTTGTCTAGTGTTTTTTAATCCTCACCCGAGGATATTTATTTGTTTATCTTCAGATAGAGTGGGAGGAAGGGAGAGAGAGAGAAACATCCATGTGAGGGAGAAACATCAACTGGTTGCCTCCCACAGAACCCTCACCAGGGCCAGGGATGAACTGCAACCGAGATACATGTTCTTGACCGGAACCGAACCCATTACTCTTTGGTCCTTAGGCCAACGCTCTAAGCGCTAAACCATACCGGCCAGGGCAAGTTGTCCAGCTTTTCCCACCAATTGGTGAGGCCATCCTGGACACAGACCAAGTTTCCATATTTGATTCTCTTTCTGGAGTTTGCATTTCACATCTGTCCCCATGTTGGGGCCACAGTCATTCTATTATGTGTTACTTTTATTTATTTTTTAATTATTTTTTATTGTTGAAAGTATTACAGGTGTCTCCCCATTTTCCCCAATGATCCCCTCCTTCCCACTCCCATCCCCCCACCCATTTTCCCCAAACTAATTCTCTGTCCATTGATTGTGCATAATGTGTCACTTTTAAATCAGGTAGATAGCCCTGGCCGGTTTGGCTCAGCGGTTGGAGCGTCGGCCTGTGGTCCTGAGAGACCCGGATTCGGTTCCCGCTAAGGGCACGTATCTCAGTTGCAGTTTGTCCCCGGCCCTGGTTGGGTCGTGTGGGTGGCAACCACTCGATGTGTCCCTTTCACGTCGATGTTTCTCTCTCTCTCTCTCTCTCTCCCCTCTCTGTCTGAACAAAATATCAAAAAATGTCCTCGGGTGAGGATAAAAATCAATCAATCAATCAATCAATCAGGTAGATAAATGTGATGCTTTAATTTAGAGTTTGGGGGTTTCTATTAAAATCAAGCTTGTCATTTATTTTACTGCCCTTTGACCTGACTCCTTCTGAGGTGTTCCGCCTGGCAATTGTGCTGTTTCCACAGGTGCTGTCTGCCTGCAGCCTTTCTGTCACCTGTACTGGGGCTGCGCCCGGACCGGCTGCCTTGGCTGCCTGGCCCCCTTCTGTGGTAATGCTGCTGTCCAGCCAGTCCCTTCAGCCTCTGCATTTTCTCTTGGTGCACTTGAGGGTGGGATGGGGTGGTGTGGCCTGTTGTGTGCCTGATGAAGGGGATGCCACTGTTGGTCACCACAAATTAACTAACTTTTCCTGGCACACTGCATGGATTTGCGATTTTGTAGTGTTAGCTCAGAACCAAGCAATACAGGATAATTTGGGAGATCCTGAGTTCAAAGTCAGGAGTTTGTTTATGCACAAGGATTATCACCCCTAAAAAAGCGCTGTCTGGCTACAGTCCTCAGACTTGTGGTGACAGACCAGGAGCTGAGGAGACTTGGAGAGCTGGCCATTACAGGAAGGAGGGAACGAAAGTAATTTTGCTTGTTTTCAGTGTAAAGGTTATTTTGTCAAATTTTTTATTCGTTGTAGACTCTGTGGTGAAGGAAATGTGGTTATCTTAGCTGTCGAGTGAACAATGCTTTCATGAAATGCCTATAAAGTGGATAACATTGCTTCTCTCCACCCGACAGAACTCAACCTGGGTGACAGGTGTCTGGACGGAGTGCTGAGCAACAACAACTACGAGTCCGACATCCTGAAGGTACCCGTGTTAGGTCAGGGCTGAGAGAAGGCCTCCCAGAATAACTGCATGTTTTTGATTCATGCCACCACTGATTGTCAGCACCCTGTTGGTATATACCAGGGTTTCCCCATATTCCAAAAACCAGGTGTTTGCTTTATGCCCGTCATGCCATGAATCCACAGGAACTGCTTCCATGGCTCAGCTCTGCTTGCCCAATGCAGAGGGTTTGTGGCTGCGCCAGGACCTTCTCTCTGGCTCTTTTCCTTTCTGACCATTTTCTTCCCATGTCAGGAAGTGAGCCTGGCTCTTAAAGTTTTAGTGTGTTTATTGTGCTCATCAGCCCCTTGCCAAGGACTTTGCCTTCACCTCATTTACGTGTAGCATCACACATAGGATTGAGAGCCTTCTCACCTGCATGGCACGCTCCTGAGCACCCCTGCCCCTGATTGATGTGCACGTGGCACTTTCTTGTAGTTTTGCACTAAAGGAGCCAAGCAGCTGTGTGTGTGAAGGGAAGAGTGCAGATCCAGGCCCTCAGCTTCCTTGTCACATGGTCATGGGCCTGTTGCTGCACTGCGGCTGCTCCGGCCACGGTCGGGTGTCTCATACTCCTGTGCTAGGAATGTCCTTGTAGAGTTTTAGAGCGTTTGTGTGACTTTACACTAAGGTGGTCTGGAGTCAGCCCGCCTGTTGAGGCTTCCAAGAAGCATCTGGACAAGGATCCCTGTGCACTGATTTGTGGACACATTGCCACGTTGGGCTGGGTGGCTTGGTGCATGGGCTCTTCTGGTCGTACTAACCGTAGTCTTGGAAGCAGGTCCCCATAAAGGTGAGTGGCTGCTCTCTGCAAAGACCCACCATGTTTTCTTTGGCTTTACCTACTTTTGAGGGCCTTTCATGAACCGTTTACCCTCTTGTCCAAGCTCAAGTTTTTTCTGTTGCCCTGTACCACGACAGAATTACCTGGCGGCCAGGGGTTTGACATGGAAGAACATGCTGACTGAAAGCCTGGTGGCGCTGCAGAGGGGAGTGTTCCTGCTGTCTGGTGAGCTCATTGCACTTGCTATCATCTGAAGAACAGTGGTGCTGTCCATGGTCTCTTGGCCTCCTGTGAATCAGTCACACCTGCCAGGCCACCTTGGCAGTGCTACCTGTCTACTTTCTCACATCCACAGCTTTGACCTCTGCTCATCCTGACAGAAACAGAAAGAAAGGATTTTTAATTTTTTTTTCTTGATTGATGTTAGAGAGAGAGGGAAAGGGAGTGGGCGAGAGAGATAAAAACATCGATGAGAGAGAACATCGATAGGGCACCTCCTGCATGCCTCCCTTTGGGGATCAGGCCCACACCTGATGGGGAATCGAACCAGCAACCTCTTGGTTCATGGGTTGGCGCTCAACCACTGAGCCACACCAGCTGGATGGGTTTTTTAATTTATTTAAGTGGGGTTTGAGTCCACATGACACATTCCAGGATCTTTTCTCCATGACAGGAGGGAGGGGCACAGCCCAAGATATGTTGGCTCCACTGGTAGTCAGCGTTGAGATACTGGGGCCTGTTATTCCCAAACCCTCAGGTCCTCGTTGGTCTGTTGTTTGGTTTGTTGGTGACTGAAGACCTGCCTCTTCTCCCAGGGCTGTAGGAAATACAACTGATTTTTATGAAAGATGTGAGAGGTTTGCTGGGAATCCTTCTAAGCTATTTTTGTGTCATGGACACACTCCAGGGAGTGTCTAGTGTTTTCTGCTGGGCAGCTCTGTGTGCTTGCCCAAATCTATCAACTGGGGCTTAACTTCTTTCACTTTTTGATAAGAATCACAAGTCTCCCCCCAAAAATCTTAAGTGCACAGGGAAGTAGGAAGTATAAAGTAATAACCATTGGAAATCCCACCACCTAAAAACATACCCAGTGATAAGTTTCTCATGACCACATACGCCCATGTGCACATAACTTTCATAAATAAAATCCTGCTCTGTATGCTGTTTTGTAACCTATTCATTCAGCAGTATATCTTGGACCCTTTCTATGTCAATAGAGAAAGATTTGTACCTTGAATTTTCATTATTACATGTTTTAATATAGTTTATTTACCCAATTCATTAATAAAGGATGTTTAGGTTATTTCCCATTTTTCATTATCAGAAACTACACTGCAGCTGCTGAGTGTGCAGCATGCAGATTTGAAAATGGTCCCCTTGGATAAGTACACAGGGTTGTTGGACGATGGCGGGTGAGATTGTCATGAGAGCTGTGCTCCCCAGAGCTGAGCCTCGGGAAGGGGGCCAGCATCCCCAGAGCTGGCAGCCACATTTGTCTTTCAGGTCTTGTAAATAAGAAAGCGAACAGTGGTTCATCGTTGTTTTATCTGCCCATGTTTGATTACTAACAGAATTGAGGATGTTTTTGTTTTATGGGTCATTTGCTGTCTCTGACATCAGCCCATATTTGTGTTAGAGTCTTTGGATTTGGGGGGTGGATCTGTGTGATGGCTTGTCAGCACGTGTCCTCAGTGTTGCCAGTGTTTCCCACTGTTTCCTTGGCTCTCACCTTCCTTGTACGGTTTCCATTGTCATGTTTACTGTGGGCATTCAGAGTCACAGACCCTTTCTTATGTGCTTTTGGTCTTCATGGCATACTTGGAAGTAGCTCAAGAGAAAAATCATATTCCTTCTTCTCAGTACTTTTTTGGATTTTTAAAAGTATTAAAATATTTTACTTCAGTGGACTTGTTTAGCGGTAAGGAAATTAGTCGGCATCTGGATTGTTTTGTTCTCCTTTCCCAAACATCTAGCCCACTGTCTCCCCCATTTTGGATCAACATTTTAGTTCCCCACCACTTTGCATGGCCACATCTTCTTGCTGTTCTGCACACTGATGTTCCTGATGTCTGGCCATACCCTCATGAGCCTGTGTTATTCCAGATTACAGAGTCACAGGGAGCACCGTGCTGTGTTACTGCTGCGGCCTGCGAAGCTTCAGAGAGCTGACCTACCAGTATCGGCAGAACATTCCCGCCTCTGAGTTGCCAGGTAAGAGAGACCCTCCCCCCCCCTCCCATCTCACTTGTTTGCTGTGGCTTCTATGCTCCTGCATAATAGGTAGACACTCTGTCTTGGCCTTTGTTTCGTGTTCCTAGCAGAGGGCTGCCTCAGGCCCTGGTTGTCAGCTGTGATGTGGGTTTCTGAAACAAGATGCACAAAACATCCTAGAGACAGCTGGAGTAATCTCATTTCCTGAATTGGGTTTTCAGTAAGCAAAGCATTTTATTCCTTTCTTGGAACAGTGGAAGGAAACTAGTTGTAAAGTGTAACAAAGTGCTGTGCGTTTCAGCTGCAGTTTCTCTTTGGGTCCCAAGGCGAAGTCCCTGAGCTGAATTTGGTGAGTATGGGGTACATACTACACATTGTGATCTTTTTTTCTTCCTAGTGGCTGTAACTTCCCGTCCTGACTGCTATTGGGGTCGCAACTGCCGCACTCAGGTGAAGGCCCACCATGCAATGTGAGTGATGCTGTGCTCTGCTGGGCAGGGGCAGAGTGTCAGCCCAGGTCCTCAAGGCTAGGAGGGGGCTAACACAATCCTATGGAAAGGCAGACCCTTGTTCTTCTAAGAGGATTTTTCAAGTGTTTCAGCCAAGTTAATAGCTCAGCTTTTTTTTTTTAAATCCTCACCCGAGGATATTTTTCCATTTATCTTCAGATAGAGTGGGAGGGCGGGAGGGAAAGAGAGAAAGAGAGAGACAGAAACAATGTGAGAGAGACACATCGATTGGTTGCCTCCCACACAACCCCAACCAGGGCCGGACACCGAAGCGCAACCGATGTACGTGCTCCCTGACCAGAATTGAACCCAAGACTCTTTGGTCCGAGGGCCGATGATCTAACTACTGAGCCAAACCGGCCAGGGCAGATATCTCAGCTTTTAAGGAAGTTTATGAACTAGCCAACTAGTATCTACTTACAAATATACTACTTTAGTCATGTAGTATACAAAGTAGCAGTCATTTAGGAACTCTGCTCTCCTGTTACCTCATTTCGTGAAACACTTGCATGGAAATGTTTGCCTTCATCTATCACCTCCATAAACACAGCCATCATTCCCAACTGACTCATTCGAGGATTAGCACTTTCCAGTCAGTGGCCATGGTCCTTCCCGAGCCATGGGCTCATGTGTTTGCCACTGCCTACCTGGGGCTGTCGCTAATGCTGTTGTAAGGTATCTGTGATTGTTCTAAACTGGTCATTCACCAGGTGTTTCCCATAAGATCCTTAAAGGTGTACGCTCACCTGCACTTGTATGCTATAGGTGAGGTGGTCATGTGATCAGTCATATGGAATGATGCTCTGTGGGGCTATTTTGATCCCCAGTCATTCACGGTGCAAATTACAGTACAGTTGAACCTTGAACTGTGTGTTTAAACTGCGTTGGTCAGTTGAAAACCTAAATGTAAATAGATCACACAGTTCTCAATTCTGCGTTGCTCAAGGGTCACCTGTAATTGAGAGTCTCAGTGCAAAGACACGGTGAGAACTCTGGTAAGGGCAGCTCCCTCTGAGGAATGACTGGAATAAAACTCTTGCTTTGTGTTTGAGCAAAAATAGTGTGTGGGGCAGACATTTTATTACAAGAGAATGAATTTCACTAGTAACTGGCTAACCTTTCTTGATAAAAACCTGGGTAAGGATAGCAAAGGTATAACCATCTTCCTCCGGGGATGCCCTGCTCTTCCTGGAGAGGCAAGTGTCCATACTGTCACCAGCAGGCCTGCCCATCAGGGGCCATGGGGTCTGAGGATGCGCAATTTTGAGTCTCTTCTCCAAGAAAAGTAACCTAAAATGTTCAATTTCTATTTTAAAATTTAAAAAGGCGAAAAGAAGGTTGCCTTTGGTTTCTTTGATGGTGTTAAAAGTATGCTGCTGTGAGCCCTGGCCTGTTTGGCTCAGCGGTTAGAGTGTTGGCCTCTGGTCCAGGGAGACCCGGGTTCGGTTCCTGCTAAGGGTGCGTGCCTCGGTTGCAGTTTGTCCCCGGCCCTGGTCGTGCGGGTGGCGGCCACTCAATGTGTCCCTTTCACGTCGATGTTTCTCTCTCTCTTGCTCTTTCTCCCTCCCACTCTATCTGAACAAAAAATGAAGAAATGTCCTCAGATGAGGGGGAAAAAAAAACTTGCTGCTGTAAGTCCCCATACATAGTTTCTCTTGTGATCGTCCAGTGGGCAATTTCAGAATTGGCTTATTTGAATACTTCTCTGGTGTTCTTATGTATAATTTGACTGCTTTCTCCTTGCAGGAAATTCAATCATATCTGTGAACAGACTAGGTTCAAGAACTAAGCATCTGAGGAGGCACCAAGATGGCTTGAGAATATAGGAGTCAATGACGGCGTGTTTCAGGAAATACTAAATATGAACAGTTTAAGGGCATTTTACACTCCCCCTCAGGGCATGCATCTAGCTCTCTGGTGTGAATTTTTCTTCTGTGGAGGAGACAGTCTCAGTGAGGCCCAGCAGCGGCCTAGGTGGCCTGGGGTGCATGACTGACCTCTGAGCTTGGGGTGCCCGAAGCACTTCAGCCAGAACAGCCATCAGCTATCCCCTCCTCCTGAGCAGGTTTGCTCTCTGCACCTTTCACACAGCTATGGTTTTAAAACGCATGTCTCTCTTCAAGAAAAGTTTCATGGAAGAAAAAGGAAAGTTTGTCAGAAACATTCTGTTTAAGGAAAAGATTTACAGCCCACAGGCTGTGCAGTGCCCCCTGGGGAAAGCCACAGCTCTTACATGCTTTTTATTTTAATAGGGTTGGTGCTTATCTTCTAGTAAGATTTAAATACCACAAACTGTAGCACAAATAATATAAATTATAATTTACAAATTGACTAAAATTGAGGATAGTATGGTATTTGAAAGAATAAAGTATGTTTCTCTTTATTAATAAAAACATCAGGTGTCCAGAACTGCTAACCCTGGACACCGACATTGGGTGCAAGGCCCCCTCCCAGGTATGGGTAAGTTGGGTCTCCACCATGCTGAGCCTGCAAGGAAGCAAAACAATGGTCCCTGCTGCTCCTCTGTCAGCATAGCTGCAGCCCCCACCCACTGTCCCCATGTTCTGTATTCCTTCCTGTGGGCGGCCAAGGTGCCAGGTGCAGGTCAGCCCTGGTGGCACCACAACCTTACTGTACCAGCCCCTTCCCACCAGGGGCATAAGGGGCCTTTGCTTCCACTAGTCCTTGACCTTTCCTCCTGCATTGGGTTTGCTGTCATCTGGAATAATACTTGAAATTTTGTTCTTTGTAAAAGAAAAAAATGTTTTTTATCTTTTGTTAAAATCACCTGTTAAGTTTGTTTGCAAAACTGTAACTTTTTGCTTCTTCTCAGGAATACAATTTTCAACTGTTGTCTTGCTCTTGATACAGACTGAGAAGCAGCACCTGTGTGTGAGAGAAGGCCTCCTTCCTGCATCTAATAAACAAGCCGTGTCTGTTTCTCTCTCATGTTTGTTTGTGTGTGGGTTATGGTGTGCCCCTTTCCATCATGGGGACAGGCAGCCGTAGATGTCACTAGTTACTATTTACTACTAAGGAGATTCCACTGAGCTGGCTATTGGGCACAAGTGAGCACCCCAAAGTCACAGGGTTTCCACCAACCCAAAGGAGCCACAACCTATTGGTCCACATTGAAGTGGGTTGTTATGTCTCTGTTGCAAGTGTGTGCTCTTTGCTTGTTTCCCGCCTCTCTGTCCTGTCCCTTGGGAAGTCAGCAAAAGTGAGTGCAGCAGAGATAAGTCCTTTTGGTATCATGCCTAAGAAACCAAAGAAGAGCCAGTATGGAGAGGCGTACCATGTTCATGGATTGAAAGACAAACAGGAAAGTTGCCAATTTTCCCCAAATCAATCTATAGTTCTAATTCCAATGGAAAACCCAGGAAGGATTTTTACAGACAAGTTTATTCTAAAATGTAGATGGATGGGCATGAGTCCTAGAATACCTAGAAGAACAATGAGTAAAATCACCTGGGAGGAATGCCCTTCTGGATGTTAACAGCTTTCTGCAAAGCTCCCAGGATAGGTTGGGAGATCACAACAGAGCCAAGAACCGAGAAACAGACCCACACAAGCAGCCAACTGGTTTCTGACAAATGTGCCAAAGCGAGAATGGGGGAAGGACAGTCTTTAATGAAGTGTGCTTGAACAATTTGATGTCCATAGGCAAAAGAAAAAAACCTAAACCTCATGCTGTATGCCAACGAAGTGTTTTCGTGCTTTTTAGGAAAGGTAAGTCTTTGGTAGGCTCCAGAGCAGGGTTCACTTACGTATGGGCGCGCTGGGAGGCTTGGGGTTCCTAAGGGCTCGAGGATCCTGCCTCCGCGTTTTCTAGCCACTGTCCCCACCGCAGGGGTTGGCCACGCCCATAACCTGGCAGATTGGGCAGGGCCTGAGGCCTGGACACGCCACTTCCGCCGGAAGCTCAAGGGTCCCGCTTCCTGTAGGAGTTAATCCTGCAACTCAGGAAGACGCGTTTCTACACAGAGAAGAGCTGTAAATTCATTTTCTGAAATCTGCCTCTGGCCAGTTGTGAGTGGCCTCGATGCCGGCCCTGCAGCTGGAGAAGCCCCGGCCCGAGGGCGGCTGCTGACGAGAAGAGATCGCTCTCTATCCCGGAACGAAGGCAGCACCCACGGGCTGTTTCCGGAGGGACCGAAGCCGTTGCCGCGCCCCGCTCCGCCCCGCCCCTGGCGCGGCCACGTCTCCGTTGGAGTATCCGGGCCGGGCCGCCGCCGCGGTTCCTCCGCGCCGGGGTGAGGGTCGCGGGAAGCTTCCAGGTCGGGACTCGCCCGGGGTGGGGGCGCAGGGCCGCCGGAGGTCACGGGGAGGCGGGCGGGCGGGCGAGGGGCGGCGGGGCCTGGGCGGGCCCGGAGGGCCGGCCTTGTCTCCTCCTGGAGCGGCGACGCCCCGCTCCACACCGTTGCTCGCCCCGGGGCCCGGAAGCCGGCTTGTGCAGGTGTCAGCGGAACTGGCTTCGTGAACGTCCCTGCCTTCGAGCTCCGGAACGCTGTCTGCGCGTGACGGGGCGGGAGCCGGGCAACGGCGCCGCTGCGGCGGTGGGAGCTGCCCAGGGACCTCGGGCAGCGCATGAGCCCTTTTGCGGACGTGCTGTCAGGATGACAGGCGTGACATGGTGTCGCGCGGTTAGTGTGAGGCCGTGTTTAAAGCATTCGTGTGTCTGCCTCGCGCTCCACTGGGTTCCCTCTCGTTTCCCGGCGCCTAGAGCCGTTTCTCCGGGGCGGTGACACTTTCCAGAGCGAGTGGGCCAGGCGTTGTCACCAGTATGGAGCAGGTGAACAGCTCAGACTTCCTTCAACAGGTATTTGTTGAGAGTCGGCGTGGGCCGGGCGCTGTTCCTTGTAGGTCCTGGGACACGGGTCCCTGCCCTCACCAAGCTCACGTTGTGCTGGAGGGATAGGGACCGTCAGTGAGGGGGTTGCTGAGAGTATTGGCTGGTGCCTGGGTGGGTCTGGGAGGCCTGTGTGGGGAGGTGACTTTGGGGCCCACGTCTCTGTGACAGGAAGCTAGCTGTGCAGAGCGCTGGAATGAGTGTTTCAGGCAGAGTGAGCCTTAAGTGTGAGGACTATGAGAGGAGTCAGTTTGGTGTCCTTAGGTGAAGTGTGGCAAAGGTGTCATGAGAAAGCAAGGAAGTGACAGGGACAGGGATGCAATGGAGGGAGGAGCCAGATGGGGTGCCCTAGTTTATGGTGGGAGGCTTGGATTTTATCGTCAGGGTAACTGAAAGCCACTGGGACATTATTGTAAGCCATATATAGGTGACTCATGGATTTTTAAAAATCTCTTGAATTGTTGCCCTGGCCAGGTGGCTCAGTTGCTTGGAGCATCATCCCATACACCAGAAGTTTTCAGGTTCGATTCCAAGTCAGGGCACATACTTGGGTGTAGATTCAATCTCTGGTTGGGGTGGGTGTGGGAGGCGACCCATCAGTGTTTGTCTCTCTCTCCCTTCCTGTCTCTCAAAAGATGTTTCTGTTTGAATTGTCCCTTTAAACAGGAGTGAGAGCTCTGTCTACCTTGAATAGTGAGAAAAGGAAATAAAAACTATCCAACATAACTAAGATTCAAAGTGGCGCTCTTCCCCCCTTTTTCTCTTGGCTGGTTGCCTTAAGTGGCATTATACTTGAAGTGAGAATATATTCAATTGCCTTGTGCCTATCAATTTTGACAAGCAACAATTGAAAGAGAATAATATAATGATAATAGCAACCATTTTTTGAGGACATTGGAGAGACCCTGTGCCTTGTTGCACTTAATCCTGAAAAATATTTTGTATTATTTTCTTATGCTTTTACTGGTGAGAGTGGTTTAACAGTGTGCCCATGTTCGCAGCTTAGGTGGTAGGGTTGGGGTTTGAAGTCCAGATGTCTCTGCCAGAGCCTGTCCAGCAGGCTTCCTAGGGTTTCACTCTGTGTATTGGTCTCTGTATGTTTTTTGTTTGTTTGTTTGTTTTTTCCTCATCTGAGATTATTTTCCCATTTATCTTCAGATAGAATGGGAGGAAGGGAGGTGGGGAGAGAGAAAGAGAAACATTGATGTGATAGAGCACATTGACTTGTTGCCTCTCGCATGACCCGACCAGGGCCGGGGAAGAATCACAACCGAAGTACGTGCCCTTGACCTTCGGAATCGAACCTGCAACTCATTAGTCCGAGGGCCGACGCTCGAACTGCTGAGCAAAACCGGCCAGGGAGGTTCTGTGCTTTTGTTCATTAGTGTGGCCTCAGCTAGACATTATCTTCTAGGGAAATTCTGTTTTATCTTTGGCTGTGTTCTCTTGTTTCTAATTGCCAACAGGAAAAACTTAAATGAGATGGGATAGAGGGAGCTGTAGCGTGTATATACCAAATTCATGTAGTCTGCTGTGTGGGGGAAGCTGGGAGTCACACAGGTGCTTGAGACTGGTTTTCAGCATGAGGTCCCTTGATGTCAGGCAGGGTTGAACCTGGAGTTAAGAACACTTTTCAAAGTTCTAAGTGATAGCTTTGTCCTGTGTCTTCCCTCTAGGAAACACACAGAATGCAGGTTGCCAGAAATGGTACTGTGAAAAGACCGATCTCTTTATTTTCTTGAAATCACATAATGGAGTGCATGTTACTAATAACAGCTTCCCAGCTGTCTGACCCTACTCCTTCTCCTGGTTTTGTCAGTAGTCTGAGGTCATGAGGCCCTGAATGATTGAGTCACAATAAGTAAAATTCCCACAAGCCTGAGGGTAGACAGAGACTGCCAGTTCACCACCTGCAGGGACTGCTGTGGCAGTCAGCGAACTCTGTCTCTTGTCCGGCTTCAGGAGGAGCTGTGCGTGAACAGGAACCATCTTCATGAGTCACCACAACAAGTCACTGTCGCGGCGTCTCGCATTCTGGAGGGGGTAGAACTGCTTGGGAATCAAAAGGTTTCTTGTTTAGCAAGAAATCCAAATAAAGGGAACTAAAGGATTGGAGTATGTGATGGCATCGGGCTCAGACAGCTGACACATTTGTTTCCATGTTTTTCTAGTAGAAGTAGACTTTTCTTGTATTTGAAAAGGCAGTGATAATGCTCATGGATGCATACACTGTATAATTTTGTTTTGAACCACTGTTGGTCTCGAAGGGGTGGAACTTGGTGGAGCCAGAGATTTAAGTCAGTAGCCTGCCTTGGTCACCAACTCTAGGTAGGGATGTCAAGGCAGACTTGGAGTAGTGGTTTCTACTTCCAAGGATCTAACAGCATGACGGAGGTGACGGGCACACGCGCAGTTGTAGTGTATGTGCACACAGGGGTGTCGTGATGGCGAGGCAGTGGCCAGGCCAGGTGCTGTACCTGAGGCCCAGGAAAGACTTCAGAGCAGCACCTGATGGTACATGGGAGGAATTTGGGAGTTTGCCTGGTGGTCCAGGGGAGAGGGCATCCCAGCAGAGAGACCAGCTTCTGCCTCAAAAGCACTCAGCTGTCGCCATCACTCTTTCTTGTGTCATGGAGAGCACAGAGGTGATGGAATTGTCTTCACCCACATTTCAAAGCAAAGTACAAACGCTTCCTCTTGGTAGAAAACTTGTCGGGATGACCAGCACATAGAATATGCTGCATGCTGTTGAGTGTTGATTCCATATTGGTTCTTACACATCATCTGGAATCATCTGTCCCTGTGATGAAGGGGCCAGTCTGGCCGTCCTGTGCTTGTGTGCCTCACCTGGCTCTGGTTTCTTCTCGGCAGCGTCTCATCATGGCCTGGCCGGCGTACCAGCAGCCACCCCAGGGAGTCCCTGGGATTGAGTCTGTGGGGCAGGCTTGATGGGCATTGGTGAGGTTTTCTGTGGAGCCTGACCATGTGGATTGGTGATTTTCAGAGGGGCCCGTGGGACTTGCAAGTTCCCTGGTGCCTCCAAGGGCCTGTTTGTCTGTCCCACCCACCACTGGAAAGTCTGGGGATGAAAGAGGTTACTGGTTACTGTAGACACAAGAATGAGATGGACAACATACTGCACTCAGGGTCACGTTTTCTCCACCCTCTGCACCTCCCTTTCTCTGATTCAGATGCTGTTTCATTCTGGTACCAGTGCTTTTTGATGAGCTCCAGCGGATTGTAGTCGTGTTCACACATTTCTGTCAATTGTCCTTTCTAGTACAAACCCTTAGTGCAGTGGTTCTCAACCTTCCTAATGCTGCAACCCTTTAATACAGTTCCTCATGTTGTATGTGGGCGGAGAGAGATGGAGGAGCAGTGTCTCAGTTCCTCAGACTATCAGAAAATTTCCAATGGTCTTAGGCGACCCCTGTGAAAGGGTCCTTTGACCCCCAAAGGGGTCGTGACCCACAGGTTGAGAACTGCTGCCTTAGTGCTAGTGTTACGCTTAGTAGTACATAGAACCTTTCATATTGGGTGGGGCAAAAGTAGCTTTGCAGTTGTTCGTATGGAAAATAATACAAGTAATAGATAGTAATACAAAAATAAACTGTGTTTCCAGTACTCACCAGTATAGACCTACTCTGGCCCCACCCTGTGTTGTGAACACCACTTTTGTTTTCTTTTTGGTGGTGTGGTGGTGGTGACCATCACTGCTCTTAACCCACAATGTCTTTGGCCTGTACGGTGCCAGATAGCAGGAAGGAACGTGTAGGTTATTAGAGCTTCGAGCCAACTGCAGAGAGACACTCCCATCACTAGTCATTGGTTGCATGGGTGCCATTCACGGGACAGATAAGAAGATGTTCAGAGTAGATGTCCCTGGAAGAGTGGGCACAGCTCTGTCAGCCCTCCTGGTGAGGACCACTGCCCAGCTCCTGCCCAAATGTCTGGGATTTGTGAGCTGGAGAGGAAGGTCTTGTAAAGTTTTGTCCCGAAACATGAAACACAGAATAGTACACACAATAACGTGAAACATATTTTAAAGGAAGTAAGTGCCAATGTTGCCACAGAGTGAGTAACAGCTAACACAGCGGTTCTCAACCTGTGGGTCGCGACCCCTTTGGGGGTTGAACGACCCTTTCACAGGGGTCGCCTAAGACCATTGGAAAACACATATTTCCGATGGCAATTCATAACATTAGCAAAATTACAGTTATGAAGTAGTAACGAAAATAATTTTATGATTGAGGGTCACCACAACATGAAGAACTGTATTAAAGGGTCGCAGCATTAGGAAGGTTGAGAACCACTGAGCTAACACCTTGTCTGTTGTCAAGGAAATGAGGTGATAATATTCTCAGCCACTTTACAAGCCATAACCAGTTGCCAAACTGGGCAAAGTTTTGTTTCCTTAAACTTAGCCTCGTAGAATGGGCTAAACGACACTGGTCACCTCCTGTGAGATGCTCTCTCTGCTCCCTTTCCATAGGGGTTGCTTTTCTGTGTCCTCGATTCCTGTGCTTTCCCATCACAGTGGACAGTGACCATGTTCCCACAGCTGGTTCTGAGCAGTGGCCTCGGCACCTTCACTTCTGGAAGGGAGCCCTGTGAGGCCTCTGAGTGCTTAGGCCTGTGTGTCCTACATGGAAGTCCCTGGCCACAGGTGGCTATTTACCCCCAAGTTTAGTTAATAAGTAAAAACTCAGTTCCTCAGTTGCCCAAACCCCCACCCTGAGCTCAGTGGCCACCTGTGACAGTTACAGTGCCGGTTGCAGGGCTGCTTTGTCCTGGCAGGATGGTCTTTGGCCAGCAGCGATAACAGCAGTAAGCACCTTCAGGAACAGGCCTCGGTGTGGCTGGTTCAGCACTTTATCCTCAAAACCAAGGATATTGTAGGTGCTCAAGGATTTTTGTTGAATGAAAAGGCTGTATTTGTTTCTTAGACCCATGCAAATTGGGAAGCAAATGCTAATCATGGAGCTGTTACTTAAAATCTGACAATGAAGTTTCAGAATATTTTCTTCTTATTTTCCATTTTATCAGGTATCATGATATTACTTGGTTTGAGTTCAAGCCATTTATGAGACCTTAAATCTCTCGAAAATGGAAAACCTAGTGCCGCCCTTCCTGGAGGATCCTGCCTGCTGGTGATGGCAGAACTGAGCCTGCCAGCAGCCGAGCAGCCCCCGGGTGTCAGTCGGCCCAGTCCAAGTCGTCCTGGCCATGGACGGAGCGCCAGCCATGCAGGGCAGCCTCTTGGAGGATGGGTCCTGCAGTGACACTTCAGCCTGTCTTGACACTCTCCCAAAGCCCCCGGGCCCACGGACACCACCTGACCAGTGGGAGGAAGCCCAGCGTAAGTCACCAGGTGCTCTGTGTGCTGCTGACACTTTGCCTTCAAACAGGAGGACATGAATCAGCTGCATTTTGGGGGAAGACTGTGGTATTTAAGATGATAATGAACTTTCATTCAAAGTGTGTTCCTAATAATCAGATGTGTGTCTTTTCTTAGTTGATGCCAACTTCAAATCAAGTGCCATGTGTGTGAAACATTAGGAACTGCCCCACTTTCTGCCTCCTAAGGTGTCTATGGACTGTTCTTACACACTGTTGTTCCTGGGCTAATATTCTACCTTTCTGGTGGGTTGGCTGCCAGAATTTTACCACCTGGTATCCAGAATGGCCCAGTAGTGATCTAAGGATTATCGGATCACAATTGCATGTTAGCTTATGGGTCATGTGTTCATGAGAAGTACAGAGTGAACTACTCACAGACTCTTTATGCCCCACTCCGCGCTCAGTGCCGTGAGTGCTTGGAAATCGCAGTGCGAACATACCGACTCACCAGGGGATCACGTTCTGGTTCTTAGAAACGATGTTCAGGCACCTAAAATGGCTCTGCTGTTCACTGCTCCCACATCAGGTGAAGCTGGCGACAGCATGGGTGGGCCTGAGACCACAGATCCACAGGGGCGGATGGGAGCCAGCCCATAGATCCTCCCCACAGTGCTGGGAGTCCTTCAGAGGGTTCGTAATTCATCTCGGCCTCACCGTCCTATTGTGTGAAATGAAAGATTAATGGAACCTGCCTCTCAGGGTCATCGTGGAGGCTGGAGGAAATAGCCCACATAAAACATAGCCCGGCCAGTATGGCTCAGGGCTTGAGCGTCAACCCTTGCATCAGGAGGTTGCCGGTTCGATTCCCAGTCAGGGCACATGCCAGGTTGTGGGCCCAATTCCCAGTGGGGGACATGCAAGAAGTGGCCAGTCAATGTTCTCTCATTGATGTTTCTCTCTCTCTTCCTCTCTCTGTCTAAAATCAATAAAGAAAAAAAAATTTTTTTTTTTAAACCCACAAATACAAGCATGTGGGAAGCATTGTCATCATTGTTATTTGTTTATCCATTATTAGGCCTGTGTTTGGAAACAAAGTCTTGTTTATTGGGCTTTCTCATTTTTAGATACTTTTAAAGTATAATATGATGCTCCGTGATTACTTTGTTATATAAACAGTAAGGTTTTTGAGACTCTCCCAGATCTATAAACTCATCAGAAAGTGGTATTCATCTGATTGACTTGTATCTGAAATGCAGAACTGTCCCCTCCCACAGACAGAGACACACACACACACACACACACACACACACACACAGAGTGGAGCTGATGGGGTCTTTTGTGTGGGAGCAGACATTGGTCTTTTGTTGTCAGGGCCATGGGTGGGTCCCCTTGCTCTGGTTTGTGTCTGTGACGCTCGTTTGTATTCTGGTTTTTCTTTTAGGGAGGCTAGAGTGGAAGTAGCTGTATTAGTTGGGACTCACATTTAAAGTCCCACTTTAAATTTACTTGAGCAGAAGGGTACGTCACGGGCCCCTCCCTTCCACACACTATGTTGATTCTTCAACCTTTGACGGGCTGGCCCACCAACATGAAGGGCAGGGAAAAGACTAACAGTCATTTAATTGTAGGAAGTCTCTTCCCTTTTCCCTTTGGACAAGGAAATAGGTTTAAGTTAATATGTAAGGAAGTGTACATGTGACACTATTTGTGGGTGAAACTGAGCTTGATACATTGGTGTATTGTCATCTTTATATAAACTTGGGCTTCTACCTGACAGGTGTTCCTCGAAAAGCACAGACTTGGGGCTCAACTGTGCCGAAATCATTCTGATCAGCTAATCCACCTCTTTGCCTTTGATTTCTCACTTTGGAGGATGACTCTATACTTTGAAATGACTGAGGCCATGGCTCTGATTAGCACTGTGGTTCCCGGCGCCCATTGGAAACATGGTCACCTCTGTTTTAAGCATTTGTTTTCTTTTGCTGTCTTGTTAACGCAGACTTTCACAGGATTTCTCATGGGTCCTGTTTAAATAAAAAGGACGCGATACTTAAATTCTTTAACCAGAGGGTGAGGGCATTCTGCAGATGAGGATGGGGGGCTCGGGGTGGCGCAGCATCCTGTCCCACATCCCGCCCACGGCAGGGCAGCCAGGGCCTGCTCTCCTTCTAGAATGAGCAGATACAGAGATTGCTCATGCTTACATTACTAGCTTCTCTTTCCCCCTGTTTTAGCTGCATATCTGCAAAATGACATGATTGGGTTATTGTCATTGTGATGGCCCAGCATGCCCTCTCTTCCAGGTGCCAGCGTTGGGGTGAACAGAGCTATGGATGAAGGAGAAAGCCCAGATGTGCCCAACGAGGGAGACACCTATCAGAACGGACCAGTGCCACAGCTCCCAGGCCCGCTGTCAGCTCTTGGTCCCACCAAGAGCCCTGTGGGTCCTGATGCCCCTCCAGGTGTGGCTGGTTTCCATGACAACCTAAGGAAGTCTCAGGGGACTAGTGCTGAGGGCAGTGTTAGAAAAGAAGCTTTGCAGTCTCTCAGACTCAGTCTTCCTATGCAAGAAACGCAACTGTGTAAGCATCTGCCCCCACCCTGACTTCCCTGACCCCCCCCCCCCTTTCCTGTGTCCCATCCGTCACCACCTTCAGAGGCATTCTTTTTGGTCAGCATGGTGGACTGTGCATTTATCAGACAGCTCCATTTTAGAGAGAGAGCCAATGGTTCAATATTAATGGCGGTGCACCAGGTCCAGGTGTGTGTATGTTGTCATCCTGGACTGTGAACAGGCAGCCCATGGGAGATTAGTCTCAACAGTTACACTTTGAAAGCTTTCTTTTATGATTTATTTATTTATTTATCCGAACCCGAGGACACTTTTCCATTTTTTTATTCAGATAGAGCAGGAGGAAGAGAGAGAAACATCGTGTGGCCACCACCCGCACGACCCAACCAGGGCCAGGGACAAACTGCAGCCAAGGTACATGCCCTTAGCGGGAACCGAACCCGGGTCTCTGTGGACCGCAGGCCGACGCTCTAACTGCTGAGCCAAACTGGCCAGGGCTCTTTTATGAATTCTTTTAATCAGCGTTGATTTGTGCTGATCCCTGGGATTCAGGGATGAACAAGTCACAAACTGGCAGCCGCTGAGCCCAAGAAGCCTCCAGGCCATTGCCAAGCACTTCTTTCTCATACCCACACATATACTTTTACTCAGTGGGGTCATATCGTCCCTCCTGGTCCGCCACATTCTCACATGACCTTACATAGGCCTCTGTAAACAGAAAGGGTTGGGGTCATTGTTTCTTTGTTTTTGTTAATCCTCACCCAAGGTTATTTTTTCATTGATTTTAGATAGAGTGGAAGGGAAGAAGGGAGAGAGAGACATGATGTGAGAAAGACGCATTGATTGGTTGCCTCCTGCACCACCCCAAGGCCAGGATCAAACCCTTCGGTCCACGTGCTGACCCTCTAACCACTGAGAAAACTGTCTAGGGCATCATTGCTTGTTTGTTTATTTGTTTATTTATTTTTAAATATGTTTTTATTGATTGTTTAGAGAGGGGAAGGGAGATAGAGATAGAAACATCAATGTGAGAGAGAAACATCCATCGGCTGCCTCCTGCAGGCCCCCAACTGGGGATTGAGCCCACAACCCAGGCACATGCCCTGACCAGAAATCAAACTGGGACCTCTCAGTCCATGGGACAATGCTCCATCCACTGAGCCACACTGCCAGGTGCATCATTGCTGTTTTAATTAATATCTGCTATGACGAAGTAACCGCTTGAGCTAAAGCCAACCCCATCATTGCTGTTTTAAATGTGACTGTGGCCCTGGCCGGTTTGGCTCAGCGGTTGGAGCATCGGCCTACGGACCAGAGAGTCCCTGGTTTGGTTCCTGCTAGGGGCACATACCAAAAAAAAAAAATTTTTTTTAAATAAATAAATAAATGTGACTCTGCTGTTCCCATTATCACATTTGCTCCCTCAGCAGTCACGTGGACTGCCCCAGGTCGTCTGCTGCAGTGCACAGCTCGTGCTCACGCCGAAACATCTCCACTTCAGCTCCTAGGGATGCATCCCAGGAGCAGGCTTCTTGGTCCAAAGCAACCAGCAGTTTTGTTTATTTCCATCTCACGTGGTCATGTGGCTGCACCACTGATGACCCGTGCAGACATGCTGCCGCCTACCCCTGCTGTGCCCAGACACTTCCTCTCCAGCTCCCACAAGCCTGCTGGGTTCGCCCCGACATCGCGCTTCAGAGGCTTCAGTGTGCAGCTTGCACTTCCCTGATCCCTGGGGTGTCTGTCAGCCCTCTGGTTGTGTGTCTCTGAGAACAGTCTTTTGTTTAGCCCATCTTTCTTTCTTTTTTCTTTCTTTATTGATGTTAGAGAGAGAGAGGAAGGGAGAGGGAGAGAGATAGAAACATTGATGAGAGAACATCGACTGGCCACCTCCTGCACGCCCCTCACTGGGGATTTGGCCCACAACCTGGGCATGTGCCCTGACCGGGAATCAAACCGGTCCACGTGCCAACCCAACACCAGAGACACAGCTTGAGAGCCAGGGCCATGAGAAAACACTGCCCAGAGAGCAGAAGGCAGCACAGTGCATAGGTTGACACTCAACCACTGAGTCACACCAGCCAGTTAGCCTGGTATTTCTTTTGGATTGTTTGCCTTTTTCTTCACAGGCATTATTTTGTTAAGGTGGTGGTATGTTTCAAAGATTTCCGGAAACTGCCCTGGCCGGTTTGGCTCAGCGGTTAAGAGCCTCGGCCTGTGGTCCAGAGAGACCAAGGTTCAGTTTCCGCTAAGGGCATGTGCTTCGGTTGCAGTTTGTCCCCGGCCCTGGTTGGGTCGTGCGGGTGGCAGCCACTTGGTGTGTCCCTTTCACACTGATGTTTCTCTCTTCCTCTCTCTCCCTTCCGCTCTGTCTGAATAAAAATATGGAAAAATGTCCTCAGGTGAGGATAAAAAAAAAAGAATTAAAAAAAAAAGATTTCTGGAAACGCAGTGTCAATGTTGAAGCCAAGAGGCACCGTGTACAAGCCTGCGTCCCTGCTCTGAGAGCCATGTGAGCTGCGGCCTCAGATGCCGGGTGCCGTGGCCTGTGCTGCCTTCTGCTCTCCGGGCAGTGTTTTCTCATGGCCCTGGCTCTCAAGCTGTGTCTCTGGTGTTGGGTTGGCAGATTTAGGTTCCCTACCTGCAGCCACAGGCCTCTGGGTTTCTGCCATCTGGACCACTTAGCCTTGAGAAAAGTACTAGAGGTCTGATAGCACAAATCAGTAATGATGTTGGTGAATTTCTAGTGAAATTAATGGAATTCCAGTGCTCAGGTCTTAGGGTTATTTAAAACAACAGCTGCTTGCCCTGGCCAGTTTGGCTCCACGATTAGAGTGTCGACCCTCGGACCAATGAGTCACGGGTTCAGTTCACATCAAGGGCACGGCATGTACCTCGGTTGCAGTTTGTCCTGGGCCCTAGTCAGGGTTGTACGGGAGGCAACCAATGTGTCTCTCTCACATCAATGTTTCTCTCCCTCCCTCCCAACTCTATCTGAAGATAAATAGAAAAATGTCCTCGGGTGAGGATTAAAAATAATAATAAAATAAAACAACAGCTGCTTGCCCAGGCTGCTTTGACTCAGTGGTTAGAGTGTTGGCCACAGGGTCTCAGGTTCAGTCCCTGGTCAAGGGCGCGTGCCTAGGTTTCAGGTTTGGTCTCAGCCCTAGTCAAAGATGTGCAGGAGGCAACCAGTCGATGTGTCTCTCTCACATTGATATTTCTCTTTCCCTCCCTCTGTCTCTATCTAAAATAATCAATGGAAAAATATTCTCAGGTGAGGATTAACTAACTAAATAAACAAAACAGCTGCTTATCTTCTCAGAAGCCACATCTGAATGTGGTTTTGTCTGTGAAGTGGTTAAATTAGGACATTGATCTGTTCTTGTCAGCGTATTTTCCTCAGCGGCATCCAACACGCACGTTTGCTGTATAAGGCAGAACTCACAACTTGTACCATTGCGGGCACTGTTCCCCTTCAGTTACCCAAAGTAAAGCACGTTGGGTGTGACATGCTTACGTGACTGGGCGTCATTCCATTAAGGCTGCTTTTCACTGGTCCCTCCGACCTCAGAGGTTGGACACGGTGAGGGCTCACCACAGGCACCACTTGAATTCAGTTCTTTTGTTACCAAGGGGCAAGTTGCCCTTGTCCTGTTATACCCACTGAATGCTGTAGAGAGCCCGAGCCCTGGGCATGACCAGGGTTTCTTTGACCAGATTGGTCCTGTCAGTGGCTAGTGTCGTGGGCCCACAGTCTTTCTCCACCTGGAAGTAGGCCTTGCAAACTAGCCACACCTATTGTTTATTTTTTATTATTTTTTTTTTATCCTTACCCGAGGATATTTTTCCATTTTTGTACAGATAGAGTGGGAGGGAGAGAGAGGAAGGGAGAAAGAGAGAGAAACATCGACGTGAAGGGACACATCGAGTGGCTGCCACCCGCACGACCAACCAGGTCCGGGGACAAACTGCAACCGAAGTACGTGCCCTTAGCGGGAACCGAACCCGGGTCTCTCCAGACCGCAGGCCGACGCTCTAACCGCTGAGCCAAACTGGCCAGGGCATGTTTAGAAGCTAAGTCATTTTGGTAATTAGATGCAGAACAGCCGAGCTGCAGTTCTGGTTTGTCTTTTGTGTCCTGATGCTTTCTGAGCTTCTAAGTGGCCACTTCCCCACTGCAGGCTCAACGGAGGCTTCCCTGCCCCTGGAGAAGGAGGAACAGATCCGACTTCAGGCTCGGAGGCGGCTGGAGGAGCAGCTCAAACAGTACAGGGTGAAGCGCCAGCAGGAACGAGTGAGTTGCTCTCAACAAACTGATGGCGAGCTTGCCTGTAACAAGCCGTGGTTAGTCAGACGTCATCCTAGGACCTGCTGTTCACTTCTCTGTGCTTCTCTGGAAAGGTCGCTTCTCTCATTTGGTTCCCACCATTTGTGGAATTTCCAGCAGAGCTCTGGTCCTGCCCTCTCCAGTTCTTCCCTTGAAACAAACACATTTCGGCCTTAAATCTGCCATTTGGAAAGCAGAGACAGACAGTGCTTGGGTATCGTTGCTGTCTGTGCTTGAGCAGCTAGCAGTCCTAGTCTTCAGAGGAGAAATGGTATTATTTACACGTGTTGGTGATGCCTCGGAAAACTCTAGAGACTCAACTAAAAGTGATTATACATTTATAAAAATATAAAATTAGTAAAATAATTAGAACTCAGAAATTTGGTTTAAAAATATAAATATTATAAGTCAAGTTATCTTAATAAGACAAATTACAATATTAGTGGGAAAAGATAGTACTTATAATTAAAAAGAAAAACTGTCTACGCATTAGATTAAAATGGCAGTAAAATCATTAGATTAGAATCTAGATGAACACTGTGACTTCCTTTGCAAGCACTTATGAATAAGTGAAGGGAAAACTTGTTCATTATCCTCTAATTATAGACTTAAAATATTACTCATTCAACAGGACCTTTTTTTATAATTTGAAAATTTCAAAGTGCATCTAAAAGTACAAACATGGGAATGCAGCAGGAAAATGTAAAGGAGGTGTGAGGAGGCAGGACTTGCTGACAGCTGTTTTTCATTATAATCTAGTCACGTCGTTGACGTGTGCTTGGATGGTCCCTGGGTGGGACTCGGGGCAGTGAGACCACAGAGCCCAGTGGGCCAGGTGGCGGGGCCCACGCAGGGGGTGCTTGCTTGTCCAGGGAGGGAAATGTCACCTGTGCAGCCTTGCTGGGCGGCACATCTTGAATGCTGCTGTCACGTCCAACATAATCGTGCTTCTCTTTCCTGCTCAGTCCAGCCAACCTGCAGCTAAAACGAGACCTTTCAGCACACTTGATCCTGAACTCATGTTGAACCCAGAAGCCTTACCAAGGGCCAGCACCGTGGCTATGACAAAGGAATATTCCTTCCTGCGTACCAGTGTGCCTCGGGGGCCAAAGGTGGGCAGCTTAGGGCTCCTGGCACATTCTAAGGAGAAAAAAAGTTCCAAATCAAGCAAAATTCGGTCCCTGGCTGATTATAGAACTGAAGACTCAGACACTGGGAATTTGGGTGGAAATGTTCTGGCCACAGACTCCACCAGGGGCTCCTTGAAACAGAACCAAAGCAGTGTGACGTCAGTGGTGTCTGAGGTCAGCCTGTGCCCTGAGGCCGATGACCTGGAGAACTCATCCCTGACTGGAGACAATGTATCTGAGGCCGATGGGAATGAGAGCGACAGCTCTTCCTACAGCAGCAGCTCCCTCCGGGGGATGCGCAGCCTCGTGGTGAACAGTGCAGGCACGCGTGAAGCCTCCTACGTGGTCAACGGCCAGGAGATTGCTGCCAGTTCCCTGGGCCAGTTCCCATCCATCAAGGATGTCCTCCAGGCCGCTGCAGCTGAGCACCGAGACCGGGGCCCAGAGGTCAATGGGGAGACGCGGAGCCGGACAGACAGCATCTGCAGCAGGTGGGCACTGCATGCGGGACCCGCTCACCAGTGCGGTGGCCAAAACACCTTAGTCCTTAACGTTTCATCTGCACACGAATCTGTTGCTTTGTAAAAATGGAATTCGAGTCGCTCAGCTCGTCTACAATAACAGAACGCCTGCCTTTCAGCATTTATGCAGACCTGTCTCTGAAAGGGCACAGTGCTCTCCTTGGCTCCCATCTCCATTCGGCATCTAACCACATGCGCTGACATGCCGACCGTGGGTGGCAGTGTTTCCTGGCAGTTCTGTCCTGGCATCTTCTTACTTATTTATTTTAAACCCTTAGGGGAGAGGAGCAGGGGTGTGTGAGGTTTGGAGAGTATGGGCAAATGTAAAGGGAACGATCACACGTGTTCCTATTGACTGACCATTGTGCCTTTTCCTCCAGCGTGTCCATGGAAGGTTCTGTGGCTGAAACTCACGATGAGATGTTGCAGGTTCTTAAAGAAAAAATGAGACTTGAAGGACAGCTGGAAGCCTTATCCCAGGAGGCTGGTCAGGTGAGGGCTGTGGAGGGCAGCTCCTGTGCTGCGAGCTTCCTGGTCACTGGGTGGAGTTTCTTGTTGTCGTGAAGAAGCTGCAGCGGCAGTGCTGGCAGCAGCCGCCTCTGCCTGCGTCCTGTCGGCCTGGTTTGTCTGCTCAGACGAGGCCTGTGAGCTCCCCCTGCCGTTCCCCTCGGCCTCTGCTTGCTCTGTGCGGGTCCGCCTACAGAACTGGCTCGCTCTGATGTCAGATACTCAGTCATGCTTCAGAATCAGATTGTTTTGGTGGATCTCATCTTTTCCTGCAGTAGTAAAATTGTCAACTTTGCCCTTTAATGCTTTTTGCTGTGGGTTCTGGTTTTTCTGATATGAACTTTGCTTCATGTGCTTAGCATATTCCTGAAAAATTATTTTCCATTTCTTAATTTCCAGCTTTCCTATCAGCAGCTAGAGTAAATCAGTTCAGTTGAATTTGACTCCATATACTTGGCGTGGGGAGCGGGAGACACGGGCACTGGGTACCATCACAACACAAGGTTGTCTCGGATGGCTCTCTGGTGGGTCCTTGTGTTCCAGGAATGGGTGCCCAGCCAGTGCCCTGCTCAGGACAGACCCACCACTTTGGGTACATAAACTGCCCACTGAAGAGGTGGCTGCCAGAATCTCGGTTAATTTTGTGCTACACAGTTTCCGCTTTCTGTCCTACTTAGAGTGTAGCTCCTCGAGTATGTTTCCACTTCTGCGCAGCCAACATGTCTGCCCCTGCCCCCTGGGTCTGTCTGGAGAATCTGCCTTCTTGGGGGGTAATTGTCATGTTAGGCAACCGGATAGTTTGGAAAACCTAGTGCATCCTGGAAAACTCACCTGTCAACACCTTTCTTTGTCTCGCGGGTTGGTGTGGAAGACTTCGTAGTGCACAGGGTGGAAGTGACTTAATTTCTTGACAGTGTGGCTGTTTGCCGATCTTTCCAGGCACTTAAGGAAAAGGCGGAGCTGCAGGCACAGCTGGCCGCCCTGAACACACGGCTGCAAGCACAGGAGGAACACAGCCACAGCAGCCAGCGGAAGCAGGACGCGCTCACTTCGGAGGTGGACACCTTGAAGCAGTCCTGTTGGGACCTGGAGCGGGCAATGAGCGACCTGCAGAACACGCTGGAGGCCAAGAATGCCAGCCTGGCGTCCTCCCACCATGACCTGCAGGTGGCAGAGGAGCAGTACCAGCGACTCCTGGCCAAAGTGGGGGAGATGCAGAGCAGCATGCTCAGCAAGGACAGCACAGGTACATGCACCACTGGTCTGTGGTCTGGCCCAGTTGTGTTCCCTTCTGGTGTGTGCACTAGGTGGCCTGAGTCCTAGAAGTGGCTCTGACCCAGTCAGTCGTCATTTCCACTCTCTCCACCCGCAGAGTCCATCAGTGGTGGGGCTAGAGCTGCTGCTTGTTCCACAGAGTTGCAGGTCCATTTGAAAATATGTAAACACTCACTTTAAGATCAGCTGTGGTCTAGGTGGATGCCTGTGGGATCACCTGTGGAATGACATGGGAATAGTGGAGTCCAGGGAACTGGGCAGCAGGCCATGCACAGAGCACCTGGGGGTGTGCCACATCCAGCCAGGTGCTGAGAAGACTGGCTGCCAGTCTGGGGCATCTCGGCTGTTGGCCCAGTGTCAGACCCTCCAGTGGATGAGCGTCTGCTAGCCGAGCGGCCATCTCAGAGCTGGGTTAGCTAGTGGTCCTGCTATGAAGGACCACGTCTCAGCATGGAGTCTTGGCCATAAGACTTGTGACACTAGGTATTAGGTCTGGTAACATGGAAGGAAAAGTGACAGACTGCCATCACAAAGGCTTTATCCTGATGCTTGAAAAAAGAGCAGGCCAATTGAGAAACAACACCGTAGACTGGTTTAGTGTGTGAGCTCTGTGACACTTAGTCCCTTCCAGAAAGTTCTGCACACAGAAGTAATTTTATAATTCTGAGTTGCAAGGCCTGACCTGCTGGAGCTCATTGGGCAGCAAACAGACCTGTACTCACATGAGCCTCTGTGACATGTTTCTTGCATTTTTGTATTTTTTTGGGTGGTTTGCTATTTAAAAAGAACCTGGAACACTGTGGTGTTCCTTAGTGCGAAGAGACTGTGATGTGTTTTGTGGAGAAAATACATGTTGTGATTCATTCCATATGAGTCGTGGTGCTAATGGACCATGTAGGTGACGGAATGTTGTGACCAGAACCTGACCCTGTGCCCCCAGGAGCCGTGGCTCCGCACCAAGTCTTGGACAGGCTGGGTCCCTGCTGTGCAGAGAGATGGCCTGACCTGGATGTCTGAGCGGAACTGCGGGCTCTTGCTGTGGGCTGGTCTGAGCACTGTGCTTTCTTGCTTCCAGTGCACGACCTGCGACAGCAGATGGCAGCCTTGCAGAGCCAGCTGCGGCAGGTGCAGCTGGAGCGCACAACGCTCACCAGCAGGCTGAAGGCGTCCCAGGCGGAAATCGCGTCTTTGCAGAGCGTCAGGCAGTGGTACCAACAGCAGCTTGCCCTGGCCCAGGAGGCCCGGGTCAGGCTGCAGGGTGAGATGGCCCACATCCAGGTATGGCCCCAACAGTGCTGGGCAGCTTATGCTTCATGTCCCATGTGGAGTAACTGAAAAGACTTCTGCTTTTTGAGTTCACAGATGCACTTTTTAAAAATCTGCTAACCACTCACGTATCCCACATCCACCCTATGACTGGGGGTCTCACAACCCCTAAAAATGCCCTTCTCTGGAACATCCTGTGTTCCTAGTCTGACTGCTAAGACTCATTGCCCTATGAGTACCCCTTCCCTCCTGTGACTCCAGCTCTCAGCTCCACGTAAGCCTGGTCTCTGCCCTCCTGTGATGTTGTTTCTGAGGCACAGAGCATGGCACTCGGTCTCCCTTCCCAGGTGTAGCTCTTCCCTTCTTTAGCTGCTTGATCACCAGATCCCCCTCCCTTCCGTTTGGTAGGGAGCTGGCACAGGTGCACAGACATGCTGTGGCTGCTCCCTCTGGGCTGCGCTTTCTCTGGAGGACTCTCAAGTGGCTAAAATGTGCTTTGCTGAGAACCTCAGTGCTTTGGACTGATTGGGTTGATTATAAGTTGCCAAGTTGCGCCTCCATCAGCCTCGGGTTTCTTTTTTAATTTAGCTGTGGGTTTTGTCCCTCTTTTTTTGTCCAGATAAAATACCGTACATTAATTAAAACTTTACATCTGATCTTCTTAATAGAGGATATTTGGCCCACAACCTGGGCATGTGTCCTGACCGGGAATTGAACCGGTGACCTCTTGGTGCATGGGTCGACACTCAACCACTGAGCAACACTGGCCGGGTACTCCTTTTTTAAAAACACTAACATCTACACATGTACAAATAGAAATTTTCTTAAGTTTATAGCACATCTTTTTTTTATTTTTTTTGGTGGAACATGCCCCTAGCAGGAACTGAACCCGGGACTCTCTGGTCCACAGGTCGACACTCAACTGCTGAGCCAAAATGGCCAGAGCTATAGCATACCTTTAAGCTAAAGGATCACACAGACAAGCCTTGGTTCTGTTTACAGCATACTTAGATAATTTTATAAGTTAATGTAATTTTGAAGCTATGGTGTATTTATGTGAAGCATAAAGTATTTAAAGAAGCCAGACTTATGTAAATGACAAAAGTCAACAGGAAGAGTCCAGGGAGTGGCAGTTTGAGAAATGTAACTGGCCCTGGCTGGTTTGGCTCAGCGGTTAGAGCGTCGGCCTGCGGTCCGGAGAAATGTAACTGCTTTTTTCCAAACACACCCCATTCCCCAGGACCCAGGTTCAGCATTCCTTAATTAGGGTGTTCACTGCATTTCCCCCTTGTCCCAGTAGCAGACGTGTTTTCAGGGCCGCCCAGCAGGGAGGAGACTGTCAGGGTGGTCTTTATTCTGCCGTTGCCTCAAGACACAGTCCCAGCAAGTGGTGTCTCCCTGCTCCAACGCTTCCATTGAGACCCTGGAATTCGTGTCCTTTTAGGGGTGTTCCCATCGGATCTTGAAGGGATGTGCTCGAAGGTCCAGTTGCAGACCCATGTGTCCTCTAGACTTCCTTTTTTTTTTAAATCCTAGCCCAAGGACATTTTGTGCATTTATCTTCAGATAGAGCGGGAGGGAGAGAGAGAGAAACATCAAAGTGAGAGAGACACATCAAGTGGTTGCCACCCACAGGACCCCAACTGGGGCCGGGGATAACTGCAACCGAGGTACGTGCCCTTACCAGGAACCGAACCCGGGACTCTCCGATCCCTGGGCTGACACTCTAACCGCTGAGCCAAACCGGTCAGGGCTAGACTTCTCTTTACTGACCCCTCTGGGCACAAGTGTGTTTAAAGCTGGGCTCCTTTTTCTCTAGGAGACAGTGGTCAGAGGCCTGACTGATGGCCTGTGTCAGACCCTGGGCAGGACTGCCAGTGTTATTCCCTGGGAATGGCTGGGATCAGCCTGGTGTGTCCAGGACAGCCAGGCATGAAATGTGTCTGGTCATAGCTGGTCAGTTCACCTGAGGGGCAGAGCTCCAGCTCCAGCTGCACCTGCCATCCATATGAGGCCGCTCACCTTGGGGGCTCACATATACACCTTCATGGGAATTTCTGTGTTGGTCTCACCACAAACTATGCATTGTCAGGGGGATGATCACTGGCTTCTGGGCTTCCAGCCTGCTCCTCTTAGGTACACAGAACCCACTGGCCCTAGTGTCAAGGAAGCTGGCAGGAGGGTGGGCAGTGAGGCCCTATGTGGTGGTCTCCTAGGGAGTAGCCCCTTGGGGGCCATTGCTGGGCAGACACCCTCACCTTGGCGGCCTCAGGGACAGGTTGATCTGCACTTGCACTTGAAATCGAGCAACTTGTCCAGCCCGTGTGGCTCACTGAGCGTTGATCCTGCACCAAGAGGTCGCCAGTTTAGTTCCCGATCAGGACACATACCCAGGTTGTGGGCCCGATCACAGTGGGGAGCATGCAGGAGGCGACCAATCGATGTTCTCTCTCATTGATGTTTCTGTCGCTCTCTCCCTGTCACTTCCTCTCTCTCTAAAATGTCAATAAAGAAAAAAAAATCGAGCAACTTTCCACCCCTTTTTTTCTTTTTGCAGGTGGGACAGATGACCCAGACGGGCCTCCTGGAGCACCTGAAACTTGAGAACGTGTCCCTATCACAGCAGCTGACGGAAACGCAGCATAGATCCATCAAGGAGAAGGAACGCATCGCCCTGCAGCTCCAGGGCATCGAGGTGAGGGCCGCATCATTGCGCTGGCGGGTGTTTGTTTTCGGTGTTTTTTTTTATTGGGCTTTTTTTTTTGGCTACTGGTCAAGGATAGGAAAAAGACACGAATACATGTATGTACGTAAACGTTAACACTGTACGCGTACATTTGTGCAGTGGCAAGGTGTGGGGATTCAGTTCCTTGTGCTTTCTCTCACTGAGTGGTCATCAATAACTCGTCTCCTCTGACCCTCAGTGGGCCTGTGTCCCAGCACTCAGCTTAGTGGTGGGTGGTGCTGGGCAGAGAATGGGCAGGGAGGAAGGAATTTAGTGCTGTGCATGTCTGACAGCATTTTAGAGTCTAGCAGTGATAAGCGTTTTCTTGTCTCCGAACACTCAGCTTACGCTGCTTTGTAGTCCTCCAGCATGTGCAGAGGTTCGGGTTAGGGCCGCCTTCCACCCCAGTGGCCTTGGCTCCTCTGTTTGCAGGTCACGGAGACGGCAATGTAGTTGAGGGTTCCTTACACCTGGCGGGTTTTCTTGCTCAGTCTGCTGCAGTCATCAGGTTATCTTGCTTTTTAAAATATACTCTCTTCCGGGCCTAGGCTGACATGCTGGACCAAGAAGCTGCCTTTGTGCAGATTCAAGAGGCAAAGACGATGGTGGAGGAGGACCTGCAGAGGAGGCTGGAAGAGTTCGAGGAAGAGAAGGAGCAGCTGCAGAAAATGGCAGCCTCAGCAGCAGCCCTCGAGCAGCAGCTAGAGCAGGCAAGCACCCGCATGGCCGTCCTCATCGTGTGCACTGTGCTGGCTGTGTGTCAAGTCCACTTCAGTGTCACGTCATCAGGCCTGGCGGCCTTCACAGACCAGCTGCACACCTGCTTCCACAAGTGTTCTTGTACACCAGGCCTTCACACACAGGAGGCTGCCGCAGTGTCTGCGCACGTATTCCAAAACCTGAACAGGGAAGCAGTGTACTTTCTGGGACGGGAGGCCATACTGAGTCTAGTCCCTTTTCCAGGTGAAGTTAACGCTACACCAGCGAGACCAGCAGCTTGAGGCCTTGCAGCAGGAGCACCTAGACGTGCTAAAGCAGTTCACCACGACACAGGAGACGTTGCAGAGCCGGGAGCAGGCGCTCGGCGACCTGCAGGTGCGCTACGATGAGCTGCAGGCCCGGCTGGAGGAGCTGCAGGGCGAGGCCACCTCCAGGGACGACACCATCCGCTTCCTGCAGAACGAGAAGATTGTCTTGGAGGTGGCTCTGCAGGCAGCCCGGAGCTGTGAGGAGGAACTTGACAGAGGAGCCAGACGCTTGGAAGAAGGTGCAGAGGAAACATCAGAAATGTTGGAGCAGTTGAGACAGGAACTAGCCGTCAAGTCCAGCCAGGTAATGCCGTTTGCTCTCATTTTGTACAAGTCGCAGTCACCCATGTGAGTATCGATGCTGATGGTTTGGTTCTTTCTTTGAACCCCTTGTTTAGTAAACATGAAAGTATGTCTAGGACTGGGCACAGGGCTCAGCTGTGGAAGGACTCACTCTTGCTGGTATGTGGGCTTCCAGCCCACTTTATTAATTTATTTTTTGGTAAGTGCCCCTAGCGGGAACCGAACCCAGGACTCTCTGGTCCATAGGCTGACGCTTCAACCGCTGAGCCAAACCGGCAAGGGCCTTCCAGCCCGCTTTAGCCACGGGTCACGTCTACAGGCAGAGAGCCGGGAAACAGTTCTGTTTGGACTTTGAAACTAATCTGCCAAGAAACACAGTTTCTGTCCACAGATGACGTGGAGCTCAGATGGGGAAAGCTGTGTGAAACTTTTGTCTTTTCCTTGTTGTGTGCTTGAGTGGTGGGACCCACGGGACACAGCAGCAGGACAGACTGGTGTCAGCAGGCAAGGCGGGCAGACAGCCTGAGTGTATGGGTTTGTGGGTGTGACCACACCCACACCTGGGAGCCGTTATGCTGACAGCTGATGTGACTCGACTCAGGGGCACGTCAAAGACAGAACAGGGAAGCTGCAGGGTGTGCAGGAGGTAGAATTGGTGTCAGGGAATCATCTTGTCTCTGGATCCCACCCATAAGCAACAGGATGAGAGAAAAATCAATGACTTTCCCATTAGGAAGTAAAACCGAGGGGGGGCTGTGTTTTCACTGCAGACGTCAGCTGAGCTCAGTTACTTTCTAGGACAGACACAGAGCAGCTTGTCGAACCAGAGAGGGCATAGTTACAGGAACTGTGCAAATTCTTTTGACAGATTTGAACTTGATTTACTGACAGTAGGAGGAGCAAAAGCTCATACTTGGAAAGCTCCAGAAGAGACATTTGCTCGGTACTAGGCATTACTGATCACGTTTAAGGTTTACCTGTGTTGTCATTATTGACCACGTCATTGGTAGTTACACCTTGGATCAAAGTCATTATCCTAAAAATAGTGGATACAAAGTGGTGGTGGTGTTACTGCCTCACTGGGAGGCTATCTTTCCAACCCCAACTCAGGGGCTAGAGTGCACACATGTCCCTGCAGGCCCTGGGCCCCCTGGAGCCATGAGTAAGGTCTGTGCACACGTGTCCCTGCAGGCCCTGGGCCCCCTGGAGCCATGAGTAAGGTCTGTGCACACGTGTCCCTGCAGGCCCTGGGCCCCCTGGAGCCATGAGTAAGGTCTGTGCACACGTGTCCCTGCAGGTGGAGCACCTGGAGGAAGACGCTACCTCTCTGAAAAAACAGATGCAGAAAATAAAGGAACAGTTTCTTCAACAGAAGGTAAAGTTGAGTTGTTGGTGTTCTTTGTATGAAACGAGTGTGTGGAAAGAGTCTTGTAATCACTTCATTAGCACAAGTTGATCAAGATCAAGGTGATGTCTAAATGCCTTTGTGGTTGTTGTTTTTTAATCCTCACTGGAGGATACACTTACTAATTTTAGAGAGAAGAGAAGGGGGAGAGAGAGACAGAGACAGAGAGAGAAACATTAATCAGCTGCCTCTTGTACGTGTCCCAACTGGGGATTGAACCCATGACCTTATGGTGCATGGGACAACTCTCTAACCAACTGAGCCATACCAGCCAGGGCTAGACGCCTTCAGTTTTTTGTTTTTTGGTTGTTGTTTTTTTTATCCTCACTCAAGGGTATTTTTTCCATTGATTAAAAAAAAATTTTTTTTTTCTTTATTGATTTTAGAGAAAGAGGAAAAGAGAGGGAGAGAGAGATGGAAACATCAATGAGAGAGAACATCGATTGGCCGCCTCCTGCATGCCCCCCACTGGGGATTTAGCCCACAGCCTGGGCATGTGCCTTGACCAGGAATCGAACCGGTGACCTCTTGGTGCATGCGTCGATGCTCAATCACTGAGCCACACAGGCTATTCATTCATTGATATTTTAGAGAGGGTAGGGACAGAAACATCAACTTGAGAGAGACACATCAATTGGTTGCCTCCTGCATGACCCCAATTAGAGCCTGGGATCAAACCTGCAACCCAAGTACATGCACTTAACCAGGAATCAAATCCCAAGACCCTTTGGTGCTCGGGCTGATACTCTAATCACTGAGCCACACCAGCCAGAGTGACACCTTCAGTTACTAAAGGTACTTGTTTGACTTCAACACATGCCCCTCGCCCTTCCATTTTACTGTCTCCAGAGTCAGGTGGGTCCACAGTGGGCTTGGTGTCTGACTGCGAGCATCATGCCCTGTGGTCACAGCAGAGAGTGTGCATCACCACCACACAGGCTAAGTCTCTATTTAACACGCTTGAAAAAATGATACCATGATCTAGCATTGACATAGGTCATGGTGCACGTGTGGTGTGTGTTTATGTTTGTGAAGCCCATTTGTGTGGGAGGAAGGAGAATGTCGCCAGCCCAGGGTCTCAGGAGGGATGGCCCCTGAGGGAGCGTGCTAAGTGGTGTGGGCTTTATTACAAGGGGACAGCCTGTCAGCCAGGAGTGCAGCTCAGAGAAGGAATTGCCAGAATCCCAGCGAAGACAGACGATTGAGGTGCATGACAGTTCATGCTTTGCCCAGACTTGTTCAGGAGCGAAATAACAGGGTGTCTCAGTTGGTGGTGTCTTGGGTTTGGTGAATTCTGTTATCTTTAGCCCCAGGTAAGTGGTGAGCATTTGTATGTAAGCCGAGTGTGCCCTGTGCGGCCCTGCCCGCACTGGCTGCAGCTTCTGTCTTGGCAGGTGATGGTGGAGGCCTACCGACGGGACACCGCCTCCAAAGACCAGCTCATCAGCGAGCTCAAGGCCACGAAGAAGAGGCTGGACTCGGAGGTGAAGGAGCTGAGGCAAGAGCTGATTCAGCTTCAAGGGGACAAGAAATCCGTGGAGGTGGAGCAGTCGCGCTTGCAGAAGGAGGTGTCCAGGGTCCAGCAGCAGATGGCGGCTCTCGAAGGGCATCTGGAGTCGGTGCAGAAGGAGCGCGATGAGATGGAGACGCACCTGCAGGTCTGGGGATGTGCTGATGGTGTGGGGCTCCTGTGGTGGGTGGGGCACCTGGAGTTTATACAGATGGCTGCAGCAGGTGGACACAGAGCAGTGAGGGTGACAGGCACCTGCGGGGGTGGCGTTGATCTGAGCGCCGGAGGAGGGCGTCAGCACCATGTGGAGAGCAGGGACAGCGTGGGGTCCCAGGCTGCAACAGCTGTTTCAAGCTCTGGGTAGTGGGAGCTGGCGAGCGATGTGGATCAGGGCTGGGACTGAGGCTGGGGGGAGGCTGGCATGAGGTGGGAGCCTGGTGGAGATGGCAGTGACAGCAAGGCTGAGGAGGCCTGAGGGGACAGGGAGAGCGAGACCTCCGTCCACAGGCCTGTTGGGTCTGAGGGGTATTTCCTGAGATGAGAAATGAGGGGACATGTCAGACCAAGGCTGTTTGACATGTGAGGTCTTTGAAGTGCAGGAGAGGGCCAGGCAGGATGCAGGAGGCAGATTGGCTGGAGGCTGCAAGCTAAGAGGTTTGAAAACAGTGTTGGAGCATGTGGTGCAGGTGGAGCTGCAGGAGCTGGGGCTCTGTGGGACACCTGCAGCCACTAGAGTGTGTGTTCTCATGGACGTGCTCAGGGCAGCGAGTGGGGCCAGGAGGAGGCTGAGGCCCCTGAACTGGTTCACAGTCACTCCTGTGGGTGCTGGGGCACCCAGGAAGAGGGTGGTCCTTTCCAGTGTTCCTCCATTGCTCTGACACAGGCAGCTCAGGACACTGGAGCCCTCTGAAGTGGTCATTTGTAAGAGGGCAAAGCTTTCTGTTAGGACCTTCAAAACCCATGTGCAGGCAGCCCTGAAACTACCTGGGTGTGTGCTCACTGGTCTTCTACCTCCTGTGCAGTCTCTGCAGTTTGACAAACAGCAGGTGGCCGCATTGACAGAGGCCAACGAGGCGCTGCAGGCACAGGTGGAGGAGCTGCGGCAGGGAGCTGCCAGGTGAGCACTGGCTTTCCCTTCCCCTGCGTTTTCCCTTGGACCGTTTCCTATGCTTGTTGGACCCCCACCCCCACCTCAGCATGCTGCATGTGCACACGCTGTGCTCGTGTCAGCCCGTGACCCACTCGTGAGCTCTTGTTGTGAGTAGGAGCACATGAGCAGCTCCAGGAGTGTGGGGCAGGTTTGAGCACAGTGCTGGGCGCTGTAGTGCCACCGATACTGGCCACGTCCAGGGGTCTTGAATCTGGGGTCACAGAACCAGGAGAGGTGGAGCTGGGGGCCAGTAAGGGGACTCGAGATGTCCTGTTTCCTCCACCATACCCCAGAGCCCTCACTGAACAGAAGCAGAGGATGACGCGGCTGGGCTCGGACCTGAGCACCGCGCAGAAGGAGATGAAGAGCAAGCACAAGGCCTATGAGAGCGCCGTGAGCATCCTGAGCCGCCGCTTGCAGGAGGCCCTCACAGCCAAGGAGGCGGCCGAGGCTGAGCTGAGCCAGCTGAGGGCCCAGGCAGCCGATGGTGCCAGCAACCTCACGCTGAATGTGCGTACCTCGTCTGCTCTGGCCCGTCGCAGCTTCCAGTGGGAACATGAGGGCTACGAGCATGTCCCCAACACCCTCATAGGATGCCAGGAAAGGGGCCGAATGAGCGTGTGCAGCATTTCTGTAAAATTCTGCATGGTGTCAACATGACAAGGGACATGAACCGCACGCAGGTCCTCTTGATGAGTCCCTGTGAACCTGTGGGGTATGTGAGTTGGCTCGGACACTCGGTCCTCAGGCAGGGTTCATGGTGCCCTCGCTGTGCTAGCTCCTTCTCCACACCCCTTCAGTGTCTGAGGGGAATTTCTGTGAGCAGCGTGAATGGGGACGGCGAGGGTTCCAGTGAGTGTGGGACAATTCAGAAAAGCTTTTAGAGGAGGCAGCATTTGACTGGTCTTGAATAAATGAGGCATTGGGGTGGACAGGTTGAGCATCTCAGCTGAGGGTCCTGGAAGGGCCTTCGAGAGGTAGGTGGGGGTCAGGGCATGTATCAGATGCAGACTGACAGCTCAGGTGGGGTGACACCTGCAGCTTACCTGTTGAAGGACAGGGAGACCAGGAGAGGCTGTGTTGGGGAGAGGACTGGATGCACGCAGGTGGCAGGATAGAAGAGGGTGTGGCTCGGGTTCACGCGGCTGTGTGCGAGCACAGAAGGGCCCAGCGTCCAGGTTCAGGTGGTGGCAGGTGGCTCTGCTGACAGGTTGCTTCATCCTGGAGGAATCGCAGAAGGAGGTTAGTGTCAAAAGCCCAAAGCCTTTTGCTTGTGGGTTATTTTTAAGGCAACAGGAGTCTGGCGTCCCTGAGCAGCATGGAGGATGGGCAGCAGGAGGGAGCTCCTGGCTGGGGGGTGGGTAGTTCATGACACGAGACTCTTGGACTTGCTCAGGGCCCTGCCGGCTTTGGGGCTGACCGTTTCCTTTCACTTTTGATACTCAGAGTAAAATTCTACCTAAGCCAGTTAATCTTCATTTTTATTTATTACTCTCCAATTTGAATTGTTTCACTTATGTCTAGTAATTGTGTTTCTTGTGAAGTTTGTTTCTGTCCCCTGCATTTATTATAGCATGGTGTTTTCTTGCCAAATTAAATTAAATGCTTTTTCTCACCTGCTTACTTTATAAAACGTTAGGAGGGGAAAATTTATTCAATTACAATTTCCCTTCTGTAAAATACTTGTTTTGTTTTTTTAGTCCCTTGGCTTATGTGGTAGGTAAGAGGGTATAAAGCCTGTAGAGTCTGCCCTCCACTTGCTGCAGTAGCCCAGCCACAAGCTGCTTAGTCTGCTCGTAGCAGGTGCAGGGTGGACCTCGGGCACATCACTCACCTTCCTGATCCGCAGTGTTAGATGGGGTGAGGCAGGTAGTCAGACCCTTCATCAGGAGCTCAGTGGAGAGACAGGTATGAAGTGCTCAGAACAGTACCACACCCCGATGGCAGCAAGAGTGTGTTCACATTCATAGGTGCACACCTGTGGTGCTGGTTACATCATACCTGCTATGGGTATGGGGCTTACTTGCCCCAGATGGTTATTTATTTATTTATTTATTTTATCCTCACCTGAGGACATTTTTTCGTTTTTTGTTCAGATAGAGTGGGAGGGGGAGAGAGGAAGAGAGAGAGAGAGAGAGAGAGAAACATCAACGTGAAAGGGACACATGGGGTGGTTACCACCCGCACGACCCAACCAGGGCTGGTGACAAACTCCAACCGAGATACATGCCCTTAGTGGGAACCAAACCTGGGTCTCTCTGGACTGCAGGCCAATGCTCTAACTGCTGAGCCATACCGGCCAGGGCCAGAGAGTAATTCATAATGCTTACCTGCAAGTCAGAATTTTCTGCATTTTTAGAGCATTTAACTGAAGATTATTTTGTTCGTGAGTCACCACTGTGTACATACAGTGTTAATTAAGTCCACTTAAGGGAAGAGAAGTGCTGTGAGCAGCATTCACCTATCGGTGTGGTCAGCAGCCTCTCAGGGTCAGGTGACCTGGGGCCACACGGGAGGAAGGTCAGCACCTGACATGGCCGTATTGAAGCCTGTGACTCAGTTTACCTTTCTGTTCTGCTGTTAGGAGAGAATCCAGGCTCTGGAGTTGGAGCTGAAGACTGTGGGTCACAGCAAGGTGATGCTGGAGAAAGAGCTGCAGGAGGTCATCGCACTGACCAGCCAGGAGCTGGAGGAGTACCGGGAGAAGGTGCTGGAGCTGGAGGATGAGGTAGGCAAGCTCCTGGTCGCATGGCAAAGTGGACAGGCCATGCCACTCCAGGGGTAGCTCTGGAGCAGAGAGAAGGGCCTTGGGGCATTAGAGCCTGACCACACTGCACACTGTCCTGTCTACACTGCACACTGTCCTGACCTGATCACACTGCACACTGTCCTGACCACACTGCACACTGTCCTGACCTGACCACACTGCACACTGTCCTGACCACACTGCACACTGCCCTGTCCTGACCACACTTCACACTGTCCTGACCTGACCACACTGCACACTGTCCTGACCTGACCACACTATACACTGTCCTGACCTGACCACACTGCACTCTGTCCTGACCACACTGCACACTGTCCTGTCCTGACCACACTGCACACTGTCCTGACCTGACCACACTGCCCTGACCTGACCACACTGCACACTGCCCTGTCCTGACCACACTACACACTGTCCTGACCTGACCACACTGCACACTGTCCTGACCACACTGCTCACTGTCCTTACCTGACCACACTACACACTGTCCTTACCTGACCACACTGCACACTGTCCTGACCACACTGCACACTGCCCTGACCTGACCACACTGCCCTTACCTGACCACACTACACACTGTCCTGTCCTGACCACACTGCACACTGTCCTGACCTGACCACACTGCACACTGTCCTGACCTGACCACACTGCACACTGTCCTGTCCTGACCACACTGCACACTGTCCTGACCTGACCACACTGCACACTGTCCTGACCACACTGCACTCCGCGCACTGCCCTGACCTGACCATGATCACCCAAGGGCTAGACTCCCCCCATGCAAGGTAACACCAGCCTCTGTCAAGGATGCGTGTCCACTGCCTCCTGTGTGGTGGACGTCGGAGGTCTTGTGGCAGCTATTCTCCTGACTAGCGTTGCAAATACCAAGAAACCTATTTCAGATGGGCTGGACCTTTAAAGATCCCACGTGACTGTCAGGCTCTGAGACAGGTGCTGCCTCCGCCCGGTGTGGTACAAGGGTGTCTGTCTCTGTGTGCTATGTTGCTGTTCCCATTTTTAGTGGGCGGTGGTTCCTCTGACCAAACATGTTACTGACTTCCCTGGGATTTGTTTCAGCTTCAGGAATCCAGAGGCTTTAGGAAGAAGATAAAGCGTCTTGAGGAGTCAAATAAGAAGTTGGCTCTAGAGTTGGAACATGAGCGAGGGAAGCTCACTGGCCTTGGGCAGTCCAGCGCAGCTCTGCGGGAGCACAACAGTGTGTTGGAGACGGCGTTAGCCAAGAGGGAGGCCGACCTCGTGGAGCTGAACCTTCAGGTACTCAGATTTAATGCGCTGTGCGGAACAGGCCAGGTGGCGCTCCGGTCTTGCTTTGTGTGTCGTCATCACAGCTCCTGCAGGAAACTGCACACCCAGTCGGCCCACAGCTGAGTCCCAGAGAGCTTGGGATGGCAACTCTGCTGGGCCAGATGGGCCCTCCCCAGCTCAAGGCAGTCACCCTGTATGTAAGGGACTATTCTCAGCCAGGGTCTCAGTCCAGACCCTGTTCTCAGCTCAGGCTCTGCAGCCTCTGGTGACTCGGGGTATTGGGCATTTTAGGATGTCCTCCTATGGCCATCGAAGGCCTTGGATTTTTCAGCCATCAGCTCACAGACCCATTCCTGCTGCCTCACCATGTGCATCACTTGCCTCACCATGGGGGTGTTGCGTTTATAACCCTGATTCATGTGCATGTTGGTGTCACATGCTTGAGTATGATCGTATGATTACACTCCTTCAGTTTCAGTTGTGTTTGTTACCGCATCTCCAGAAATGAAGTCTCTCTACTTCCTGTCTCCTATGCTTGGTGGTCACATGTGAAGCCTGTGCCACCCGTGTGGTGCCAATCACAGTGGCCCGTGCTTTGTCCCGGGCTCTGCAGGCTGTGGCATCATTGTCCTTCCTGACTGGTCCCCTGCGCTGCAGGTTCAGGCCATTATGCAGCGCAAGCAGGAGGAGGACCGCCAGATGAGGCAGCTTGTGCAGACCTTACAGTCCGCTCTGGAGAGAGAGAAGCTGGAAGTGCACAGCCTCCGGGAACAGGTGTGTGGCCAGCGTGAGGACAAGTCCCCAGTGCGGCTGTGTGTGGGCTTTGCAGGGCACGTTTACAGGGTCTAGAACTGGGCTCGAGCACCTTGACACAGCCTTTTCCTCCAGGAACTCACTGTACAAATCCCAGGCACAGAGGTGTCACCAGGGCATGGGTGACCTTGGGGGCTGGAGAGCCCTGATGACCATCAGGACAAGAGAGGGCAAAGGGAACACTGCTTCTACCATGGCCCCTGCTGAGGCTGGTGTCCTCCTTCTAGGTGGCTGCAGCCAAAGCAGAAACAGGGCACAGTCGCCGCCACTTCAAGGCCGCCACCTTGGAGCTGAGCGAGGTGAAGAAGGAGCTGCAGGCCCAGGAGCTCCTGGTGCAGACGCTGCAGGCAGCAGCTGAGCATCTGCAGTGAGTGCCACGGCAGAGGGCTGGCTGCCAGGGGTCCTCGACAGGGCTCCCGAGGTCCAGGGAGCACACTGCTCGCTGTGGGGTCACGTGTGAGCAGGTCTGGGAAGAGGAAGACATCCAGCCCAGTCTCAAGAAGCTTGCATGTAACCCCACATTTCAGCCCTGATGCTGCTGTACTCTCCCGGTTTCCCACTGAGAACAGTGTCCAGTGGCCCCGAGGGCTATGCCCACCCCCAAGGCACACGTTGGCTCTGATGAGGGCAGCCTCAGTTGCATGTGTGCAGAGATGTGTGCATTGATCCCTGTGCATTGATACTGGCCCTCCCACTGTAATCCCAGGGGTTTTGTGAGGCCTAGTGCTTGGAACGCCCCTAGGCACTCCCCGCCCAGGGTGAGCAGCCTGTGAGTCTCACCCAGGACGGTCACGTCAAGCTGACACCATTTGGGCTGTGGGGTGTTAGAGAGGAAGAAAGCTGTTGGTGCATCTGCCTTATTTTTTGTGCCAGGCTTCAGGAGGGCAGACATGCCCAGGAAGTAGCACAGTTCCAGGCAGAGCTTGCGGAGACACGGATGCAGTTGCAGCTCCTGCAGAAGCAGCTGGACGAGCAGCTGAGCAAACAGCCCGTGGGAAACCAAGAGGTGATGTTGGGGGCGGCTTTGCGTCTCAGCTAACTGGACCTGCAGGGCTGGGCTCTGCTGCTTGTCGACTGAACCCGTTTACTCCCTGTCCGCTTGCACAGGGATAGTTACTTGTTCTAAGCATGACATTAAACAAGACACGGAGAGATAGAGCACTTTTTGTGACATTCTTTTGCTCATGTGACTTTTCCCTCCTGTAGATGGAAAACCTGAAGTGGGAGGTGGATCAGAAGGAGAGAGAAATCCAGTCGCTGAAGCAGCAGCTGGGCCTGACTGAGCAGCAGAGCAGGCGGGAGCTAGACGGGGTCGAGCGGTCTCTGCAGGTACTGGTGCACAGACTAGGGGCGTCGGGCAGATTTCACCTTAGATAAATGTGACTTGAGCCATTACTGCACCTGCTGTGTCAGAGGTAACAGTGAACTGGGAGCCATGTTACCCCATTTCACAAGGATGTCTGGAGTCTCTGTACTTCCTGTCTCCTACACTTGGTGGTAACATGTGAAGCCTGTGCCACCCGTGTGGTGCCGATCACAGTGGCCTGTGCTTTGTCCTGGGCTCACAGCAGCTGACGGAGGCCAAGGACACCAGAGCCTTTTGCCACACCTGGGCCGAGCTGAGCTGTGGCCGTGACTGTCACAGCACCTGTGACGGGTGGTGCAAGGCCACCCGTTGGTGACGCTATCTGCAAGCAGGCATCTGGGACAGTCCTGGCTGCTGAGGGAGGGTCAGGAGTGGGACCTATGCACAATGGTTTGACTGACCGCTGGACTCGACTCTTTCTCAGGCACTGACGTGGGGCTCACACGGGGTTTCTGGGGTTTGTTGTAGCTGAGGTCAGGGCAATGTCACTGACTTCTGACAGTAATACCTGGGGGACATGAGTTCAACTTCTAGCGTCATACAGTCTCGACTGCTGGAACTGTAGCCAGGAAGGGCCTCCACGGCCGTCAGTGCTTTACTGCATCCCCTTAGACTTGCGACACACAAATGGGGTCCTAACAGCGTGTTTGAGGTCTTTTAGCTAAACTCTGTGATTTGACTTCCCTTAGAATATCAAGTCTGAGCTGGAGATGGTACGGGAAGACCTGTCTGTGACCCAGAAAGACAAGTTTGTACTTCAGGCTAAAGTGTCGGAGCTGAAGAACAACATGAAAACTCTGCTCCAGCAGAACCAGCAGCTCAAGCTGGACCTGCGACGCAGCGCGGCTAAGGTGGTGAGCAGCTGCACCATCAGAGGAGCAGGGTCTGCAGGCCTGTGGGCGGGGCAGCGGGTTGTCAGACATAAGGTTCTGTTTGACCCACATTTAGCAACTGTGAAAATAAGTGGTGGAGAATTCTGCTTGGACAACAGGCCAAGTCATTTTATGTTGGTGCCTTTTCCAATAGATTGTTCACTTCTTTTCATGAGTTCAGGTACCATTTTATTGGTTTGGCTTTATAAATCCAGTGTAGCCCTGGTATGCTGTGTTAACAAGATCCCTGGCAAACCCGGCTGGGACAGAACTTGGTCCCAGGGACTCTGGAACCCGAGGCTGCGGTCGTCCGTCCAGCTCCGATGGTCTGCCTGCTGGCATGTGTCTCTCCTTAGTGCTTTTCCCGGTCAGGGAAATAGCACTGATTTGGAGCTTTATCAGCATCAATTGTCTATCTGTGCAAAAAGTTTGAAGTGATACCAAGGGGAGTTGTCTGAGTTGAAAAATTGACTTAATTTCTTAGGGAAACTTGTAGTCAGGGTAGTGGTCTCTCATGGAAAGTCCTGCGTGGAGCTTGAGTTTAGGGCTCAGCTCCGTCCTGAGGCAGGTCTGTGGTTTGTTCTGTCGTGTGCGGTAGGAAGGTTTTCTACTAGGCCAGCATTTCTTGAGCCCCAGTGGCTGCCAGCTCAGTGGGTACAGGTAGTCGGATGTGCCTTCCCAGGGCTGCATGGAGCTGAAGGCAGGTCTGCAAGCATCTGCGATGGCAGAACCATGGGGCAGGCAGCTGAGAGCTAACCACACTCTTTCATGAACAGAGAAAGGAACGGAGAGGAGAGGCCAGCCCTTCCAGCCCTGTGACGCCAGTGAAGGTCCCCGACTGCCCAGTCCCAGCCTCACTGCTGGAGGAGCTTCTGAGGCCCCCGCCAGCTGTGAGCAAGGAGCCCCTGAGGAATCTCAACAGCTGTCTCCAGCAACTGAAGTACGGCAGGCTCTGTCTCATGTCGTTTATTCTCTCAGTCCCATGTTTAACTTGGCAGAGTCTCTGCTGCAGCACTGCATGCCCAGCCAGGGCTGAGCAGGTCTCTCTTAAGTGGGTCACATTGTAAGGTGAGAACTGCCTGCAGTTAAATGACACTCTGAAACCCAAACCCTAAGTCACCAGGACCTGAGCCCCTAAACCTGTGAGCATCAGGCCATTGTTTGGAGGGTGTGGCCATGTGGGGACATATTTTTTGACCCTGTGAGGGTAACCACATCAGTTCCTCAACTCTGTCTTCCTCACATTGTCCCTGAGAAGCAGTCTGTGTATGCGGAGCCTTGCGGGCTATTGGCCTCCACGTGACACTGAGAAGTGTTGAGTCATTCAGTTCTGTGACCACCATCGGTGTTGCTGGTGCAAGTAGGCAGGTTCCTTTAGTCCCTGAAGGTGCCACAGATGTGGAGCGAATGGCCATTCAGGTGAAGCTTGCTGGGCTTCACATCCATCTTGGGGAAGCAGTGGCATCTGTCTTGGCTGTCCTCTGACTGGCCTTCCTACCTCTGCCCTCTTGTGTCCCCAGGCAGGAGATGGACAGCCTGCAGCGCCAGATGGAGGCACACACCATCACTGTGCATGAGTCGCTGACCTCATGGACTCAGGGGGACCCTGCCACCAGCCCCACTTCTGTAGGCAACCATGCCAACCCCGCAGGAGACACAGAGCCACCCAGGCCCAGCAGCGATTCCAGAGATGGGCTGGGAACAGCGACTGCTGAGCATCCCCAGCCTGAGTGTGTGTAGCTGCCTGGACGTCCCCTCAAAGGTCACATGTTTCCCTCAGCAGTGGAATTTAAGTTTTGTGTTTGCCTCTACCAGGAATAAAATAACACGGGAGCCACCTGCAGATCACGACCAGCTTCCCCGCAAAGTGACCAAATCTTAAAATCCTAGTTGAGCTCTCAGTGACAGTGTTGGAAGGTGTCTGATGGTCATTTGCAGGAGGCAGAGCCTCATGAGCCAGGCAGGCGCTGCTCTGTGGCTGCTGGTCCTGGGAACTGGGTCCAGGGCCCACTCCCTCACTTTCCTGTGGGCCCAGTGTGAGCTCCGCCTCCCCAAGGAAGTGAAGCTTTATTTGCACCTTCGGTTTTATTTTATTTTATTTTATTTTATGTTCATAGTCGTCCCACCACAGGGTGTGTGTGTAAATACTGAGACTCATAACCTAATCTTTAAAAAGTCTATCCTCGTGTTATTTAAAAATGACCTGAATTGTCTGCTTTTTGATTGCCTTTTGAAAATCTGCTGTCAGGAAATTATGTACATGTAGGATTAAGGGATGTCAGTCAGAAAATTATATTTTAAGAAATATAATTATTTTATTTACTCTACCTTCTAAAACCAAATACTCTTAGAGCGTTCTTTCTTATTTTTTTTCACCTTATTTTTGAGGGTCTTTTCCTTGTCTATGTGCACGATACCTACTGTCCAACCCGCATTGCTTGGCCTGCCCTGGACCACCCCAGGCAACATGGCTTCCCCAGGCCCCACCTTCTGTGCCTGAAGTGGCAGTGTCCACCAGACCTGTGGTCATCAGAGACATGCTGGGCTCAGTGGTGACGGGCGTCAGAGGTCGAGGTCCTGAACAACCAGGCACCTCAATGTGTGAGGTTTTCCTGTGCGTCTGTCCCCGAGTTTGCCAAGAAAACCTAAAATAATATTTATTGTAAAAGTTGGAGGACAGCGAGGTGGGTGCATGTGCACCCTGTGCAGACCTGCTGCTGGGGGAAGGGGTCCGCGCGCATCGCAAGCCCATGTGCTGTGACTGTCACGTTTGTGGAGAAAACTGGCATTTTTAAGCTATCTGTGTTCTCTTATGATGTCAGAAGGTTCATTGATAAAGTGGCGTTAACTACAAAGATGTTTAGTGTTTAAAAAGGTTCCCTAGCTCCCTGGCGGACCAGAGTCTCAGGTTTGATTCCAGTCAAGGGCACATACCTAGGTTCTGGTTGGGGTCATGTGGGAGGCAATCAATCGATGTGTCTCTCACGTCAGTGTTTCTCTTTTTCTCTCCCACTCTATCGAAGATAAATGGAAAAAACGTATCCTTGGGTGAGGATTTAAAAAAAAAGGTTCCCTAGCAAGTATTGGGACTTCTAAATATGTGTCTCATTTGTACAGGGTCAATCTTGAAACAGTACTTGAAAACTCATTATGTGTCCTACTTTTCATGATCGGTTGGAAACCATTTTTGACAAACTTATTTTTGTACCATTAGAAGAGAAAGATGACAGTTTATGTTCTTAGTTGTTTGGGCTGCATCATCCTTGTTTTAATTTTAAAACCAAGAAATGGCACTCAGCCCCATGCCTCGGCAGCTGTCAGGCTCCATGGAAGACCTGCCACTTGTCACCGTGTCCTCTCTGTTGGGAAAAATGAATTCTGATTGCACCCATCGAGGGGAGGCCAGCCTCTGCCTTCATTTGCCCACTCTCCACATGCTCAGATGCTGTCTTGCTTCCTGTCGTTGCCCTGTGCCACCTTCGCCTCCATCCCCATCCTTCCGCTCAACCAGTGGCCAACCCTCTTCGGTCTAGGCTTTGCGTATTCACGTGGTATTTTCTGTAGCTCCTGCTTTCTTATCTCCACGGGACATACTGTCACTGCTGCCTCCCAACCTGGGAAACGTACTTCTGTTGTGGGCAGAAGTGGGAATTAGGAATTTACACGTGAGAAACAGCTGTCAAGTATGGGGTATGTGTAATACCCGGTTCACCATTGCATTGTATGTGTGTATCTTTCATCCTGGGTGATGAATACTCTCGTCCTCAGACAATGTTGGTTTGGGCACCTTATGATGTCATTTCTTATTTTTCTCATGTTTCAAAAAAAAAAACTTATTGCAATGTGATTATCATTGATTTCTCCACAATGCACATCATGATGGTAGACGCCATGGATGTGATAGGTTTAGTTTTACAGGGTGGGGCAAAAGTAGGTTTTCAGTTGTTTATATGGAAAATAATACAATAAATAATATATAAGAATAAACTGTTTTGTAAGCTGTCACAAGAGAGTAAGAATACACATACTTTTGCCCCTCTCAATTTGGAGGGATAAGAGGCATTTTCGGTTAGGGTGTGAAACTGACTCTTGTCCCAGGGTCCAGGCAGCAGCAGAGAAGTCGGCTTGTGGCCAGAGTGTTAGGAAGTCACACTAAGCCCCTCACAGCTTAGACCTTTCTTGGTCTAGGTTACTGCAAGTCACCGAAACATACATTTCTACTTCATGAGTGTCTTTCTTAACAACAATTAAGTGTGGTGTGTAAAGATTTCTGGCCATGAGAGGGACCTGTGTGTCTGAAGAGAAATCTCCCTTCTTTAGGGACCCCCACGACATGACAACACTGTGACGTATGAGACACAGCCTTTATTCACATAATGACTACGTTCCAGGCGAGTCCCGTGTGTGGTGGTCTCAGGTTATAAGGTCCTTGGGGTAATGTTTTCGAGAGTCTAGAAAGCTTGGTGGTTTTAAGTTATTCAAATTTGTTAAAAATTTCCTCATAAAAGGGAGTCCTCAGGTTGGGGCTGTTCAGGGGAAAGGTGTTACTGTGTACAACAAATTGTAACTTTAAAAAGCATGTTGATTTTTTACAAATTTAAGCGTGCTTGGGAATTCCTTACATTTTGTGCAATAAACTATTTTTTGTTAAAGATTTTCCTATTTCATTGCAGGGGTGGGTTTCACATATTTATTTTATGTTGCTACTCTTCAAATGCTTGTCTTCAAAGAATTTTACTTTTTTGCCAAAGTTTCAGACAGGCTGTGAAATCCAGCTTCTCAAGGTACCTGGACCACAGCAGCACAGCAGTGCTCACCCACCCTGTTCCCTCTCTGTGTCTAGGGAACCACAGCACCACAGCAGTGCTCACCCACACTGTTCCCTCTGTGTCCATGCCACCTGCTGTTACGTGCACGTCAGTATCAGGAGAGGCCTTTAACAGGGAAGGGGGATGCTCCAAGTGATCCAGAGGAAAGGCTGGTAGCCACTTTGAGTTGCAGAGGGTTCACATGTGCGTCCTGTACTGGGGTGTTGTGAGCTGGCCCTTGGCCCTGATGACACTCATTCTGATGATAACAGGATCGTAACTCTGAATCTGTTTTTCTTTTCCCTTTTTTTTTTTTAGTATTTTTAATTGATTTTTTGAGAGAGAGGAAACATGGATGTGAGAGAGATACATGGATTAGCTGCCTCCTGCATGCCCCCTACTGGGGATTGAGCTCAAAACCCAGGCATGTGCCCTAACCTGGAATTGAACTGGGACCTGTCAGTGAATGACTTTGCTCAGTCCACTGAGCCACACCAGCGGGTCTGAGTCTCTGTTTGTTTGATTTTTTAGAGAGCAAGAGAGAGATAAACATCTACTGGTTGCCTCTTACGTGAGCCTCAACTGGGGATCAAACCTGAAACCTGGGTATGTGTAGACTTAGATTTGAACCCGCCACCTTTGGTGTACAGGATGACACTCCAACCCCTGAGCCACGCTGGCCAGGTCTGAGTCTCAGTTTTGAGGCCACCCGGTCTCACCTCTTTCATACTTTATTCTATTTATCATCAGATAGTGTGGGAGGGAGGGAGAGACATTGGTGGGAGAGAGGCACATCTCCTGGTTGCCTTCTGCACAACCCAACCAGGGCCTGGGATGAACCACAACCAAGATACGTGCCCTTGACCAGAATCGAACCCTCATTGGTCTGCAGGCCAACGCTCTAACCGCTGAGCAAAACCAGCCAGGGCTCATACTTTATTCTTGACCGAGAAGTGATCCAGATCCAGACGCAGAGTCTTGTGTGAAATATGCAGAGGAGAACCAGTGATCAGAGCATGATTGTGGGTGGGAGGCACTGGGTTTTTCCTGTGACTATTCCTCTTACCCTCTGTAACCAGGAGTCAGGTAACACACAGGTATGAGTGAGACTCCCCGACTACCTCCTTTGTGGCCTTAACTTAGTGAAACACTGAGGATGTTTCTTCTCCTACCATGACCATAAAGGGCATGGTCACATATCAGAACTTTTACTTATAAAATTTCTTAACCTGTGCAAACCCGGACCACCTTCCTTGACTCCTGCTCTGGCCATCAGCTGCCTCAGACATTCACAGCGCATTGAGCATCTTGTTCTCGATGCAGGATCTTTTCCGATTACCTTTTTTACACTTGGATGAATTCTGTGTCTTCTTCATCTAAATTGTGCTGATGCCATAAGACATTTATGCATGCTTCTGAGACAGAAAGCGCTGTTTTGAGAAATGGGCACCCTCTCCTTGGAACCTGTCACGGGAATGAGTGAAGTGTTTAAAAGCTTCACAAGACAGCCCTGGCCAGTTTGCTCACCGGTTAGAGCATTGGCCTGCGGTCCTGAGAGACCCGGGTTTGGTTTCCGCTAAGGGCACATACCTTGGTTGCAGTTTGTCTCCGGCCCTGGTTGGTCATGCGGGTGGCAGCCACTCGATGTGTCCCTTTCACATGGATGTTTCTCTCTCATCTTCCTCGCTCTCCCTCCCACTCTATCTGAACAAAAAATAAAAAAAAAGGAAAAATGTCCTCGGGTGAGGATAGAAAAAAAAAAGCTTCACAAGACAGTGAGACTCGTGTGGCAGCCACTAGGAGAGCACGTTCAAGGGGAGATGTCCCAACAGAATTACACCAAAGTATATTTTCAGGATGAAGTTCTTCTACCATCTTTTGGCATATGTCCTTTTCCTGCTTTCTGAAGCAACAGAAACAAAACCAAACCGCCATCCCTCATGCTAAAACCACAGGATATCTAGATGCAGGTTCAGCCACCCCAGAAACAGACTCATCATCAGCTCTCGGCAATTTTCGGTCCGGCCATGAGGTCATCCTCACCTAGGACCTCCCCACTCGCCCGGGCCCCAAGAAGAGCCCAAGCTGCATGATGAAACCCTTGCCCTTCCCCTCTCGCAAGGCAAGGTGCCTGGGCCCAGAATCATCCTTTTGTTCTTGTGTACGTAGCTCGCTGGCCCCGCCGTTCGTTCTTGTTTTGTTTTGTTTTTTATCCCCACCCGAGAACATTTTTCCATTTTTTGTTTAGATAGAGTGGGAGGGAGACAGAGGAAGAGACAGAGAGAGAAACACCGACGTGAAAGGGACACATCGAGTGGCCACCCGCACGACCAACCAGGGCCGGGGACAAACCGCAATCGAGGTACGTGCCCCTAGCGGGAACCGAACCGGGTCTCTCTGGACCGCAGCTCCAATCGCTGAGCCAAACCGGCCAGGGCGGCCCCTCCGTTCTTACAAAAACTTGACATTTTGTACAAACCCTCGGCGCTGCCTGACTCATGAATCACTTAACACAGCCAATCTTCACATTTACTCAGTTGAATTTATTATTTTTAACAGTTTGAGGCCCTAACGAATGCAAGTGCCGAACACCCCGCGGACGTGCGCTCACCCCGGGGCTGCACAGAGCGCTCGCATCCCGGCCTCGGACCCTCGGACCCGCGCCGGTCCGCTGTGGTCCCAGCCGGTCCGCCGGTTTTCCTTCCTTTTTTTAACCATAAATGGCAGTTATACTTCTTTAGGTTCTTTTCTGCATTTTAAAAAGGGCCGTCTAAGTCACACAGCCAAGTTCGGCCTTTTGTTGTTTGACCGGCGCCACCTCAGCACAGCTGTCCGCCTGGCCGCCCCCACAGCCTTCCCGCCTGCAGGGGAGCCGCCACCCGGGCGCGGAGGCGCACCGACGGGGGCAGAGAAGAGACCGATCCGGCCGCACGGAGCCGCTGCGCTGGGAACCGAAAGCGCGGTCCCGAAGACTCGCTGCAGCGGGAGGTCTCGGCCTCCTTCGCTCGGAGAAGCGGCTCCGCCGACGAAGCCGCAGAAAACGGCGCTGTCAGTAGGTCGTTTCCAGGGAAACCGGAGCCGCCCTACCCGCCTCTCCGCCGCGGGACACGCCCCCCGGCCCGGGACTCGGCCCCGGCCAGCGCCCACTTCAGGACCCCGTGTCCCGGGCTGCCCGCTCCATTGCCTGACAGCGCGCTCGCCCGCCCTGCGCTGTCAGATTTCGAGGCCAGGGCCGCGCTCCTTCCCTGGGCCGCCGGACGCGGGTTCGAGCGCTCTGGCCCACGCGTGTAGCCCGGGCCCCGCGCCGACCGACCCCGGGAGCGGCGCTGTCAGGCAGTGGCGCGGGCAGCGCAGGACGTGGGGTCCTGAGCGACGCGGTCTCAGCGGCGGCGGCGGCGGCCGGGAGGGCGGTGGCGATGCTGTGGCCGCGGCTGGTGGTTGCCGAGTGGGCAGCGCTGGCCTGGGAGCTGCTGGGCGCCTCGGTGCTGCTGTTCGCGGTGCGCTGGCTGGTGCGGTGGCTGGAGAAGCGGCCGCGGGGTCTGGGCCGGAGCGCGCCCCCCGCCGCGCCGCCCCGCGCGGCCGTGGACCCAGCCCCTGACCCAGGTAAGGCTCCTCCCGGCCCGGGCCCAGCCGGGCCTGAGGGTGCTGTTCCGGGAAAGGCCGCGAGGAACACCCCGGGGTCCTGCCGCGCCGAGGCCGGGGCCCGCGCCGCGTCTGTGGGCCGTGGTGTCTGTCTGTCCTGGCTGTCGGAGCCCCTCGCGTCTTGCCGCCTGCGCTCCCCTTCGCCCACCCGTGTCCCCGCGCGGCCTGCGCCCTGCCCGCCTCGCGCACCCACCTCGTTCCCTCGTTCTCCGCCCCTGTTTCCGCGGGACACGTTTCTGGGTGCCCCGCTGGGAGGGCGATGTTTTCTGAGTGGGAAGCGAGGTCGATGGTCCCGCCGGGAACCTCGGGGCTGAAGGGCTGGCGGGGGGAAGTGGCCCCGGAGGCCGGCTGCGCGCCGAGGTCCCCGCCGCGCGTCCTCCCCGCGCAGCGGTCGGAGGGCACCGGTCGGGCAGGCTCCGCCCGCTCTCGCCCCCCTGGCGACTCTCGAGGTGGCCCCGCCGGTGGCACCGGACAGCAGCGCCTGGAAACTCGGTGCCGACAGACCCGAGACACTTGTGTTTCGGCATTCGAGGTTCTTCTTAACTTTTAAGTTTGGGAGTCGTTTTAAACTTATAAGAAATGAGCAAAAACAGTACAAAGTCAGGAAACACATGCGGAAAGATGTCCGACACCACCAGCCACTAGCCAGATGGAAATGAAACGTCCCGGGCGGTAGCCACACTCCATCAGAAGGACTGACGTGAAAAGACCCACGTTCCAGGCCCAGAGAAACGGGGTCCCGTTTGCTGTGCGCGTGTTCAACGTGCAGGCGCAAAACAGGCGGTTTCTCCAGGAATTGAACCGGGGCATTTCTCCTAGAGAACTGATTCTCACTCACAATATAAACTCATATTTGACTTTATAACTTTATTCACGATTGCCAGAAACTGGAATCAGCCCAAATAGCTCAGGAGGGTGTGGTTAAACAGACCGGCAGGTTCATACTTGGGGTGCCACCCAGCAGTGAAGCAGTTGTGGGTCCCCACAGCAGCGTGCGTAGATCTCAGGGGCATTGTGCGCAGTGACAGAGCCATCCTCAGGAGGTTGGCAGCCTGTGAATCCTTCGATATAACATTTAAAAAATGACAGTGGCGCCCTGGCCGGTTTGCTCAGCGGTTAGAGCGTCGGTCGGCCTGCGGTCCGGAGAGACCCAGGTTTGATTCCCGCTAAGGGCATGTACTTCGGTTGCAGTTTGTCCCCGGCTCTGGTTGGTCGTGTGGGTGGCAGCCACTCGATGTGTCCCTTTCACGTCGATGTTTCGCTCTCCCTCTCTCTCTCCCCCTCTCTCTCCCTCCCACTCTATCTGTAAAAAAATGGAAAAATGTCCTCGGGTGAGGATAAAAAAAAAAAATGACAGTAGCAATGGAGAACAGATAATGTTGCCCAGGGTTAGGAACAGTGGAGAGGAGGTTGGATGTGACTAAAGGTGCAGCAGGAGGGAGGTCTTCGTGGTGATGGGGCAGTTCGGGAACCATTCTGGATCTACAGGGTGACAGACAGTGGGGAATTACATAGAGACACACAGAAGAGTGACCACAGACACTGGCGAGGCCCACTGGCTGTTCGTGAGTCATTTCCTGGTTTGGATTGCACACTACAGTGTGGAGGGTGTCACCGCTGAGGAAAGCAGGGTAATGGGCCCACCTGCCCTATATTATTTTTCAACTTCTTGTGTTTACAAAAAAGAGTCAAAGAAATCTGTAGACCATTCGCTTAGATTCCCTAATGTTAGTATCTTACATGATCACACTACAGATGGGGAGACCAGGGAAGTGTCATTCAGTCCTCATAACCACTAACCTGTACCACTGGAAACACCCTCCAGTTCGAGTCAGTGTTCCTGGCCCTTCATTTGTCTTTGTCCTTAGTTTTATTTATTTTTTTTAAAGAACAAGACAACACCTGGCTGGTTTTCTCAGTGGTTAGAGCGTCGGCCTGTGGTCCAGAGAGACCCGGGTTTGGTTCCCACTAAGGACATGTACCTCAGTTGCAGTTTGTCCCTGGCCCTGGTTGGGTCGTGTGGGTGGCAACAACTCCATGTGTCTCTTTCATGTCAATATTTCTCTCTCTCTCTCTCTCTCTCTCTCTCTCTCTCTCTCTCCCTTTCTCCCTCCCACTCTATCTGAACAAAAAATGGGAAAACATCCTTGAATGAGGATAAAAAAATTAAAAATAAATAAAATAAAAAAAACAAGACAACATTTATTTATTTATTTGTTTGTTTATTTATTTATTTTTGGTACGTGCCCCTAGCGGGAACCAAACCTGGGACTGTCTGGTCCGTAGGCTGATGCTCCAACCGCTAAGCCAAACTGGCCAGGGCAATCCTTAGTTTATAGTTACATGCAGCTGCTTTTCAGTTAATAGGTAGTTCTTCCTAATTACTGTTACTGCTTTGTAATACAGTTGAACTCATTTGTTTTGGTTTGTATTCCATTTGGGGGGGCCTCCCCCCATCTTTTTGTTTATTTACTTAATTTTTGAGCCCAGCCGGTGTGGCTCAGTGGTTGAGCATCAACCCTGCACCAAGAGGTCGCCAGTTCCATTCCCGGTCAGGGCACATGCCCAGGTTGTGGGCCTAATCCCCAGTTAGGGGCATGCGGGAGGTGGCCAGTCGTTGTTCTCTCAACAGTGTTTTTATCTCTCTCCCCCTCTACCTTCTTCTCTCTCTAAAAATCAATTAAAAAAAAATTTAGAAAAACTTTATTTTTTAGTATGAATCACAGACATGTTTCTATTTTTTTTTTTTTTTAATCCTCACCCGAGGACATTTTTTCCATTTTTTGTACAGACAGAGTGGGAGGGAGAGAGAGGAAGAGAGAGAGAGGGAAACATCGATGTGAAAGGGACACATTGAGTGGCTGCCACCCGCACGACCAACCAGGGCCGGGGACAAACTGCAACCGAGGTACATGCCCTTAGCGGGAACCGAACCCGGGTCTATCTGGACCGCAGGCGGACGCTCTAACCGCTGAGCCAAACTGGCCAGGGCACAGACATGTTTCTAGAAGTCAGAACATAAAATCATATTCTGAGGTGATACTCTTCCTGCCTGGGCTCAGTCTGCTCTTCTTGTCTAGTCCCACCTGCCCCACAAGTAACCAGTCCCATTAATTTCTGATTCATCTTCTGTTTCATTTGCACAGGTGAGCACGTATTTTTATGTTGTGTTAATATTAGTAACAGAGTATACTTTTTTGCTTTTTTTTTTTAATAAGAAAATACATACTTAGAGCCATCTAATTGATTTGTTTTGGTTTGGGTCCAGGTGTGATGACAATGGATGCCATCTTAGCTAGACTGAAACTCCTGGATCAAGATGACCTCAGAAAAGAAATTATCAAAGCCGGATTGAAATGTGGACCCATTACTTCAACCACAAGGTTCATTTTTGAGAAAAAATTGGCTCAGGCTTTGTTAGAGCACGGAAGAACCCTGTCTTCACACCCTCCTGAGCAGGCCGCCCCAGGCACCACAGCTCTCAGCCAGGACACACAGAGGATTTTGAAGTCTGCCGTAGGGAGCCTGCCTGAGCAGGTCTGCTTTTCTGAAGACAGAGATTTGGGTTATAGCATGGGCTTGACTCCTCTGAAGGAAGAAGACCTGAAGTCTAAGACCTGTTCTGTGCCTTTCAGTGCTATGGCTGGGGTTGATGGTCCCAAAACAGTGGTAAGGGCCTCCAGTGAGCAGCCTCTATACTACGGGGTGTGCCCAGCCTACGAGGATGCCCCAGCAAAAAACGGTAATGTGACAAGCATGATGTTTCTAACATAAAGAGGGGGTGCTTGAACAGCGGCAGTAAGGTGATCTTAAAAATCCCAACAGCAGAGAAGAAAAAAGAATAAGTTAGTCACCATAATCTCGTCAACCTAATTAACCACTCTTGGCATTTTGTTGTTGTTAATCCTTACCCGAGGATATTTGTCCATTGGTTATTTTAGATAGAATGGAACAGAAGGAGGGAGGGAGGGAGAAAGTGAAACATTGATGTGAGAGAGACACATTGATTGGTTGCCTCCCACACCACAGGGCCAGGGATCAAACCTGCAGTCCAGGTACGTGTCCTTGACTGGGAATCAAACCCGTGACCCTTTAGTCCTTGGTCTGATACACTAACCGCTGAGCCAAACCAGCCAGGGCTTTTGGCTTTTTTTTTTTTTTTAGTTCTCACTTGATATTTTTCCATTTATCTTCAGATAGAGTGGGAGGGGGAGAGAGAGGTGGGGGAACATCGATTGGTCGCCTCCTGTACAATCCCGACCAGGGCCAGGCTGCAACCAAGGTACGTGCCCTTGACTGGAATTGAACCCTCGTCTCTTTGGTCCATGGGCCAGTGTTCTAACCGCTGATCAGTGGGCAATACCATTCTTCTGTTATATTGGTTAAAACTTTCTCTTCCAATTTGTATTTGGATTTTATGTATTTTTGAGAATCTCATACGGAACTTGATTATGATAGTTCCCCTGCAGAACTTTAATATTTTTATATAATCAGAACTTTCTTTCCTTTAGGTAGTTTAGGTTTCTTGCCATGCTTAAAAAGGCATCCTCCACCTAAAATTATGTTTCAAATTCTCTTACGTTGTTTTGCTAATATATTTTATTTTATTATTATTTTACTTACGTGATTAACCTATGACTTTTATTTTTTAATATGAAGCGTATTCTTGGATATAGAGTTACATATATGCATAAAATACGTATCATGTTATTTATATCCACACACACACAGGTGATCAAGCTTATAGTGTTTTTTTGGCTAGCTAAGACCCTTTTTCTTCAGGATTAAAAATATGAAATGTTCATATAAAAGAAAAGTCTGCCAACTGGGTAATAACTGTTTACTTTTAAACACAGGGTCTTCAGGTGTGATTACATAACAGAGCTCTAGTTACTCATCTTCATTTTCTGTCTGTTACTTTTCCCACACAGAAAGGGTGCATGTTTATGAAGATAAAAAGGAAGCATTGCAAGCTGCCAAAATGATCAAAGGATCCCGATTTAAAGCATTTTCAAGCAGAGAAGACGCTGAGAAATTTGCTAGAGGAGTTTATTATTTCTCTTCTCCGAACAGAACGTCACGACTTTCTCCTATGAAAATAGTGTCACTCTCTAGCAACGGTGGGTTAAAAGGTAAATTGTATTGCAGTTCACAACTTGGCATTGCTATCACATTGGCCCACACGTACTTTGTGCTCTCTTTCCTTATAAACGGGATTCGCTTTCTCTGCCTTTGAGAGAAGTCTAGTTTGCCAGGATGTGGGAGCCCAGCTTTGGAGCAGCTGGAAGAGAATGGGTCTTTGGGCTTCTGGGGTCCAGGGACCATGAGAGGAGAGGCAGATGGGGGCTGAGTGGGCCGAGACTCTAATCTCCAAGGCTGACAAGCTGTTGGAGAAGCAGCAAAAGGACCACCATTGACCCTTTTGTCCTCTTCCCTCTGTTTTCCTCTCTTCCTGCTGCCTGTTGGATTCAGGTGCATTTTTTGATGCCGAGACCAGTCTATTTTCTACCTAAAGCTACACCTGCTTCTAGGACTGTGGGACCAGCTTTGACCAGATGATCTGTTCAGTCAGAAACCTGATCACACCCCTCCCAACTCAGAACCTGGTCTTGTGCGGAGGCCTTTGTCATTAGCATCGTGCAAAGATCGGCCTCAGTCTTGTCCCCTCTTAGAGCTCACAGTTGTCCTGCCACCTAGGCTGGCTGGGGTTTCAGAGGAAGGCCCTCCCCTAGCAGACACTGGGCCATTGGTCAAGAGTTCTATTTGCTTCCTTTCCTCTATTTCCTTTCTTGGCCTTACGCAAATGGAAACCAGACTGATATCAAACACTCACAGGTTTTCCTTTGCACAGTTTGTGAAAATGTCCCTCAAGAAGATCTCTTTCAGACTTCTTCAGGTGTTATAATTAAGCCAGTAAAAATTACTTTGGCTCACTGCCTTTATGGGAATGCTTCATGCGCTTCGAAGATCTGGGGGAAATGGTGGTGACCATGTGCCCCTATCCTCCTCCAGCTGCTAAGCTCGATGCCCCTTCACAGAGCTTTCCCTGCTGGAGTCCAGTGGGTTTTTGCTCCTCACTCGCATGCTGCTGCCATGTGTGTGTGTGCCCCTGCTGTCGACTAGGACATGTCCTTCTGCTGTGGACTGTCATTGTTTCTTACCTGTTGTTCCCAACTAGATCATAGGCCTATGTGGGACCTATTTTTATCATCCTCCACGTAACACATGGGGTGCTGAGGAAATGTTTGTGAAATTAAATGTTCTTTTTTTGTTTCTTTTTCTTTTAATTGTATTTACCAGGGGATTATATGTTATAGATCTCATCAACTAACTGGTGTTTGGGTTTCATTTACATGTTCTGTTTCATTGTTGCTGTTACTGTTTTCTGTTTAATTATTTTAACCTTTATCTTTAGTAATTTCTTCTATCTCTTTTAGTTTATTCTTAGTTCCTTTTCACATCTGCATTAATTGTATATGTAATTTATTGAAATTAAATGTTCTTAAATTCTGTCTCTTAACATCAGATGGCTTGTGCTTATCTGAGTCAGAAACTGTAAACAAAGAGCGAGCAAACAGCTATAAAAATCCCCGCACGCAAGACCTCACTTTCAATCTGCGCAAAGCTGTGGAGCTGGGAGACGAAGACACCTTCTCTAAGCTTATCTGGAGTAACCCCCGGTACCTGATTGGTTCAGGGGACAACCCCACCATCGTGCAGGTAAGCCTGGGTCCAGAATCGTTAGCTTCAAGACTGGGTGACAGAAATGAAGCTTATGGTCTGCACTTTTCCTTCAGGAGGGATGTAGGTACAATGTCATGCATGTTGCTGCCAGAGAGGATCGGGCTTCCATCTGCCAGATGACTCTCGAGACACTGGAGAACCCCGAGTTTATGCTGCTCATGTACCCAGACGATGCCCCGGACATGCTACAGAAGCGCATTTGTTACATCCTCGACCTGTACCTGAACACACCTGACAAGGGGGTAAGTGCGCCGCCTTCTCTTTCTTCAGAGACATCACAGCCAGGGAGCCTGAGGAAGGGACCAACGTCACATCGGGCTTGAGAAGCATTGTGGACTGGTGTGGAACGTTGTTTGAACTTTTTAAAAAAATATTTTCTTGCCCTGGCCGGTTTGGCTCAGCGGTTAGAGTGTCGGCCCACAGACCAGAGAGACCCGGGTTTGGTTCCCACTAACGGCACATACCTCAATTGCAGTTTGTCTCCGGCCCCAGTTAGGGTCGTGTGAGTGGCAACCACTCGATGTGTCTCTGTCACATCGATGTTTCTCTCTTTCTCCCTCTCTCCCCTTCTCTATCTGAAGATAAATGCAAAAATGTCCTCAGGTGAGGATTAAAATATATATTTTGTTCTCTTTAAAATAATTTTTGTCTTTTTTAATTTTATTTTTCAATAACAGTTTATATTTTGTTGTTTTTGTATCAGTTTAAGTTGTACAGCATAGTGATTAGGTGATCATATACTTTACAAAGTGGTCCCCCGATATTTCTAATTTTTTCATTTTTCAATTACAGTTGACATACAGTATTAATCAGTTTCAGGTGTACATAGTGACTAGACATTTATGTACCTTACAAAGTGATCCCCTGGTAAGTCTAGTGTCGTCATCTGACACTACACATCTGAGACAGTATTACTGACTATATTCCCTGTGCTATACTTTATATCCACATGACTATTTTATAACTGGTAGTTTGTACATCGTAATCCCTTCATTTTTTTCATCTAGCTCCCCAACCCACTTTCATTTGGCAACCTTAAGTTTGTTTTCCGTACCTATGAGTCTCTTTCTGTTTTCCTTGTTCACTTATTTTGTTTTTTAGATTCCACGTAAAAGTTAAAACACACAGCATTTATCTTTCTCTGACTTACTTCACTCAGCATAATACCCTCTCGATCCATCCATGTTGTCGTAAATGGCAAGGTTTTATTTTTTGTTTTTTATTGCTGAGTTATATTCCATAGTACACATGTACCACATCTTTTTATCCACTCCTCTATTGACGGACACTTAGATTGTTTCTGTGCCTTGGCTATTGTAAGTAATGCTGCAGTGAACATAGGGGTGCATGTATCTTTTCGAATTAGTGATTTGGGTTTCTTCAGATAAATACCCAGAATTGCTGAGTCACCGGTAGTTCTATTTTTACTTTTTTGAGGAACCGGGAGTGGGAAGTTTAGTTTACGATGATATTAGCTGTTAGAGAGTTTTCTTTGAGTACAGACCAATTTTATAGACTGTTTGTTCCGGATGTTACCTTCATCTGTTTATTTCATAGTTTGAGTATTGATTATAAGACATTGTACTGGGTCCTAAATTACTTTTTTTTTTTTATTCCTCACCTGAGGACATTTTTTTATTTTTTGTTCAGATAGAGCGGGAGGGAGAGCGAGGAAGAGAGAGAGAGAAAGAGAAACATCGACGTGAAAGGTACACATCGAGTGGCTGCCACCCGCATGACCCAACCAGGGCCAGGGACAAACTGCAACCGAGGCACATGCCCTTAGTGGGAACCAAACCCGGGTCTGTCTGGACCACAGGCTGACGCTCTAATCGCCGAGCCAAACCAGCCAGGGCTGGGTCCTAAATTATTAAAGGTTCTGTTTACTGGGCAGGTGTCACACCCCAGCTTCATTGTCAGCTCCCCACTGAACCTGGGCACCCAGGCTCTAGATACATAGTGGCTAGGGCACTGTGCTGAGCTCAAGCCTTGGCATAAAGTGGATATATGGTAGCTGCCAGTATTCTTCAGTTATGAAAACGATGTCGTTTGTTTTTGAGGATTTTGTTTCTTGTGCTGAATAGGTATTTTCATCATAAAGCAACCTTATGAAACAAAGAGTGTGAATAAATAAATACATGTTCTTCCTCTCACCTCTCAGGGCAACGACACACCGCTGCATTTTGCTTGTAAGTTTGGGAATGCAGATGTGGTCAACGTGCTGGCTTCACACCCTTTGACTGTAAAATGCCCACGGAATAAATATGGTAAAACACCTGAAGATGTAAGTACCTGTTAAAATGCTGTTACTGTGTAGCGTTAGAAATGAAAATACATAAAATCACTGTTTACGATCATAGCCACTGTGAAGCAGGAGTAACTCTGACTGTGTGCATGCCCCGGGCACACCGTGGAGCCTGACTGCCAGGGAGGGTACGTCTCCAGAGCCGGGAGGGCGTGGACAGCCCAGTGTGCCAACTTCACCTTCCTGGAACAGGTGGCCAGTTCTCAACAGCTCAGTCATTTTTGTTAATCCTCACCCAAGGATTTTTTTCTTTCTTTACTTTTAGAGAGAGAGGAATGGAGAGGGAAAGAGAGAGAGAAACATCAATGAGAGAGAACATAGATTGGCCGCCTCCTGCGTGCCCTGGGGATATGGCCCACAGCCTGAGCACGTGCCCTGAACAGGAATTGAACCAGCAATCTTTTGGTGCATGGGTCGATGCTCAACCATCGAGCCACACTGGTGGGGCTCCAAGGATATTTTTTCTATTGATTTTTATTGAGAGTGAAAGGGAATGAAGGAGGGAGAGAGGGAGAGAAACGTCAGTGAGAGAGACATCAGCTGCCTTCTGCATGCGCTTCACCCACTGCAGCCCAGGTACGTGCCCTGACTGGGGATCACCCAGGACTTTGCTGCAAGGCTGATACTAACCACTGAACCACACTGGCCAGGGTGTTCATGGTCTTTTATCAGATTCCCCCTGTAACTACCCCAGTTGACCAGGGTCAGAGAATAGAGGAGGTGGTAGTGCTAGTCATAATGATGGTGATAATGGTGATGATGACAGTGGTGGTGGTAGTGTTTGTGATGATGGTGATGAAGACTGGTGGTAGGGCTGAGAATGATGGGATGATGAGGATCTAGTAATGGTGATGATGACATTGACAGTATAGTAAGGATGATGGTGATGGTGATGGTAATTGGTGAGGATGATGCTGATGCAAACAGCTGATATGTACAGCTCAGGGTGCACCAGGCCTTGTCCTAAGCCCCCACTCATGTATTATTCCCACCTGACCCATATGAGCCTGACAAAGCAGGCCTTGTCATGATCAACATATTGGCAATTGAGCAAAATGTGTCTTAGAGGGGGTAGAGGTGGCCTGTGCCTGTGGAATGGAAAGGGAAGTGGACCTGACCGTGGATGAGAGCTGTTAACTGACTTGGACCTGCCAGCACTTGGGAAATAGAACCTGTAAAGACCCTGTTCTGGTAGTGAACAGCTTCTTTGTAATTGCTGTGGTTGCATAGTAGTGCCCAATTTCTGGAGAAAGTTTAGAATACACATAATAAAATTCAGACAATTCTACAACTCAGAAATTAACATAATTTTGCATAGATTTGATATTACATTTTGTGCATATATATGTATGTATGTTTTTTCAGTGTAAAATGCTGTTAACACATTTTAAAAGCATTTGACATCTCTCACAATTAGTTACAGACTTAAAAACATACTTAGTTGCACGAATCTCAGTGTACACTGTACAGTTAGTACTGTAGATTGATTCCCAAAGGCTGGCAGGAGATGGTAATTCTGTGGTTCCTTTCTCATGTGAAGGTTATTAGTTTTTTATGGTTTTCTAGCAAAAATGTTCTCGTCACTACAGTTCTCCAAGAACTGACAAATTTGATTCCTGTAGTTGCAAAAAACAAACATTTGTGTTCACGCTACGTAGGTTCCCAGGCAGCAGGACTCAAATAACTGAAGATCACGAGCCTGTCTGCGCGTCTCTGCTCTCACCTGATAGTGCACTTTAAGATTTCTTTTCCATGCAAAAAATTAGCAAATGTAGAGCAGCATGAAGAAGGGAAATAATAATACTTTAAAAAATAAAGATAAATTAAACCTAAAAAAAAAAACAGCAGGGGGGATAAAATTCAGATGTTGCCTGGCCGGTGTGGCTCAGTGGTTGAATGTCAACCCCTACACCAAGAGGTTGCCGATTGATTCCTGGTCAGGGTACATGCCCGGGTTGTGGGCCCAGTCCCCAGTGGGGGGCATGCAGGAGGCAGCCAGTTGATGTTCTCTCTCATTGATGTTTCTATCTCTGTCTCCTCCCTTCCTCTCTTTCTAAAATCAATTTTAAAAAAAATCAGCCCTGGTCGGTTTGGCTCAGCTGTTAGAGCATCGGCCTGCAGTCCAGAGAGACCCGGGTTCGGTTCCCGCTAAGGGCATGTATTCCGGTTGCAGTTTGTCCCCGGCCCTGCTTGGGTTGTGTGGGAGGCAGCCACTCGATGTGTCCCTTTCACGTCGATGTTTCTTTCTTTCTCTCCTGCTCTATCTGAACAAAAAAATGAAAAAATGTCCTCTGGTGAGGATTAAAAAAAAAATCAAGTCTTCTGAAAGTAAGATTGTACTGTTCAACATGTTTTTTTGGTTGCAGGCTTTATGAAATATTGAGCATAAGATACTATTATTTTGTTGATTTAAAAACTTGCTTTTATAAAACTAATTATAAGAAAACAAGATAAATTAAGATTTAAAGTGAATTTCACATAATTCTTTTTTTTTTTTTTTTTTTGATAGGTTATTTGTGAAAGAAGGAAAAATAAATCTGTGGGACTGGAAGAGCAGATTAGAGAATATTTAAAGGGTAAGGAGGGGCATTGGTGCTGGAGTGCAAGGCCCATTGTTGGGCAGGACCTGGACAGCATCTGAGCCTGGCTGTGTTTGGAGAGTGAAGCAGGAGTTGCACGTGAGCTCCACTTGGCAGCCCTCATCATGGTTACCCTGTTTCCTGAACTCCCCAGCTCGAGTTCACCTCTGTCTCCATGTAATCCTCCTTGGATGCCTTGAGCTGTTCTGAGAGATGAAGTTGTTGGTCATTTGCCTATTGTTCATGGCCTCACCCTTACCTTCTGCAGGCTGCTCAGATGTATATAACCTTTCTCAGGTAGATGCGAGCAGGATAGGCTGTGCCACAGCTCCCTGGTCCTTCAGTTATTTGTCAGGAGCTTCTTGTCATTCATTTCTGCACAGACCCTGCCCCTCCTTGGCAAAGCAGGGATGCTCTGCTCTTTGCTCTCCAGGCAGTCTCCACTCTTGTGGCAGAGCCGGCCTTGGATCTCATCACTGTGGACTGAGTGGCATTGCCTGCTCAGCTTCTGAAGGCATGACCTGTCGGGTCTGCGAAGCTCCAACTCCGCTCGGGAGCCTTGCTCCTCTGGTCAGGAGCTTGTGGGACTTGGCCTCTGTGCCTCCTAGCTTGCAGGCTTCCAGAGTGTGAAGATGTCTGGTTTCAGAAAGGAACCTTTCCCACTGTCTTCCTCTGTTGTTTCCAGTGAATTGCAGGCGACACAGCAGAAGTGCCTTTTCTTGTCATCTTTAGGCACAGGTCTTTGACCTCCACTGGTTGTGTCTCTCCTCCTCGCTGGTTTCAATTCTCATCCAAATCCCCATCCATTGTCTTCATTTAGCAGAGGCTGCTGCCACCTGCTGCTTTTTTTTTTTTTAATCAAGTTCCGCCCTGGCGGGTTTGGCTCAATGGTAGAGCATTGGCTCACAGACCAATGAATTGTGGGTTCGATTCTGGTCAAGGACACGAACCTTGGTTGCGGTTTCCCCGGCTCTGTTCCGGGCTGTGAGGAAGGCAACTAGTTGATGTGTCCCTCTCACGGCGATGTTTCTCTCTCTCTCTCTCTCTCTCTCCCCCCCTCCCAATCTATCTGAAGATAAACAGGAAAATATCCTCAGGTGAGAATTAAAAATAAATAAGTTCCAATTTCTTTTTTTTAACTTTATTGATTTTAGAGAAAGGGAAAGGGAGAGAGAGATGGAAACATCAATGAGAGAGAACATCGATTGGCTGCCTCCTGCACGCCCCCACTGGGGATTAGGCCCACACCCTGTGCATGTGCCCTGACCAGGAATCAAACCAGCAACCTCCTGGTGCATGGGTTGGCGCTCAACCACTGAGCCAACCAGCCAGGCACCTCTTGCTTTTTAAATAAGGTTCACTGGCACATGGCAGCCAGTTATCTGTGAATGTGTCTTTGGGAGCTTTCCTGCTGTACCTCACTCTGCTCTCCCTTTGCTCTTTTCAGATCTCACATTGAAGTGTCTTGTGATTCCATCTCTGTTCAGAAATGTGTAGTCAGTGATACAAAATTGTAACATACAAGAAGGATCGGGAATTGGAAGGGAGAGAGCAGAAAATGTACCTTCTTTTTAACTTTTCTCCACTGCGCACTTACGCTATGTTCTTCACACCGTCCCGCCTCTCAGTCCCTTTAATTACCTGGAGTGAGGGGTTGTTTGTGCTCCCCCTTTTTCCCTTTTTATTTCCCCAGCAGAGGAAGAATGTGGGGCTCATTAAGTGAGTCTGGCACAAACTGACCTCTTGCCCAGGTCCTTCAGCTCCAGAGATCTGCAGCCTTTTTATTGTTGTTATCATGGAATCACTTGCCTTGTTTCTCGGGCTGTTTCTTGGATGCTGCACATGTGCACTGAGTGAGGCGCCATCTGAGCAGATGTGATTAGCCCTGTTGTCTCCCCACAGGTCCCTACTACGTGCCACTCCTGAGAGCAGAGGATATGTCGTCTCCGGTGATTGGGGAGCTGTGGTCCCCAGACCAGACAGCTGAGGCTTCTCACTTTAGCCATGGTGGAGGCAGCCCCAGAGACCCTGTTCTGACCTTGAGAGCCTTCGCGGGGCCCATTAGTCCAGCCAAGGTGAGCTGCTATGGAAGCTTCTGGAACGAGCTCTTGGCTGTCCTCGCCTGAAGTGCTGGGTATCCCAGCCTCTTTCATTGTGGTTGGTCTTAGAGAGCAGGTCACGTGGAAACTCAGTGAATTAGTGACGAGGCTTCAGAAAATTTGCTGGAGAAACAAGAGTGTCTTGATCCTGTTCCTCACTGGCTGGCCAGGGTGGGTTTGGTGGAGAGCCTGCAAGTCAGAGAAGTGACATTTACCTGCGCCAACCCTTCCCGTGCCATTGTCACTGGATTCTCCCATCATTGTTGATGGCCCTTCTCGCAGGGCATTGCCAGTCTAGCTCGGCTGTCCTTTTCAACGTCCTTAGACTGGTATTGTCACAAGGACAGTTCCATTTGCAGACTTTCTATTTCACCTTCTGGACTGAGGTATTTTATACAGTGGCCTATGGAATCTTTCCTCTTGTTGAAGAAATTCTGAACAGTTACCTACAACTATAAAACATCTCCAGAAACAAGTCGTCAGTTGAGATTAGATTCAGCTGTATAACACATAAAACTGTAGTGGGTTAAAAACATAATCATTTATTTTTCTCTCATGTGGTGGAAAAATGGAAGGCTGGAGGCCTCTGGCTGGCAGCTCTGTGCTGTGGTCCTCGGGGCGAGGCTTCTCCCTCGGGCTTCCAGGTGCAGCTCCGACCCCACAGCCTCTCATTCCTCCTGACCTTGGTCTCTTAGCTACAAGACAGGAGGGCATGTTGCCCAGGGTGTGTTGGGAGGAGAGGGAGGGATGCTGAGAGTATACATTTGGTCTGCAATGCTGGTGGTTCTTTACATTTCCCTGGCAACCTAGACACATAGCACAGCTCCACACATTTTCTCTTCATAGGCAGAAGATTTTCGAAGACTCTGGAAAACCCCGCCTCGAGAGAAAGCAGACTTCTTTCACAATGTCAGGAAATCAGATCCAGAAAGAGGCATGGAGAGAACAGGAAGGTACTTAAAGGTGTCGCAGGAGTGACAGCAGAGGGGTGAGGTGGTTGCGTGCTGTGTGCTTGTGTGTTGGCGGCGGATGGAAACTCTCAGAGTCTTAGGAAGCATTTTTTCCAGAAGCTCTGATTTCTTGCAGACCCTAAACTTGCTGCAGTCTCTCCCCAAAGGGATGCAGCCTATTTGTGGGGGGGTTAGAATGTTTGGGATGAGTTCCCCTATGTTGGGTGCTTCCTTGGCAATGAAGGAGAAAATAGAACATAAGACTCAGGGTGGCTAGAAACTACCAGTAAGAATCAGGAAGCTAAATTACAGTGTAATCAGTTTGACTGGTGTGGCTCTGGTTGAGCGTCGACCTTGCACCAAAAGGTCACCAGTTTGATTTCGTCGGGACACATGCCCAGGTTGTGGGCCTGATTCCCAGAGGCGAGCATGCAGGAGGCGGCCAATCGTTGTTCTCTCTCATCAGTATTTCTGTCTCTCTCTCTTACGGCCTCTTTCTCTAAAATCAATAAAGGAAAAAGAATTTTTTCAATTACAATGTAATCAAAAAAAGTATCATTGAATCATAGAACTTTTTCTCAAAATATGAGGCCAGTTTTAGGTTTACAGCTTGCACCTGAAAAGGACTTCTTTCTTTTTCTTTCTTTCTTTCTTTCTTTCTTTCTTTCTTTCTTTCTTTATTTATTTATTTATTTATTTATTTATTTTAATCCTCACCCAAGGACATTTTTTTGTTCTTTGTTCAGACAGAGCAGGAGGGAGAGAGAGGGAGAGAGAGAGAGAGAAACAGTGACCTGAAAGGGACACATCGAGTGGCTACCACCCACACGACCCAACCAGGGCCAGGGACAAATTGCATCCGAGGTACACGCCCCTAGCGGGATCCAAACCCGGGTCTCTCTGGACCACAGGCCAACGCTTTAACCACTGAGCCAAACAGGCCAGGGCTAAAAAGGACTTCTACATTTTTACGTGCTTGGCCAAAACCAGCATCATATTCACCCCCCTCCCCCCCTCCCCTTTATTGATTCAAGAGAGAGTGGAAGTGAGAGAGAGAGAGAGAAACATCGATGAGAGAGAACATTGGCCACTCCTGCATGACACCCACTGGGTATCTGGCACACAACCTGGGCATGTGTCCACCAGGAATCTAACCAGCGACCTCCTGGTGCAGGGTCAACACTCAACCACTGAACCACACGGGCTGGACCCAACTTTTTTTTTTTTTTATCCTCACCCGAGGACATTTTTTGATATTTTGTTCAGATAGAGTGGGAGGGAGGGAGGGAGGGAGAGGGAGAGAGAGAGAGAGAGAGAGAGAAACATCGACGTGAAAGGGACACATCGAGTGGTTGCCGCCCACACGAACCAACCAGGGCCGGGGACAAACTGCAACTGAGGTACGTGCCCTTAGCAGGAACCGAACTCGGGTCTCTCCGGACTGCAGGCCGACGCTCTAACCACTGAGCAAAACCGGCCAGGGCCGGACCCAACTTGAATCTTTTACTAAAACTAAAGGCCTATCTGTTGGTGTTTTGCTGTTTCGCCTTTTACCTCTGCTGGTTGGAGAAGGTGTGTTTTGGTTGTGGTCTTCTTCCTTTCCCAGTGACTGGTTCATCATGCCACCACTCCAAGAGTGAAACTGCCCTGTCTCACCGTTAGGGGAGCACTGCTTTACAGGATGCCAAGTACTATCTTAGCCCCAAATTTAGGATAAAATAAAGTTGTAACCAAGAGTCTAGCTTTACCTGGCTGTTTACTGTGTAACCAGTTCTGGGAGTTTTTGTTCTGGTTTCACAACTGATCACTTGTGCTTTATTCTCACAGGGAGCTGGCTCACGAACTAGGGTATCCCTGGCTTGAGTACTGGGACTTTCTGGGCTGTTTTGTTGACCTGTCTTCCCAGGACGGCCTGCAGAAACTGGAGGAATATCTCACACAGCAGGAAGTAGGCCGAAAGGCCCCAAAAAACATGGGAGAAAATGAAGCTTGTCTTCAGGAGAACGCTTCTGCCTTTGGTAAGAACATGCAAGGCATTTCTGTGTTCTCAGAACCTGGACCCCATCCTGTGGCCATGTACCAAGAGTGTGTCCCAGCGAATGTGTGAATGCCTGTAGCTCCTCTCTGACCGTCATGTTCTCAGTGCCCTGGTGTCCTCATAGATTAGAGGGAGGCCCAGGCACTGGTCCACCCCTACCTGTCTCTGCCGTTGGCCTTGGCTTCCTTTTCCTGGAGCATGGCGGTGGCTTTGTCTTACGTCTTTGGAGAGGGTCTCAGTGAGGGAGTGGTGGGTCATTGGGTCTGTGCTGTGCTGAGTGCGCGTCGCGCAGACTCAGTTAACCACACCTGAGGGTCTGCTTTGTCTCCCTACAGTCTGTCGTGGGAATTGCAGCAGTTCTGTCTCTGTGAGGGACTTTCTGGACGAAGACAATGACATGAGCTTGGAAGAGATTAAAAATCGGCAGAACACAGCTCGAAACAACAGCCAGACCACAGTCGGGGCTTTCAGAGACTCGGGGTGCGACACCCTTCTCTTGGAGCAGAGGACAAACCTTATAGAAGACTCAGTGCAGACCTGTCCCCACAGCAGCAAGAATGGGTTCTCTAGCCCCCCGAGTGCCAGAAAGACCCAGGGTGGGAAGAGGACCAAGGCTGCGAGCCAAGAGGAAGCCCTCCCGTCACATGTCTCCGGCTTGGCTGTTGAGTTCAGTAAGCTCAATCTGCAGAATCTAGGAAGTGGGTTTTCTGAGACAAGTATGAAAACGAGAGATGAGAAGATCCTGACATCAAGAGTGGATGCAGTGGACGTTGACATGCTAGAGCCTCCTGCGGCCAACAGCCTCGGAAGCAGCCAAGCAAGGACAGAAAGCGAGATGTCAGCAGGGATTGCTAACATGTGCCTGGGTCCCCACAGTCCCAGACATGAGACCCAGCATGGCTTCCCTTTGTCCTCGGAGCCCTTGGAGGTCCATGCCACAAAGGAGCCTGTCCGGAGGCTCTTCCTTTTTGGGTGCGTGAGTACACAGATGATGCTACAGTCAGGTCTGAGTGCAAGGTGGTGTGGAGTAGGGGGTGTGAGCCTGTGTGACACTGACCGATTGTTGTAAAGCTTTCCTCTGCCCATGACCTCACTGCACGTGCCCCTCTAGTTCCCATGGGCCGTGTGTGTAGCTTCCTGAGACGTCCATCTGTCTCTGCTGGGTCAGTCGGTGGGAGATGCATCCTTTCCAGCCCATCCTCATGTGCTGTTCCTCCTGGGGAAGCAGTTACCCCAGACCAACTGGGACTGTCCTAGGAAGGTCATTTGTTTTAGGGAGAAACACCTTCTGGGGGTCATTCTTTGTCTCCCACGTAATGGCCCATGGTCCTCAGAAGTGCATTTCACAGTGGGGTGGGTCTTGGGGCTTCTCTTACCTGGATCAGCATGTCCTTTCTGCCAGCTTAGTCTCGGCTCCTCCGCAGCTCAGGTTGTGGCCTGACAGCTGGTGTCTTGGGGGCGGCAGTGGCCCAGGTTGGTGTGAGTCACATATGTTCTCTTCTCTGATGCCGTCCAGGGAGGAGCCGTCCAAACTGGATCGCGATGTCTTGACAGCCCTGGATGGTGCAGATGTGGACCCTCAGCGGTACCCCGCTGTGTGCAGGTGGAAGAGCGCTGTCCTGAGCTACCCGTCCTCCGATAGACAGAGGTACATGGGCCCCAGGAGTTGCTGGTACTAGCAGCTGGAACCTCTCGATTCTGACCCATGTGCACATGGTGGTTCCCTCAGGACACTGGCCAGGCTGGTATGTGGCTCTTAATGTGCGGCTGTGGCTGGGGCACCACAGAGGAGAGGTCTGCAGTGGCTGCAAAGCGGGTGCTGGTGAGGGATCGGGGAGGGGCACTTAGGGTTCCTGGTCATGGTCATGAGGGATTTGTGTGGACAATCAAATGAGCTTTTAATCTTCAGGGTCTGTATTCTGAGGTTCTAAGAGCCTCTTATCAGAGCCACAGTGGTCCCTCAGGCTCAGGTGCAGGAGCCCAGGTTCTGTCGTGGCCTCTGCTTTCCCCGCACCCCAGCCACCTGTGCTGACAGACCTTTTCTTGGTTTCCTCAGTTGGCCAAGCCCCGCGATAAAAGGGAAGTTGACGTCTCAGCTGCCGGATCTCGGTTGCCCTCGCAGCTTCAGCCCAGGGAGAAGTAGGCCTTCAGGGGGCAGCCCCAGGAAGCCTGGCCCCATCCCTCTCTCCCCCCGTATGGGCAGCCCTGGGCGCTACAGCCCTGCCAACAGGGGCCACCTGCACAGGATGGTGCGCCTGGCCCAGCTCGCAGCCTTGTAGGGCTGGAGCGCTGCTGCGCTCGTGCTTCATTAAAGAAGGGTAATGTGTTTATTGCTAAAATTCACAAAAGTTATATTCTGATTAATTTATTAATCCTCATTTTGAGAGTCAAAGAATTTTAGAAAATGCAAATGTTCCATATAAAATTTAGATTTCTGGCATTTTGGGACTTAATGAAAGCAAACTCAGATACCAGTTTTCTGAACACTGATGTGATAATGCAGACCATGGTCACCGCCCTGGCTGCCTGTGCAGCATACGGCAGTCAAGGCTGCTGTGCCCCCAGGAGTCCCAGCTGGTGCCCAGAGGCAGCGTTGGCTGTGCTGGAGCCATGCTCACTTCAGCTCAGTTCTGAAAACTAAGGTGAATTTTGTTCACCTTCCTTTTCGGGGACGGGAGGTGGGGTTCACTCTCGGGCTCTCCTTGGTTAGATGAAGATAAAGCTTTTCTCTTGGACACAGTCTGTGGCCCTGGGAGGGCATGAGTGTCATGCAGGATGCGACAGCCAGCACAGTCACAGTGTCTTTGCTGCCTGTGCAGTGGGGCAGGGTGATCTGTGTGCATCCCTGGCTCTGAGATCACCCCGTAGTTGAGGGCTCCTTTCTGCTGGAATTCCTTTATAAAAGTGTCACGCTTTAGTACAGAAACTCAAGGTTAACTTTTGACGGGTTTGAGCCTGGTTTAGTTACTAGAGTGTGGTTTACTTTAGCCCCCAGCCCCCACTCCAGGTCTTTGTGCAGAGGTTGGGGGTCGCCACAGCTCCCTGTGCCACACTGGACACCCAAGGATGGACATGGGTGACACGGCTGCTCACACACGAGCAGGATGCCGTGAACGTCCAGGGTGGGATCCAGCTGGAGACTCTGCTAGTGGTTCTGCTGACTTCAGTGCCTTTTGTAAAGCATTTTTTATTTTCCTGAACTAGTTATTTGAGAATTTATAGTGGTACTAAGTTGGTGTAAGATTCTTTTTCATTCACAAAAATTGTTACTTCTGTCACATAACAAGAGAACAGGTCAGGAATATTAGAATTTAGATTTTAAAATTCTAATAGCTGTTACACAAGGTGTTTTCACATGTAGTATGGCCAACAATCTACATGTAACACAAAATACAATTCTATTGTAAAAAAACGATGGCATTTAGAAAGGCATCTTTGTTCTCAAATATCAGAACACCAATATATTCAGTGCTGATCTGGTTTTTTTTTTTCTAGAATCTTACCTTACTGTCCTGTATATTGCTGTAAATATTCAGATGAAATTAAAAGTGTTTTTGCCATAATTTTGCTGACTGCCTGCTGTTCCTGTTCTGTGAAGTTTTGGTCTTGGTCCCCATTTGTTTCTCTCAGGTGGCCCAGTCCCAGTGATCGCATCACAGAACCTGTGGTGATGATCCTCTTTGTGAAACCACTTAGTAGCCCTGGCTGGTTTGGCTCAGCAGTTAGAGTGGCGGCCTGCGGTCCAGAGAGACCCGGGTTTGGTTCCCGCTAAGGTTAAGTACCTCAGTTGCGATTTGTCCCCAGCCCTGATTGGGGTCGCGCAGGCGGCAAGCCATTCAATGTGTCCCTTTCACGTCCGTGTTTCTCTCTCTCTCTCTCTCTCTCTCTCTCTCTCTCTTCCTCTCTCCCTCCCACTCTATCTGAACAAAAAATGGGAAAAACAATGTCCTTGGGTGAAGATAAAAAGACAAAAAAACACCACTTAATGAAATGAGGGTTTTTTTGCTCATTATTTATTTTTAATTTTTTATCTTCATTGTTGAATGTATTACAGATGTTCCTCATTTTTCTCCCATTGACCCCCTCCTCCCCATGCCCATCCCCCTCCCGCCTTTTCCCACACTGTTGTCTGTGTCCATTGGTTATGCATATATACATACAAGTTCTTTATTTTTTTAAATCCTCACCCGAGGACATTTTTTTATTTTTTGTTCAGATAGAGTGGGAGGGAGAGAGAGGAAGAGAGAGAGAAAAACACTGACGTGAAAGGGATACATCGAGTGGCTGCCACCCACACAACCCAACCAGGGCCGGGGACAAACTGCAACCAAGATATGCCCTTAGCGGGAACCGAACCCGGGTCTCTCTGGACCACAGGCCGATACTCTAACCGCTAAGCCAAACCGGCCAGGGCTGCATATAAGTTCTTTGGTTTATTTCTTCCCACTCCCCAACCGCTTTCCTTTTGAGGTTTGTTAGTCTAGCAATGAATTTATACTTCTTAATCCCTTCACCTTTTTCACCCATTCCCCCAAACCCCTCCTATCTGGCAACCAACTAAATGTTCTCTGGATCTATGAGAATGTTTCTGTTCTGCCTGTTCATTTTGTTTGTAGATTCAATTGTTGATAGATATGTATTCATTGCCATTTTGTTTGTTCGTATCTTTTATCTTTTTCTTCAAAAAGACCCTTCATCACTTCATATAAAAATAGTTTGGTGGTGATGAACTCCTTTAACTTTTTCTTATCTGGGAAACTTTATATGGCCATCAATTCTAAATGACAACTTTGCAGGATAGAGTAACCTTGGTTGTAGGTTCTTGCTTTTCATCACTCTGAATATTTCTTGCCACTTCCTTCTGGCCTGCAAAGTTTCTTTTGAGAAATCAGTTGACAGCCTATGGGAACTCCCTTGTAGATAACTAACTGCTTTTCTCTTGCTGCTTTTAAGATTCTCTCTTTGTCTTGAACCTTTTGCATTTTGATGATGATGTGTCTTGGTGTGGGCCTCTTGGGGTTCATCTTGTTTGGGGCTCTCTGTGCTTCCTGGACTTGTATGTCTGTTTCCTTCACCAAGTTAGGGAAGTTTTCTGCCATTATTGTTTCAAACAGGTTTTCAATTTCTTGTTCTCTCTCTTCTCCTTTTGGCACCCCCAAGATGCGAATGTTGGCACGCCTGAAGGTGTCCCAGAGGCTCCTTACACTATCCTCATTTTTTTGGATTCTTTTTTCTTTTTGCTGTTCTGATTGGGTGTTTTTTGCTTCCTTATATTCCAAATTGATGGTTTGCTTCTTGGCTTTACCTACTCTACTATTGAATCTGTGTAGATTATACCTTATTTCAGTTAGTGCTTCCTTCATTTCTGACTGTGCCTCCTTCATTTCTGACTGGTCCTTTTTTATGCTCTTGAGGCCCTCACTAAGTTCACTGAGGTTCTTACTAAGTTCATTGAGCATCCTTATAAGCATCTATTAGGTTGCTTATCTCTATTTCATTTAGTTCTTTTCCTGGGGTTTTGTTCTGTTCTTTCATTTGGGACTTGTTTCTTTGTCTCCTCATTTTGGCTGCCTCCGTGTGTTTGTTTCAGTGTATTACTTAACGAGAGGTATGGGACTATCTGAGACCAGATGCTGCTTGTTTGAAAGAATTTAGGAAAACCTTAAGCAGGATCCAAGACAGGCCAATCCTATGGTAAAGCAACTGGCAACAGCTTGGGTGGGCCTGAAAGCTGGGTGGCTTCCTGTTTTCCTTAAAACACCAAAATTAGTACTTTGAAAACCAGTAAAATAAAATTTTATTTTGTAGTTGTTTCCAAAGTTGACAGAGAAATAGATCAAATATCCCATTTAGTTGCACTGACTGCAGAAAATGTTCATAACCACTTGATAGAAATTGTACTGTTTTTATAAAAAGATAATTTGGGATGGATACATCATGTCCAAACATTCTAATCCATAAGCATCAAGGTTTGACAGCCAGAAGCAAACACAGAACGAGCTGTCAGATATTTTACTTAAACAGGACTCTCCTGGGCTGTCCACCTGGCCCCTCCCCCATGAGACCAGCAGGTTTCATCCCCTCCCTCACCTGCCCAGGTGCTCCTGTGTGTCAGGAGAGGCCTAATAACACAGGTGAGTTCAGATTCAACAGTGTCAGGGGTGCATGACTTTGGAGTGAGACACTGGTTTTCTATGTGAGAACCCAGCAGAAAATCTCTAATTGACAGACAAATATTGAAGTGACAAAGGGTTTTAAGAAATGAAAAGACTATGCCAAGAAAAATAAGTTATGAATGGAAGTGCTGGACCCTCCTCCAAGTCCCTGTTGCCCAACAGGCTTTGCTGAGAGAGACTCAAGGGGTCGTGTGGCCAGCTGTGGATCTGCAGTGGTCCCCGCAGTGGCAGCCGAGGCCTCCCTGAACCCCACAGGCTCGTCCCAGTGGACGAGACTGAAGCAGGGAACTGGGTGAAAGGGCCAGGCTGGTCTGGCCTGGACGTGCCTTTTCCATCCTGGGCCAGAAGGAAGGACTGGAAAGCGGCGTTTTAGACACTTCAGTGCCCGTCACCTGGTCCTGAAGAAAGGAAGTGATCCCAGTGCAGCCTGTGGAGGGGACGGAGGCAAGGCGTCTGTGTCTGTGTTCTTGGCAGCTCCCATGCCAGGGGGGCCTCAGGAGCGGGAGATCTTGTCAGGAGGCATGAACCCGGTGTCCCCAAGGGCCCTGAGCGCCACGCGACCATCAGGCCGGACCACCAGGTGGGTGATGCTGCCATTGTTGAGGGAGAGGCGGAGCCAGCCTTCTGGAGGGAACTGCAGTGCCCTGGGGGGTTAGAAAGAACGTGCTGGAGGGGACTTGAAGAGCTACCAGCCCCCAATCTGCAGACCAGACAGACCCTAGGCCGACAGGCCGATGCCCAGCTGACGCCATCTATGGGACAGGGTTAGCCTGCACAGGTGTCAGAGACACCCCAGTTCCCTCTAAGAGCACACAATCTGTTTCCAGTGAGACAAAGACGGGCTGGGGCAGCCCCCAATACAGCAAAACACACGCAGAGCCTCCCCCAGGGGCCACAGGGCAGTGACAGCCCACAACCCTGTAGCATTTCCATGCTCAAAGGAACGCTGCTAAGCAGTCCAGCATTACTGGTCATCAGCATCCTCTATGCCCAGATCTCGGTGGGGACAAGAAGCATTGCCTGGCTTACGTGCCATGCATTTTGTCAACATAAAGGAATAACCTTCATGCTCCTTAAACTCTGTCGCCCTCACTGTCCTCAGAGCGTCTGTCCTAAGTTAGCCAGCAAAGTGCCCTCAGTCACGATGGAGAGGCTTTGGTTCTGGCCCTGGAGGTAACACAGGTCAGCTCCACTCCAAGCCCCTGAGCACTCCTCGTGCACTTTCAGCAGGGAGTCACCTAGCAGCAACAGCTTAGGTCAACCCTGTCCCAGGATATGGAATGATGCTGTGTCTACACAGTACAGCAGCCACCCAGGCGCTACCCTCAGGTGCCCGGAGCAGCAGTGGGGTGCCCCAAGGAATACACACGCGCCAGCATAGGAGCTTCGAGGCTGCGCCTCCCGAGCATTTGAGCTGGAGTACGGAGCCCAGGGGCCCTCCCGTCCCCAGCAGCACTGGTCTAGCTGGGAGCCCCGAGTGAGCCAGGGTTCCTGGGCCTCTCACTAGGGCTGTGCATATGGCATCGGAGGGGTGATGGTCCCTTAGAGCCCCTGCCACAGGCCTAGGGGTCAAGCATGGTGAGTGGAGGCCTCAGGCAGCTAGCTGTGCTGTGTCCTGTCCTGCCAGACTCGTCACGAGAAGGGGAACCCCTCAGCGATGGGAGTGACTGACAGACACTTTCTAATGGATTGTGGGCGGGGGTGCCAGTTACTTTAAATACTCAAGCACCCAGCTGGCATCCCCAACTCTAGGCCCTGTGACAGGCAGCGGCAGCTCAGGGCTGGTGTCACAAGAGCTCTGGAACTTCCTGTGGAGCCAGGAAGGACACCGAGGCCCGGAAGGAGCTCTCGATGACCAGTGCTGGAGCAATGGAGCAGCAAGATGACCAACAAGGTGGATGAGATCCAGCATAAAACAAAGATCCAAGAGCTCACCTGATACAAGCACACGGAGCAGTCAGCTCCTGCTCTGAACTAAGTTACTGGAGCCCTGTGGCAGGGATGCAGGCACTGCTGTCACCGGGGAAAGGACGACTGTGCAGTGACGAGCCCAGCGCACATAGCGCCTTCACCCAGGGACCATGCTCGCATTGCCTGGGACCTGTGCTACTGCTGCAAGAACACGACCACAGGAATCTCCAATGAAACATGTTCCAGCAGACACGGGGCCTCCAGGACATGACGGCCAAAGAGGCAGGGGAGGAGGCTAAAGGCGCCAAGGACCCTCACCGGCACACGATGTAGCGGATCACGTTGGCATGGCAGATGAAGATCTCATAACTGTCCTCCTGCTGCTTGGCATCTGCCCGGTGGATGTAGTTCCGGAAGGCGGCCTCGATCCTGGCTCCGTCTTCGTAATACTGCTGGGGGCAGAGTGAGGCATCTAAGCCTGGAGACAGCCAGCCCGAGTACAGGGAGCAGGGGGAACTGCCCAGGGTAGAGGGTCAGCAAGAGACAAGGAGGAGACCATCGTGGGGAGTTTTACCACAGCCTCTGGCTTCCAGTGAGACACAGGTGGGTCAGGCTCGATGGGGGCGCCTTCCCTCAACAGGTCTGTGCTGACCGTGGATACACCTGTGGAGCAGCAGGGACTCAGCCTACTAACTCCGTGTGTCCCTTCAGGCTGCCGAGGGACCCGGGGATGCCCGCACTCACCTGGCAGGTGTTTGCTGATGATGTCCGTGGTTTCTACTGCGCGGGTCATGGAGGAATGCACAATTTTATTAAACTTCAACCCCAAGCTTGCAAGTCGGAGACCAGTTAGCTCAGCCTGTTCACGACCTTGAAGGTAAAACACGGAGAATTACATGCTGCTGGAGTCCCCTCTGTTTACCCCACAAATACTTCAGTCCTTACCAAGTACCCTTGCGGTCAGGGGACAAGGACAGACCCTCCTGGTGGCCAGGTATCGAAGAGATAAAACAACGAGACTATCTAGTTCCCTTCAGCCCCGTGCAGAAAAAACATTAAAAACAATGACAAAAGTACAGGATCTCCAATGTCTGGGTGGGGTCCGGCCTACCGTTGCTGAGTCCCTCACATCACTCACTCAACTTTGTATAAAGATTGAGTCTCGAACACCTGTGACCTGTTGGCTGTGCGAGCACCACAGAGGTGAACACGGAGAGCCGATGACCCCAGCATCACAAGCACAGACTGTGCAGAAGCAAGTGCCTATTTTAAACACATCCAGTGGAAGCACCCCCAGGACATGTTTCAGCGGCACAGTGACACCCGTGGATGCGGCTTCACATCCCACTTCTGTACCGGGAACCAGAGCAAGGAGAGGGGCACAGTGGTTGGAGAGGCCGCCAACCCTTCTACTACCTGAATTTTTAATACGTGCACCAACGGGGAATATCCCATTCAACAAAAAAATATCTAAAATGTAAACACTACCTCAGAGCACCCTGCACATGCCTTCCCAGGAATCTCTGCGGGTGCGCCAGCTCAGGGCACAAGGTCCAGGGGGGACACAAGGTCCAGGGGGGGCGCACCCACCGCACTGTCACTTGGCAAGAGCATCCCTCTGCCAGGCGGGTGGCTGGAGCTGCCATCACTCAATTGCATCAGTTTACCCTTGCGAAGCAAACTCTGAACACAGATTTACACATGCGGTGCCCCCCTGCAGGCCTCTGGGAGACACTGAGCCCCTGCTGAGGTCTGTAGATGTCATCACCTGCGGCAAGACACACTGCGCAGACAACCTTGTTTACTTGCCCTGCAGACACTGCATTTTTTACAAGTTGAAGGCAAGACCCTCCACCAGCAAAAAAATTACAACTGGCTTTACTGCTGTGGTCTGGAACCACACCCACAGTATCTCCAAGGTCTGCCTGTAATATATTTTTTTAAGTTGAGTACGTTTCAAAGTCTGTCTTGTGTTGGAGGCTGATAATTACCAATAATGACATTGCTTGAAACTGGGCCAAGGGTCCCTGACACAGGTCCAAGGAGAGCAGTCTTAGGAGTCATTTGGGACTGGGCCCAGCCACATACCCAGGGGTGTCAGGGTGCGGTCCTTGTCCCGGGAGGCGTCCACGTGGTACTGGGAGTGCCTGATGAGGAAGATGTGCCGCGTGGCCTTGGCTTTGCAGTGGTCTATCCTGGACGTCACATCGTCGTCTCCAGAGTCCAGGTTCCTCTTCCGCAGGTTGACCAGGGAGAGTGGTTCCCGCCTGGTGATGAAATAGGGGACAGTATGTCCTTGTGACCCTTCTTCACATGTCACCCTTGACGGTCTTTCTGCCCTGGGAAAGCACAGGAAGGAGCCAATGCCTTCGTCCACCCCAGAGCTGAGTGCCAGGCCTACTGTGGGTGACCAGACTGGGAGCAGGATACGTGAAGCCCTTGTGCAACTGTTCCCAGGGACAGACAGCAAACAGCAGGGTGACCAGGGGCAGAAACAAAGCCAGGTAACAGGAAGGCATGGCTGTGGGAGGGCAGCCAGAACTACCCCATGAAGAGAACACTGAGGCTGAGTCTGGACCTGAGCTTGCTGTCCATGTGGCTACTTAAATTCAAAATAATAAAAATGAAATAAAATTGAAGTTCCACTTCCCTAGTCACACCGAACACATTTTATTTCCTCACCCAAGGACATTTTCTTTTTTCTTTTTGCCTTTATCTTCACATAGAGCGAGAGAGAGGGAGAGAGAGAAACACCGATTTGAGAGGGACATCGAGTGGCTACCACCAGCACAACCCCAACCAGGGCTGGGGACAAACTGCAACCGAGGTACATGCCCTTAACGAGAACTGAACCTGGGACCCTCTGGTCCATGGGCCGACGCTCTAACCGCTTTGCCAAATCGACCAGGGCCTGAGCACATTTTAAATGCTCAGTAGCACATGGGACTGTGGAAAGGAAACAGTCCCGTGGTCATGGAACACACTGGATGGCACCTTGGAATGTTACAAAATGATGGGAAAAGCAGGGACGCAGCAGCAAAGCCGCAAAGAAGCAAGGTGTGATGGCCGGCATGCCTGGTGCCTCAGAGCCGAGTCCATGGAAACTGAACGTCTGTGATACTGGCAGTGCAGGGCCACATACTCAGCTGGGAAGGGCTCTGGGGCAGCAGTGGTGACTGTAGGGCTCTGCCTGGGCCGGGTGAGCCCATGGTGCCTGGAACAGCCAGGCTGTGATGCTGCAGTGGCAGGTGAGTGGGAGCTTCAGGCACAGACCAGGAGCCCGCCCTGGACCAGGTTCCCAGGAAGAGGCTGCAGATGTGGAATTTTCCAGCACGGACAGCCCCCCTTCCATGAATCTAGGCTTCAACCTCAGAGTGGACCTGTTTTCTCAAAAAGCCCCAAGACATTCAGAAGATTGTTCTGATGTCTAAAAAAGAGAAGATAGCTCCGGTCTAATCATGAGAAACAGACAAATCTCAACTGAGGAACATCTACAGACTGTCAAGGTCATCAAAACAAAAAAGTAAGAATCTGTCCCAGCCAAGAGGAGTCCGAGGGAACTGTCCCATGGGACTCTAGAAGAAAAGTTGACCTGGGTTGTTGTGACCAATGTGCCACACTGATGTAAGATGTTAGTAACAGAAAAAATCAGGTGTGGAGTACACAGGAACTGTCATCTCTGCAATTTTCCTGCAAATCTAATACTATTAAAAAATAAGTTTATCGTTTAAAAATTAAAGGTTAAAATAAAGAATCTTTATTTCATTCCTGATATAATCAGGCTAAGAATAAACGTGTTTTGTGCCCCTCACCCAGCAAAGTGTCCAACGGGAGCCGGGACCGTTTGTCCAGGGGAAACACAACACCAGCAACCTCGTAATTGTAAACGTCTAAGCAGGCACATGGGAAAGGTAGGAAAACACGGGTGACGTTTCAGTGTCTCACTTTATTTAACCCGATGTATCACAAATACTCTCGGCACACAAGTACCCACACGTCCGCACTGCTTTGGTTTTCAACCAACAGGAAAGGAAACTGAACATGGTCTGCTCACAGGAGCACCTTTCAAGCGCTCAATGGGACACGTGGCTGGGGCCGGGGCCGGACCCAAGGTCCCAGGGGCGGCTGCTGGTCGCGTCCCTGCGCGTCGTCCGGCAGCGCCCCCGAGGCCGCTCCCGCACCCACGCGCCTCCGCTCAGCGCTGGGACGGCCGACGGGCTCCAATCGGAGTCGGAGCCGAGGGGGAAACCGCAGGGACCGCCCACCGCGAGGGCCAAGCCCTCTGCCCAGAACCGAAAATGCCCACTGTCCCGCTTCCACGTACGCGTTCCTCAACACGACCCCGGGGACGAGCGCCCCACGTCACAGCCGGGGACGCCGCGCGGGGCTCGCGCGCCCTGCCGAGCCGACCGCGGCAGACCGAGCACAGCGGCACGCACCTGTCCCAGTTGGGGTCCCAGACGCCGGGCCCGGGGCGCCCGGCCCCCGCCCACGCCGGCTGCTCGACCACGCGCGGCTCCGCGTCCCCGCCCGCACGGGGCTTTCCCACCGCCACGGCCGAGAAGAGCACGGCGGCCGAGCCCCCCGCCAGGCCACAGGCGGCCAGCTGCAGCGCCTGCCGGAACGCCATGCCTGCGGGTCCCGCGCCGCTCCGCGCACGCGCAGACGGGCGCGGACGGCGCGCCGCGAGGAGCACGCTACCTCGGACGTGCGCTTTCGGCGGGCCGGCCGTGCCGCGGAGCGGAAGTCCCGCCTCCTGGGACGCCCGGGCCGCGGGGGCCGCCGGGACCTCTGCCTTCCGGAACTAGGCGCAGCTCCGCGGTGAGCGACGGTTCTGCGACCCTCCCTCCCCGCACTGTCGGCCGAAGGTCCGAGTGCCAGTCACTCCCGCCCTGGAGCGCGAGTGGAGGTGAGAACTGGGGCTCTGTTTAGCGAACTGTGAAACCCCGCGGGGCCTGCCTCGCTTCTGCCGGAGTGAGGTTCACGCAGGAGCCGTCCTCGACCACCCACGTGCGAGCGCGGGGCGGGAAGCGGCCTCGCTCTCGGCTGGCGCCGCCCCGCCCCGCCCCGCGCCGCCCCGCGCCGCCCCGCGCAGTCCCGCGCAGTCCCGCGCGGGCTCCGTCGGCCCGCTCAGTTCACTCGCCCGGCGGCCCCCGCGTGCAGACCGCGTCTTGAGCCCTCGTCCAGGGCCCAGGGCTGTTTCTCTCTTGGCGGTGGTGACTGATGCTGTGAACACGGTGTCAGTCTCGTGAGCCCCTGCTTTGTTTCCTTTGGGTGCATCCCCGGAAGTGGGGTTCCCGGTCATTGCAGGTTTTAAGTTAAGAAGCGACCTGATCAGCCCTGGCTGGGCGGTTAGAGCGTCGGCCGCGGAAGAAGCGGGTTCAGCTCCGGCCCAGGGGACCTACCTTGGCTGCAGTTTGTCCCCGGCCAGGTGGGCTCGTGTGGGTGGCAGCCACTCCGTGTCTCACATCGAGGTTTCTCTCTCTCTCTCCCTCCCACTCTATCTGAAGATGCAAAAATGTCCTTTGGTAAAGATAAAAGATTTGAAAAGAAAAAAATGATAAATACACAAGGACGTATCCGAGCCCACTACAAAGAGTAAATCAGTTGACAACATTTTGGAAGCTGGGAATCAAATCTTTATTGATCTGGGAAGACATCACCCGTGGCCTGTACTGAGGGAAGCCAAGAAGGAGCTCACTTAGTGGGTCTAGGAAGGTCTGGGAGGTACCGCAGCCTCGCCTCTGAGAAAGGATGGTGGGTGGGAATGAACCGGAGGCTCCCCTCTACCTCCTGCCATCGCCTGCACATGCCGTACTTCGCCTCCGTGGTGGCGGGAGAACAGAGAAACTTCCTTCCAGGGGATCTGAACCAGGCCTGGTTTGAGACACCAGGCAGCTAAGACTGGGACGCAGCGAGCCACGAGAACGCTGGCCCGTAGGCTTGTGCCTGCTCCACTGCAAACACCATCCTTCCCCCAGGTAAGAAATGAAAGGATTCCTCTGGGGAAACGCCAGCCCAAGAGCAAAGGCCTCAGTCACTGCCAACGGGCAGTTCTCAACAAAACCAAGTCCTGCCCTGGCGGGTTTGGCTCGGCGGTTAGAGCCTCGGCCTGTGGTCCAGAGAGACCTGGGTTCGGTTCCCACTAAGGGCACGTACCTCGGTTGCAGTTTCTCCCCTGTGCTGGTTGGGTCGTGCAGGTGGCAGCCACTCGATGTGTCCCTTTCATGTCGATGTTTCTTTCTCTCTCTCTCTTCCTCTCTCTCCCTCCCACTTTATCTGAACAAAAAATGGAAAAATGTCCTCGAGTGAGGATAAAAACAAAACAAAACCAAGTCCTGCTCGCTGAGCCACAGAGGGAGCCACTTGATAAGTGCAGCCCGTTCACACTGAGCTTCCAAAGATTTCCTGAGTGGCTTTCACTCAAACTGATGCACAACCAGGGATCACAGACATGTGAGGAAATCCTGACTGGGAAAGACAAAGCTCAAAAAAAGGGAAAAACGCCCTGGCCGGTTTGGCTCAGCGGTTAGAGCGTTGGCCTGCGGTCGGGAGAGACCCAGGTTCGGTTCCCGCTAGGGGCGCGTACCTCGGTTGCAGTTTGTCCCCGGCCCTGACTGGGTTGTGCGGGTGGCAGCCACTCGATGTGTCCCTTTCACGTCGATGTTTCTCTCTCTCTCCCTCTCTTTCCCTCCCACTCTATCTGAACAAAAAAAAATGGAAAAATGTCCTCCAGTGAGGATTAAAAAAAAAAAAAGGGAAAAACAAGCTCTGGTTAAATTAAAACAGCACATGGGACAAAAGAAAATTTAAAAAAATACCTAATTGAGATTCCCAGGGAAGCTGTATCCAGGACGCTAGGTGGGTACTTCCAGGAAGGAATGTTCAGAGAGTGAGAAAAGGGGTGGGAGGGTAACGGTACCTGAGCAGTGGGGGAAGAGCAGATCCGCTGAAGGTTGGCGTATACCTATCATATGGCCTCCCACACTATCAGGGTCAAGTCCTGGCCTAGAAGGGCCTTTTCCTATGGCACAGTAGTATGTAATGTGTATTTTACCATGATACTTTTTTAAATGTGTTTTGATTTTTTTTTACAGAGAAACATCAATTGGCTGCCTCCTGCACGCCCCCTACTGGAGATCGAGCCCGAAACCGGGACATGGGCCCTGACTGGGAATCAAACCGGGACCTCTCAGTCCATGGGACAAGGCTCAGTCCACTGAGCCACGCCGGCTGGACACCATGATTTATTTTTAAAGTAAAAAAAGATGTGAAGGCAGCCCTCTGATCATGCATTTCTTCCAAAGCCACAGTAGTCATTCTGAGAAAGTCACCCCCAAAAAGGCTACATTATAGTTTATTGTGACCCTTCTTTACGTATTTTAAGTTTCTGGGCAGCACCACCCAAATTCAACTACTGCCTTTTAAAAATACAAGTTTCTGACACTAAGAGATTGCTGTTTCTCCACCAGTCACATGGTCTAGAGTCAGATTAGTCCTGTTAGTGCTCGCCCTGGGCAGGTGAGTGTCCCCCCTGATGCAGCTCAGCAGTGTGCATGACGTTCCCTCCAGATCATGCTCACTTCTCCAGGGAGGCCAGGTAGGCATACCAGAAGAGAGCTACCAGGTTTGCAAACAGCACCCGGAACTGCAGAGAAAACACAAGCTGAAGTAAGTGCAAGGCCCTGACAGCGCTTACCAGACACCAGTCCCTGGGGCAGGGTTCATCCACTGGTGGGTCCAGCGCCCACTATCATGTTCACAGTAACAGTCACCTCCTCTCATCTCATCATAAAGCCCTTCTCTGCTGACACCTGAGCCCCTACCTCCCATTAGGGCAGCAGTGCCCATCTCCTTAAGATCGGACTGTGCTAACTTCATATCCTCCTCCTGCCCTCTCCCAACTATCATTTCTCCCCACTTCTTCACCTACCCACCGCTCAGTTCACAGCAATCTGGTTTTAGCCCCAAAGAGCTACTGAAATTGCTCCTGAAAAGGTCACCCATAAGGTCATTGTTTTAGCAGATGGAAACTAACTGCCTTTCATTCCAACATAGCGCTGGTTGTCGTGGTCTCCGCAGGGGCTTCTGCTAAGGAATGGGGGTGGGGGGTGCGGGTCACAGAGTCTGTTCCTCCCTCCACCTACCATCCTTTCAATGTAGCTGTTTCCCAAGGGGCTTCTGCCGTAGTCTCCCTCCTCTCTCTAAAATGGGTGTATCCCTGGCAGGGTGGGTCAGTTGGTTAGTGTTGTCCTGTGCACAGAAGGGTCTCGGGTTCAATTCCCTGTTGGGATACCCACAATCCCTGGTGGGGTATGTAAGGGAAGCAACCAACTGATCAATGTTTCTCTCTGCATCTCCCTTTCTCTCCCTAGAAGCAAAGAAAAACATATCCTTGGGTGAGGATTAAAAAAAATTTAAACAGGTGGAAACCAGCCTTCACAAGCTATCGACTCAAATGGCGTGCAAAAAAGTGTTAGCAAGGCAGGCCTCAGACTGCTGTCCTGGAAGGCCTGATAATATCAGGGGTCCCACCTTTGCCCACTTGATAAGAATGGCTCCTGGTCTGCCGGCCAGTGTGGCTCAGTGATTGTTGTCCTATGCACTGAGGTCAGTGGTTTGATTCCTAGTCAGGGCACATGCTCTGGTTGCAGCTCGATCCCCAGTATGGGGCGTGCAGGAGGCAGCCCATCGATGTTTCTCATCCATGTTTATCTCTCTCCCCTTCTCCCTTCCTGTCTAAAAAAAATCAGTGATAATAAGAGAACGGCTCCCAGTGCCTAGCCTGCTTGCAAACCGCCTGCTCTCCTCTGCAGCCTGGCATTTTGGTCCGCGCAGGCAGAGTTACCTACTTGACCAGCCCCCAGTTTTAACCCTGGACACTGGGCGTATGATGGGCTTTCCTGGGCAGAAACATGGCCTCCATGTTGCTGCATTTTGTTGGTGGGCAATAGCTTGCTATGCGGCCGTCACAGCAGGAAAGGAGGTAGGAAACCTGCAGTGGATTTCTAGGACCCAGCTGTAGATCCTTGTTTGCTGCGTGGCTGTTATCAACCTGGGCCGAGCCGTGCTAGCAGATTTTCTTCCAGAAAGTGGCCCTGGGAGTTTGCTAGCAAATTTTCTTCCAGAAAGTGGCCCTGGGAGTTGGACGCACAAGGACTGTACTTGGGCAGACAGTAGATGAGGCTGGGTCTGACCAGCAGGTGTTCTCATCAGCATTGGTGCAACCAATCCGCACCAAGCCCCGCCCCACGCTCAGGTGTAGCTGTAAGGTCACTTAAGTGACGCCTCCCTGCTGCTGCTCTGCACCTGCGTGCGCGCTCGGCCGCAACTCGGGAACGCCTCATCCCAAGGAAACCCGCGTGATGTCCCCGGACTAGGCCTTTCTATAGATGTTGCGGGACAAATTCATGAATATGAACACTCGTTCGGGAGCCCCGCTGCTGTGCTTTGGCCCCGGATCCAGACCTTAAGCATTCCGGAACCTGGGTGACACCCAGGCACGAGAAAACAAAGATTGTTGCAAGGGGGAAAACTGGGCTGATGGGAAACGGCCTTTGGTGGAGGCTGACACCCTGTGGTCCTGCGCCCTGCGGGCGGCCTCACCTGCAAGGGGACGTAGTTGACATTAATGAACTGCACTGGGGTCCAGACGCGCCAGTTCATCTGCAGCGCCGGCCAGAACGCGCTCCTCACCTTGGCGGCGCCGGCGGCCGCGTCTCCACCCTGAAAAGGAGGGAAACGCAGACAGTGAGCGAGCCCCACCGCCCTCAGGCTGCGATTGGAGCACCAAGACCAGGGGGCCCCCAAACCTAACGCAGTGGGGCTTTTTCAGCTGTAGACTGTTTCCTTTAAACGTGGACGGCACACGTGTGCGCTATGAGCGGTGCATCTGTAAGGAGCTCACCATCCAGTTAGGAGATCCCCCCAAAAGTGAGCACAGCTCACACTGGGTGACATTTGTCCACGCCCCTTGTCCAGAGCCGACCTGATGGCTCTACCCACCTGAACTGCTACTATGGCTCAGCTGTCAGTTCTTTCCGAAATAATCTCCAAACCCTGGAGGGGTAACTCAGTTGGTTAGAGCATCCTCCTCATATGCCAGGGTTTCTGGTATGATCTCCCATTAGGGCACATACAAAAGGCAACCAGTGAATGCACGAGTAAGTGGGACAACAAATCAATGTCTGTCTTTCCCTCCCCTTTCCTCTCTCAAAAGCAATTTTAAAAATAAAAATTTGGCCTGGTGGTGTGGCTCTGTGGTTGAGCGTCCTGGGTTCAGTTCCCAGTCAGGGCACAGGCCCAGGCTGTGGGCCAAAATCCCCAGTGGCGGGCATGTAGAAGGCGGCCAATCAGTGTTCTCTCTCTCTCATTGTTTCTGTCTCTCTCAAATTAAGAAAGAAAATTTTTAATTCAAAACAATCTCCAAAGTTGATGCATTTCATACCAAACCTTGTCAATTTTTTAAAAATGGACCCCAATAAATTGATTTAAAATATCCCCTAGAAGAATAAATGCGTAACAGCCGCCTTGAAAAGGATAACGAGGGAGACCTACCTTACCACAGATTTAAAATACTATAAAATATGATGATGAAGAGTCTGTAGCAACAGCCAAAGAAAGAATAGAAATGAATAGAATCAATCAGAAGAACAGAGTCCAGATAATGGCCTATATATATGGGAATATAATTAGTCAGTGATTCAAAATACAGGGAATTGTTAAATCAGTGGTCATGAGACAATTTGTATTTAAGTGGAAAAGAGAAGTATGTATCCCACTAGAAATAAGAATGAAACCATGAGAACACTAGAGGAAAGTGCAGAATATTTCTTTTATCTTTCAGTTTACCAAAATGTACAGAATAAAATCCCAAGAGTAGAAGATAGAATATTCCCAATGTCTTCCGTTAAGGAAGCCCACAAAGGAAACAATAATAGATCTGAATACCTGCATTTTAGACACTCCTATATGGAGAAAGGCTTTAAAAAGCTTCATTTATAGAACTTAAAATTTTTAACTATATGATGTTAAAAGACAAAGGCCTAAAAAATGGGGAAAATATCTGTAACTTGTAGTTGGTACAGGATTGATATCCTTAATATAAACAAATGTACAAATTAGTAAGGAGAAAGCAAGCACTGTAATAGAAAATGAGCAAAGTTCACCAAAGAAATAGATAAGCATATAAAAAGGTGTTCACCTTCATAGATAGATATAAAACATTTTTCATCTATCAGATTGCAAACGATGTAAAAGAAAAACAATCAGCCCAGCTAATGTGGCTCAGTGGTTGAGCATCAACCCTGCACTAAGAAGTCGCAGGTTTGGTTCCTGGTCAGGGCACATGCCCAGGTTGTGGGCCTGATCCCCAGTGAGGGGCATGCAGGAGGCGGCCAATCGATGTTCTCTCTCATCAATGTTTCTATCTCTCTCTCCCTTCCTCTCTCTCTAAAAATCAATGAAGGGGAAATTTTTTTTAAAAAGAAAAACACAATCACAAGTGTCAAGAGTGTGAGAAGTGAACTTCACAAGAAAAAAGCCATAAGGGCGGAGAGCACTGAGGTCACAAAGCCTGGCTCCGGACTCACATCGCAGGAACCACACTAGGCCAGTGACCACCCCTGTGCCTCAGCTTCCTCAGCGTGTAATGGGGTAGACAGGAGGCCAAAGTGACAGGAAGCGCTCCAGGCAGGGCTCAGGGCAAGGAAGGTGCTCAGTGAATGTCAGCTGCTGTTCTGCATCACAAATGAGGGTGACCTTTTTGGACAATGGTTTTAGGAATTAACCAAACAGGAATTCTTACACAAAAGGGACAGGCACATGGTGGAATGCTATAACATGAGGTCTGTGATAAAAAATGCGGGATGTGGCTGGTGTTGCTCAGTGGTTGAGTGTTGACCCTGCACCAAGAGGTCGCTGGTTTGATTCCCGGTCAGGGCACATGCCCAGGTTGTGGGTCCAGTCCCCAGTGGGGGTCATGCAGGAAACAGCCAATCAATGTTCTTTCTCATCGATGTTTCTATTAATAAAGAAAAACATTTTTTTTAAACGCGAGCTGCAGCAGCCGCTGGAATGTGTGACTGAGTGTGAGGTCTAGTGCGGTCTCACGTATTTTTTTTTAATTTATTTTTTTAAGCCTCATTCGAGGATATTTTCCTCTTTATTTTCAGGTAGAGAGAGAGGGAGAGAAAGGGAGAGAGCAAGAAACATCAACATGAGAGAGACACATCGACTGGCTGCCTCCGGCACAACCCTGGCCAGGGCCAGGGGACGAACCTCAACCTAGGTACTTGCCCTTGGCTGGAATCGAACCTGGGGCTCATTGGTCCACAGGCTGATGTTCTACTGCTGAGCCAAACTGGCCAGGGCTCACATATATCATTTATGTGTTGGGTATTTTATGCACTTTGGTAACACTTTACATATATGTACAGGATTTTTGCTATTTTTTAAAAATCCTCACCTGAGGATATTTTTCCATTTATCTTCAGGAAGAGTGGGAGAGAGGGATGGAGGGAAAGAGAAACATCAATGTGAGAGAAACACATTGATTGGTTGCCTCCTGCAGGACCCCGACCAGGGCTAGGGACCAAACCGCAAATAAGGTACGTGCCCTTGACCGGAATTGAACCCACAACTCTTTGGTCTGAGGGCCAACACTCTAACTGCTGAGCCAAACTGACCAGGGCAAGGGTTTTTGCTTTTTAATGAAAATATATTCCCTTCATATTTGGAAGGAAATATAAACAGCCATGGTACCCTCACTTCTGATGTGAACACCTTTTGCTTCCTCCTGCCTTAGATTTCCCAAGGACTCCCCAAACATTTCTTTTTACTATCAGGGATTTATTAGCAATCAGTTAAGTCTAAACATCTTCCCTACTTATCCCCAGGGTCACTTTACACAAGGATATTCTCCTTAATATCAAGGATATTCAACTTGAGATGTTTCAAAATAAAACCTGAGTGAGAAGCCTTTATCTGCTGTGGTTGTTTGAAACAAATTTTAAGACAGAACATGACACTTTGGGCACAGAGCAGATGGACAGAGAGCTGGTGGTGAAGGGGTGCAGGTGCGTGAACTGGGAAGGCCTTGCGCTGGGCACATCGCAGCAGACCTGTCCCACCATGGGCTCCAACGTTAAGTCTAGTCAGTCTCTTCAGAGCCCTTAGAGTGTCCAGGCACTGAGTTAGCTCGGGCTTCTGCAACATCACTGGGGTCTGAAACTCTGGGCCACAGACCTCTTGGGCAGTCTGGAGAAGCATGTGGACCCTCTTTTCAGAATCATGTTTTATAATGTATAAAATAAACAGGACTACAGAGGAAACAATTATACTGAATACAGCTATCAAAGTCTTCAGAGAAATTTTACGACGGACTAGTGTATGTGCTTTATTAACACATTCAGTGACAAGACCTAGCAGCAAGTGCAAGGAGGGGCATAAAGGACACTCAGGGACACTAACTGATGTGATTTCCATTGCAGACCCACAGGCACGGCGAATACCACTGCTTTGCTTCCCGACGTTCATCAAGGAAAATGTGAACCTTCTATCTGAGTGTCATGAAAAGTTTGCAGACCCTCTGAATTCCATCCCCTGGTGCCGGGTTAAGAACCCCTTTGCCCAGCGAGGAGCTGTGGTAGTGCTGCAGCAGAGACCAACCTCCAGGAAGCTCATGACGACGAAGAACAACAACAGGAAGGCCGGTGCAAAGAGGAGGCGGTCCAGGAGGAGCCTCTTGACCCCTGCCCAGGGGACCTCGGGAGGGATCCAGTGCTCCATGAATAGGTAGAAGAAGTGACTCAGCGGCCCTGTGAAGAAGAACCTGAGGCCCACAGGGGTTGAGCTGGACAGCCCTTCTCAGGTCTAGGCTCACCCCCAAACACCAGGTCCCAAACCCTGCCTCGAGGCCTCAGCACTGACCACACTGGCCTGTAGTCTGACTAGAAAGCATGCTTCCTTTGAATCTGCTCCAAGCATTCTTTTGCCTCTGACAGACCAGACTCATGCCTGCCTTCAATCCGCACCATCTTCACATGGCTGACTCCTCGACACTGTTGGCTTGGAGAGGTCTTTCCTGGTTGTTCTGGATAGCGAACCCTGCTCTCTTGGCCAGTCTCTGTTCCAGGCCCCATCTGTTTTTTCTTTCAGAGCATTTATCACTACATGTCCTGATCTCATCTATGTATTATACAGTGCCCACTCTGTGCCCTGAGAAGGTAAAACCACCCCAGGACAGGATTGTGTCTGTCTGTTCACTGCTCTGTCTACAGAGCCTGAGCAGGGCCTGGATCAGAAGATGCTCAGTAATAAATAAGTGGACCCCCCAGCCCCCGGTGTTAGAGCTTCTCATCAAACCCTCTTGGGTAGTTAGCCAGGGTAGACCTGGGGCTGTGCACTGGCTGGCCCGCCCTGCTGCTCTTCATGCCAAAGTGCGCAGAGAACCAGCCCAGCCACCACATCCACTGGGACAACAGACCTGCAGCTCCTGACAATTCAGCAATAAAACAATGGGCAGGGACCCAGCAGTCTCCCAGCTTCTGACACTGAAAGTCTTTAAACAACTGGTTCTCAGTTGTCCTCTCCCACCCTGCCAGAGGACAAGAGGCCTAGAGCAGGGTGCTCAGTGGGAAAACAGAAGTCTTGAGGATGGAAACCGGCTGGTTGGGCCTCTCAGCCGATTCTGATACACTTTCCCTCTCTGGAGGGGGATGGAATTACAGCTTTAAATACATCATGGAAAAAGCTGTGATGAACGAAATTAACAATACTTACAAAAATGGTGTCTGTGAATTTTGAATTGAAAAAAAAAATCAGTTGTTGCAAAAGACTTCAAAACAATCCATCTATACAAACGCTAATGTGGGCCAGAGAACTCAGGGTGGATTTAATTGGTAAGACTCCTGAAATCTCTGTGCTTTTGCAATTCAATAAGTGGTTCAGAAACTGGACATTTTTCTAGACACCTAAGTATTTCTTTTCTGGATGTTTATGCTATGAAAATAACAAACTGGCCATGTGTGAGTCTGTTTCCCCCTTTCAGGGGTCTCTGGGTCTTGAGGTAGGATGTTAGGTTCAGGTGAGTTATCTGCTCTTAGTTCTCTCAGCCCAATGAAGAGGCCACTCCCACCCATGAAACTGAAAATAATTGTAAAACTAGAAAATAAGTGACGTTAATGTTATCCACTGTTCTGATTTTCCCCATGATTACTTCAATACTTTTTAAAATTATTTCTCCAAATCAGATTATTCCAGAAACTTGATACCTTAGTTTTGTTGTACTTAGTCTGCGGCTGGGTAAACCAGCCCCATTGTGGAACTCACCCATAAATGGCATATCTGAGAGGCCCACTGACATCTAGCTTTTGAGAGCTGTTTTCTTTTTTCCGCTTCTTAATCATCTGGGCCAGGAAGTTCCCAAGTGCTGACAAAATGCCACTGTGGACAGAGAGGTAAGAAGTAAACAGGAGCACAGCAGGGCTCTGTTCCTGCAAGGAGTTAGCAGGGTTGTTCTTAGAGCATGCTGGGGATGGGTGGAGACCAAGTCTCATCAAAGGAGCTGCAATGCAAGGTCCCTGAATCAAGGGGAGGATACTACAGAACACACACACACACACACACACAAGAGCACAGCAAGACTCCAACTTGTGGTGATACTATTCTGTAATTTTGCAAAAGATTACCAGTTGTGGGAGGGAGGTAATGGATGGGGCCCTTACCATGAAAATTTTCTGTATTTTGACTCCGGTGGTGGATAAAACCTGTCCTTGTGATAAAACTACAGAACTAAACACAAATACAGACGTGGCAAGTACAAGACAAGCTGGGAAAATCTGAACATGATCTGTGGACTGTGCCCATGCCAGTGTTCTGGTTGTGATTTTGTATTAGTTTTACAAATGTTGCCGATGGGAGAAACTGGGCAAGTGTACAAGGGATCTTCCTGTATTACTTCTTGTAACTGCATGTGAATTGACAAGTATCCCAATAAAAATGTCAGTGAAAAGATGGAGACAGGCCCAGGTGCTCCAAGGCTTGGTCTACAGCTGCCTTCCAGAAGCTGTCTCAGTGTGAGTGATAAAGACCTTGGCCTGATCCCTGGCTACTTCCTCATCCTCTCCCTTACTCACTGTTCACTTTTTCGGCGACAAGACCTTTCCACCCCATCATGGGCTGGCTCCTCCCTCAGGACCTTTGCTGTGCTGCGTCCTCTGCCAAAGAGCACTGGCTTCCCTCTGCCTCCCTCCATTCGGGACTCTGTTCAAATGTCACCTCGGTGGATGAGTTCCCCGTCTCACATGTTCACCTGCCTTTGGTCGAGTTCCTCACCAGAACGCAAGCTCCAGGAGGGTCAGGGCCTTGCCCTACCTAAGGCCCGGCACACAGGAACACGCTGTGCACACTGACGAAAGGCTGAGCGGAGCACAGCGAACGACCTCGTCCAATTAGTTCAGTGCAAGTCAAGAAGGGAGAGCGGTCTCAGAAAAGGTTCTGCGCTCGCGATCAAAGGGCGGAGCCAGCCGGCAGCCCCGCGGCGCTGGGCGGGGAAGAGAACCCGCCCCCGACCCCCGGTGCTCAGACCCCCGCCCTGGCCCTGCGCCCGGCCGCCTCGTCGGCGAGTCCTCCCGGCCCCGTGCTGCCCTGCGTCCGGCTCCCGGGCGCTCAGCTCAAGAGCCTACGAACTGCGGCTCCGAGCCGTGCACGAGCCAGCAGGTGCTGCGCTTCAGGCCCCGGGGGCTCGCTCGACGCGGAACCCCGGGGGGCGTCTCCTGCGAGGGGTGTCCGGCCGCCCCCGCCCGGCCCCGCCCGCACCGCGCCGACCTGGTGGCCGCCTTGGTGAGCACCGGGTAGAGCCGCAGGAGGCGCAGGTACTGGGCGAGCGCGCGCCGCGGCAGCGCCCCGAGCCCGGCCTCGGCCCGCAGCCTGGACGCCGCCGGCGCCATCGCCTTCGCGCACTCCGGGCGCCCACCCCGCCCCAAGTCCGCCGGGGGCTGGGCGTGGGGACCGCCAGACAGTTCCCGCCCAGCCGTGGCCCGCAGCGCTGCCCGGCACAGAGCCCGCGGTGCGCGACCCGCGCCTCCGGACACTTTTCCTCGGGTCCCTAACGGGCCGCCTCCCCTCGGGCGCCGGCGGCTATTGGAGCTCGACGCGCCTGCGCACTCCTCACCTGAGTCCCGGGAGAGCCACCTCCCCTCGGGCGCCAGCGTCCACTGGAGCTTGGCGGGGTGGGGCGCGAGGAGCCTCCTGATTGGGCAGCTGGGTGCTTCCGGTTTCTCGCGAGAGGTGGTGGGAGCGCGCCAAATTTCTCTGGGACAGCGGTGGCGGCGCGATGGTGCTGAGGAACAGCGGGCGGCGGCAGGCGGAGCCGGGCGCGGACGGCGAGGCCAGCCGGTGAGGGGCGTCCAGGGCGGGCGGCGGGCCCGAGCCCTTCCTCCCTGCGGGGCTCCGGGCTCACGCCGCTCTCGGCGGCCGGAGCTTCAGGGAGGACGGGGCGGGGGCGTGCGGGGTAGGTGGCGCTGCCGGGAGCAGACGTGCGGGAGCCACGGCGTCTCCTGCAGTCTCCTCGCAGCTGCGGCGGGTCCTGCACCCACGTTCATGCTGCAGGTCGAGGTGACCCGGCCTCACGGTGCGCGCGGCTGAGTCTGCGGCGGGCTCCGAGGGGCGGGGGCGGGGCGGGGGGCGCGGCGGGCTCCGCGGGTGGGGGCGGGGCGGGGGGCGCGACGGGCTCCGCGGGGCGGGGGCGGGGCGGGGGGCGCGGCGGGCTCCGCGGGGCGGGGCGGGGGGCGCGGCGGGCTCCGCGGGGCGGGGGCGGGGCGGGGGGCGCGACGGGCTCCGCGGGGTGGGGGCGGGGCGGGGGGCGCGGCGGGCTCCGAGGGGCGGGGGCGGGGCGGGGGGCGCGGCGGGCTCCGCGGGGTGGGGGCGGGGCGGGGGGCGCGGCGGGCTCCGCGGGGCGGGGCGGGGGGCGCGGCGGGCTCCGCGGGGCGGGGGCGGGGCGGGGGGCGCGACGGGCTCCGCGGGGTGGGGGCGGGGCGGGGGGCGCGGCGGGCTCCGAGGGGCGGGGGCGGGGCGGGGGGCGCGGCGGGCTCCGCGGGGTGGGGGCGGGGCGGGGGGCGCGGCGGGCTCCGCGGGTGGGGGCGGGGCGGGGCGGGGGGCGCGGCGGGCTCCGCGGGGTGGGGGCGGGACGGGGGGCGCAGTCCCCCCAGTGTCTGACGGCTCAGAGTTGAATCTTGCCGGAGCGAAAGGCACACGTGCCGCCACATTCCTGTTCACCTCCACTAAGTGTCACCAACACTGTTTCCTGAGCACCCGCTGAACACAAGAGCCCCGTCTGCGCACCCTGCGCACCGCGGGACCCACCGCCTCGGCTTGGTTTTGGTAGAAGGAGAATTCAGCCCAACTTGGTCCTCAAGATCCATGCTTTTTTTTACCTTGTACTGTGCTGCCAACTTGGCGATTTTCTTTATTTTCTTAAAATCCGATCACGTCTCTGCTACTAACCTGAGTGAACCTACCCCCTGGAGAAGCAGTGGGCCTCCTGCCAGGTACCCCGACATCGCTAGTGGCTGGAGATCCCAAAGGCTGGCGGGCCCAAAGGAGAAGGGTGCCCAGGCCCCGTGGTGTGTGCCGACTCTGCACCTTTCAAACTGCTTTTACCGTCTGTGTTCCCGAGAATATGCAAAAAAAGTTTTGCAGAGTAGATAGTAATTCCATTTTACCAAAAAACAAAGTAATTATACGTTTGGGAACTAATGTTTTAAAAATAAAATTTAAAAAACTTATTTTGAGCTCATTGTGGATTCTCATGCAGTAAGAATTATACAGAGATAATCCCCCGCTCTCCCCCAGTAGTAACATCATACATAACTGCAGCACATTGCGGCAACCAAGGAGCTTGACAGTGATACAGTGCATGCAGGCTCGTGGGCGCGCACGTCTGTGTGTGTTTTCTGTTTGCTGTTATCCCACTGTGTATTGGTGACCACCATAATCAAAACAGTTCTGCCCCCAGGGTCCCTCGTGCTTCCATTTTATAGCCACAGCTGCCTTCCATGGTATCCACATCTGTTCACCATCTCTAGTTTTGGTCCTTCAAGAATGCTATCTAAGTGCAATCAAAATGTGTAATGAGGGGTTGGCTTTTTTTGTTCAGCATAATTCCCTTGAGATCCACCCAAGTTACTGAAGTATCACTAAGTCTGTTCCTTTTTATTGATGAGTAGTGTCCACAGGATGGATGTAACACAGGTTCGCTGTTCCCCTGCTGAGGAATATCTGGGTTGTTTCACTTTCTGGCTAGGATGAATAAAGCCCCTGTGAACACTCGCTCACCGGTGTTTGGATGAATGTGCGTTCCTTTCTCTAGGACGGGTGCCCAGGCGTGCCGTGCTGGGCTCTGTGCCTTATTGCAGGAGGCAGCAAGTCCCGTCACGATCGTTGTTCTTAGTGTTCTACTTACAGAGATGAACAGATGTTGGGGGTCCTGCCCCACTCATATTTCCCCCATTGCTCCTGATATTTTAATGAATTGTTTCTCTAAACATGCGGTTTTTCAGAGTTGCATCTACTGTGTCACATTCCAAACACTCAAACTAGGGGGTTGAGAGTTTCACGGTGAGTGAAGGCTGGATATCCCTCCTTTCATTCAGGGATGATGGCCCCTCTTCCTCTGTCTCCGCACTCAAGCGCCTGGAGCGCAGTCAGTGGACGGATAAGATGGATTCTCGGTTCGGATTTGAGAGGCTCAAGGAGCCGGGGGAGAAGACAGGCTGGCTCATCAATATGCACCCTGTAAGCACCTGGGCTACCACCCCCTGCACCCCTTTTTGGTGGCAATAGCCCTTGTCTGAGGAGTGAGTACACTGGCCCAGGAACCTGCTGTCTGGGTGACACAGGTGGACATGGGCTTGTTCACATAGAAGACATTGCAAAGATTAAGGTGGGGGGTGTCTCTTACCTATAAGAGTATAGCTTTCTAGAGAGGGAGAAATGGAGAGAAATCCCCATCTGGAGGCTGTTACAATGGGATTCTGGTGAATGGGGCTGGTGGTCTTGATGCAGGGGTTTTTGTTGTCTTGTTAATTTTCACCCAAGGATATTTTTTTCTGTTGATTTTTAGAGAGAGTGGAAGGGAGGGGTGGGGGGAGATAGAGAGAAAAGTAGATAAGGGAGAGACACATTGGTTGCTTCCCACATGTGTCCTGACCGTGGCTGGGGATCAGACCTACAACCCAGGCACGCACTCTTGACTGGGAATCAAACCCGTGACCCCTTGGTGCATGGGCCAATGCCGTAACCACTGAGCCACACCAACCAGGTGGAAAGGTTTTGTTTGTAAAGAGTACGAGGAGCCCTGGCCGGTTTGGTTTAGCGGTTGGAGCATCGGCCTGTGGTCCAGAGAGATCCGGGTTCAGTTCTCACTAAGGGCATGTACCTTGGTTGCAGTTTGTCCCCCAACCCCAGTTGGGGTTGTGCAGGAGGCAGCCACTCAATGTGTCTCTTTCACGTCGATGTTTCTCTCTCTCTCCCTCTTCCTCTCTCTCCCTCCCACTCTATCTGAACAGAAATGGAAAATGTCCTTGGGATTAGGAGGGAAAAAAAATTAGGAGGAAGGGGCTCTTGTACTGTGTAGAAGATAATCTCACGCCTGTGTTGACTGCCTCTTATAGACTGAGATTTTAGATGAAGATAAACGCCTAGTCAGTGCAGTGGATTACTACTTTATTCAAGACGATGGGAGCAGATTTAAGGTAAGCCTCTGAACCCCTAGAAGATAAAACCCACTTAGTGACAAGGCACAGCTGAGCCCAGAATGGTGAGTGTTCATTTAGTTCTGCCGCTGTGAGGAGACCTTGGGAGGCTTCCAATGTGTAGCTGCCAGGAGTCCACCGGGAACATGGGCCTTGGAGTGAATCAGTTGCCACTTAAGGTGTGCAAAGAGCAGCTGGCTGGGAAAGTCTGAAAGATGGGCAGAGTCGTGTCCCTTAGACCCTTGCCCTGCAGTGTGTGTACCCTAAATCCGTATTGCCCCACCTCTCTCAAGGTATATCTGGGTCAAGGGTGCATTGGATCTGGGCTGCTCACGAATATGAGCAGCCTGTCTTCACCATTCTCCCTTTTGCTTTCTCATCACCCTTGAATGGGTTGGTGACTTGCAGGTGGCGTTGCCCTACAAACCATATTTCTACATTGCAACCAGAAAGGTAAGTCTGTGGTTCATAGAATGAGTTCAGATGAATTGTGCCTCCTGCTTCTGAGGAGAGCATCAGAACTGGAAATAAAGAGGCCTCTAGAGAAATAGCAGGGAAGGAAATAGATTTTGCTAATGAAAGTTTTTTCATTCTGATCCTGATTTAGGGTTGTGAACGAGAAGTTTCATCTTTTCTCTCCAAGAAGTTTCAGGGTAAAATTGCTAAAGTAGAGACTGTCCCCAAAGAAGATCTAGACTTGGTGAGTGTCACTCATACCTTCCAGGGTATGTGAAGCTGGGTCCACTCTTGCCAGGAGTGACATGGCAAGAGGCCAGACTTGGCACCTGAGGGTGTGGGGAGGCACGGAGGATGGGGCCTTGGTGGACTGGACGTCCTCAGAGAACTCCAGTGGCATAGTTGGTGCAACATGATGGTTGGACAAGGTGCTTTGGAGGTGCCAGCTCTTTGACAAGTATATTTACCTTTGCGTCATTCTGCCCTTATTTCTCTCCCCAATAAAATTCTTTTTCTCTTGAATTCTGTAGCCAAATCACTTGGTGGGCTTGAAGCGAAATTACATTAAGCTGTCTTTCCACACCGTGGAGGACCTTGTCAGAGTGAGGAGGGAGATTTCCCCTGCTGTGAGAAAGAACCAAGAGCAGGGCCATGCCAGCGATACCTACACGGCTATGCTCTCCAGGTAGGCTTCGTTCTCATAGGCAGAGAAGCCAGTCAGCCCAGAGGGCCATTTCCCATTTTTCCTAAGCTGACAACGTGGGTAGGAGGTGGGAAAAGTCAGCGAT